ATTTGGTTAAGTTATAGCAGACGTCTAACAAAAGAGTATTTAAAGATTATAAAATAATATATTTAGCCTGCAATCTTAGTGTACCAGTTTGCCAATCTAATTTTTTTTAACTTTATAATTGTAGATATTGTTTACTCTTTCGAAATAAATATCTTAGATTACATACTATATATAGTACACAAAAAAATTATAATAGAGACTATTTTGCTCTAATAAATTATGTGATAACAATACAAACAATAGATTGCTACTCATTTCTAAACAAAGAATGACGGTACTTAAGTTCTTCGTAGTCTCAAACTACTTTTTTGTTAACTAACAAAAAATAAATGATAAGAAAAGACGGTATTTATATTTAGCAGTTTCTCATTAATACATTTATTAATATTGAATTTAAGTTATAAAAAATTTTAAATATTAAACTGAAAAGAGAAAAGAGAAAAAGAAAACTAACTAATATTATTCAAAAATTATTTATAAAGTAAAAGCAAAAGTTGAAGAGCCACTCCCAATTTAAATAGCTATTAAGTCATCAAAATTAGGTGGTAAAAATGTATATTTGATTTAAGAAAAAAAAATGCTTCTGGATGATATAAAAAATTAACCAAAAATATAATCATACAAATGAGCAACACCTTCAGCAATATACAATACTGTCATTTAGTAAAATGATTAATAATCGTGCGGCTTGAGTTCTTAAAATGTGTTGAGGTATTTATTACAGAATAACAAAATTCGCGAAAAATAAATTATATGAAATCTGTAAACAAAAGAAAAATTGTTTGACTTGTATTTTATAAAGCTTATATACAGTTGGCAACAGGTTAAATATTTTGATTACAAATTGAATAGAAATAAAGAGAGAGTAGCTTCTTACAAAAGTTCCATTGTCAAGTAGTCTAAAATTAGTGAATAATGGTCAGACCACCGACAAGAAAAGAAAATGAATATTCCAATAACAGAAAAATAATCATGAGTTATACGTCTTTTATATTACTCAGCGGATTAACTAACATGGAACGGTTTCGCAGGTTTGTTCTTTACGTGATAATGAAAGACGTTACTTTAGCGGAAAAAGGTATTTGAAACAGCTATCGACGTAAGAAGACAATAGAATACTGTATCTTCGGTAAGATGATCAGGTTAAGATAATCATAATCACTTTTAAAGCATATAACTGGAGAAAAATAAGAATGCCTGGAGAAACGATCTTTGCCAAACAATGGACAATAAACTTCAATCGACCTAACAATCGACTTCAATCGATATATGTATAAGCAATTACTTATTGTCTGTAACTGTGTATACATTATATTATTTTTTTTTTAAATTTTTATTTCTAGGTTCTGAAATTTTTTTTGACCAAGAACCACTATGATATTTTTATTTTTAGTAGGGGCTACCACAAAGTTTAAGAATAATAAACTGTATGATTATTTTAATATACTTAATGAATCTCTGGTATAGTATAATGTATAATGAATTGTATAAGTGTATAGGTGCATTATATAGGTTATGAAATAGGTATATAATTGCTTGCAAATTTTTTATGCTTATTTTCTAATAATAGAGGTCTAAGTGAACAAACTTCAAGCTATGTACTCATACTTGTTCAATTTGATTCAGGAACCATTTTGAACCATCTCGCGAACCACCCGTCGGAAATCACTGTTATAGACGATTTGAAGTTCGTATTAAACGATAAATAAATTAGTTTAGCTTTACATATTGATAATATATATCGGAGTTACGTGGATAATAAGAATAGCGTATCCTCATTATCGTGCTGTCAGTGCACGTCTTTCAAAAGCTTATATATCTTTGATCTTTCTTTTTTAAAAGCCTAAGTGAACTATATTAATTCTCTTTGAGTACAATTTTAAGCTGTGTGTGTAGTTCTAAGCAATTGTTCAACCTTTGGACATACATTTTTAATAGTATCGCAAACAGACATTCGGTTAAAACTGATCTTTGTCACAATATTATTTACTATGTATTGTATTTATATAAAATAATATATAAAATTAAAAAAATTCTATAGTTAAATAGAATGAAACAAAATAGATATTGAGTAATATATAATATATACAACTGCCATTATAAATACTTACAAATTCATATGAATTGCTGTTGAATAATGTCTAGAATTTCATTATTGCTGCTATGAAAGTCTGTAATATCTATCTTTCTCTCCCCAATAAAACGTTCAATATAATATCATAAAATGTATAGCGTATATACGTATGCAACAAGTATATAAAAGATACTATAGAGTTGAGATAAACTTCAACACGAATAGAGAATAATAAACAAAATAAAAAGTTTCTTTATCACTATTTATACAATTTACGTATTTCAACTTATTCATTATAAAAGAAAAAATATAGTTTTGAAGTATCTATAAATTTTTCTTGGAAAAGAATTTATATAAACAATTTGTGCAACGGTTGGGGTATAAAATTGCAATTTTAAAATTTTGCAGAGAGATTATTTTACACATAAATTTGTTCGAGTTACAAAGAAAATGAAATATGTGATATCTATATTTATTTAAAAAAAATAATTGAAGTGGTTTTAAAATTATAATTACTATTTGTTTTAGATATTTTAAAGGATTTAAGATTATTTATTTATTTACCATTAAGAGGGGATGTGACACTGCAACTATCGAGTCTATTATGCCTACTTCCTGGTTTAGATTAAGATCTCTAAGATTAAGATTGTCTTTGTCAAAAATTAAACAGTTGTATAGAACTGTTATAAGGATGTCTTATATCAAATTAGTAAAATAAAAATAGGAACTATATTAACTTTTGGAATTGAAATCAGAACTAAGGTTTTCATTAATCATTTAGTGCTAGCCAAGATATTTTATAAAAGCGATTAAATTGCTGTTTTTTATTAAACAATCTTTACTCTCTTTTTAAAAAAAACTTTTAAGATAGTAAACTATTTACTATTTATCTTATGTATGACTGTGCTTTGAAAGCAAACATAAAGAGGGAGAATATTAATTACATATATCCATATTTTGGAATGACAAATTTCAGTGATTTGAAGACTGAATATAACAAAACAAAGAATATTCATTGTTGAAGTTGTAGTTCTAGAATTGGATAAAAATTCAAAAAGAATAAATGCCTACATATACAACAATTAAAAATAGACATATTTTATTTGTTTAGGTTTTAGCACATTTATTCTTATTTATTTAATTTGATTTTTTTATTATCTGCAATGTAAGCACACTATAGAAAATTGCTTTGGTGGATGGATTTTATATAATTTATTTTATCAATTATTTATTGTATTCCATTTCGTCTGTGAGCAGTTGTACATTTTTGTGTAAATTTTATTTGGTTTTTTTATATAAACATTTATTTGTAGAACCTTGACCTCCCATACTGACCTCCTCATTGAGTCATTATAAAATTGTAAATAAAATTATAATATCTGTGGTTTTTCAATATTAACAAAATAACATAACGCAACTCAATGGAGAATTCCAAGAATTTCAATATAACTTCTAGTTGAAGTATACCTAAGAAGTTAATAATATATTACTTATAAAGATATGTAATGGAAACAAGCTCATAAAAATTCATAAAAATGTTACACATCACATCAAAAAGAAGGAGATTAATTATTCTTTTAATTCTTAATTAATTTAATTCTTAATTAAACGCATTATCAAATCGTTTTTAAACATTTTACTATAAAAAGTGCATACCAAATAGAATTTAAAAATTGTTGTACAATATAAAGTTCCTATTTAACCACGATAATTAAGTCTTTATAAGCCAAGGAATGGCAAGGTATTTTTTTTATAACACAATATAAGTGTAGTTAGTCAGGTATCCCAGATATATAATATATTATTTTGTTGTACATTAATAAAAAAAAAATTTTAAAGCATTATTAAATAAAGTCAAAAGCATTCCCTCCTGCATTCTCATTCCGATCCAGATCAAAATTGGATAGTCACATAGAATATGAGAAAAAACCTGTGTTTTTGTAAATGTAAATCTCTAGTAAGAAATTAAATTCAATTACTATAGACAAAATAATATATATTTAGATAACAAATCAAATCAAGCTAACTTATCTATTAACTTTAGAATTGTTAAACCAAATCTGCTAAGGAAAGGTGTATGTATCTTCAATAATACACAAATAGAGTTCTGTGTAAGACTGCGATCCGTTTGAAAAAACAGGCGGAGATATTTAAATAATTTTGAGTTTGCAATACATTTTTTAATCTCCGAAAATCAAAATTTTTTTCAATATTTGGATTTTGATTCATATTCAAATCACATCTCCAGATATTGCTTTCTTTTTTGGACAATTTATACCATATCCTTCAACTTACAATAATATATTTCAAGAATATTTTAAAGATTGTAAAAGACAATCGACGTTGTTAATTTGCAAAGAACCAATTCACGACTCATCAAACAATTCGGAAAAACAACCTAAACGCCAGACGGGACTAGAAATTGACATAGGAATCAGTAGCACCAATAATACAATAGAGCACCGCATTTTATTCAAAATGTTGTTTGTGAATGTTGAGTATGAATAATACAAGAAGTTACGATTGGTGTAGACGTTTGACAATGTCCAACAAATAGACGAAATATATGTAGAAACCTATTCTAAACCCAGAAGGTGGCACAAAAGATACGAAGTGCTAGGAGTTCTATGAAATATGAATAATACAAGACATTACGATTGGTGCAAACGTTTTCAGAAGGGTCTTGAGAAGTTAAGTATCAAAGATCAACATCAATAACCGACAATATTCAACAAATATAGAAAATATATGTGGAAACCTACTCTAAGTCCAGAAGGGGGCACAATAGATCCGAGAAGTGTCACATCTCCTCTTAATAATATATAAAATAAATACTTCCATTAATATTATATATAAAAAATTATTTAATAATTACAATAACTGTTATAAATTAGTAAACACTATGTTTAAATGAAAATAAACTTACCTTCTTGTGATTGATGGGTCATCCATAGGTTTTTACCGACTTACTGAAGAAAAATTTTAACGAAAAAATTTATAAATAAAAGAAACTTGGAAGAATTAATTTTATCGGAAATATCCGCTGCAGTTTCAAAGTGGTTTTAGTGTGTAGGGTATTAAGGGGCAATTTTGTTTATATTGTTGATTGTGCAACACGTTGGTCCTAGAATTCTCACTGTTTTTCTTTTCAACACTTTTCTTTACAATTTAATTTTGTTAAAAAAAATTTATTTTTTTTTATTTATTTTTGTTTTTGTTTTATTTTTGTTTTGTAGTTAAAAGCAAACTGCAAAATAATTTTCACTTTAGCACATTTAGCACATGTGTTCGGAAGGAAGGATAAAAGTTGCAAGCGCAACGATTTATGAGGCAAATTTAAAAGTAACAATTCTGAACTTTAGACTTTTTCGTTTTGAATTTTTCTTCATAGTTTAAAGGAATTCACATTTCGAATTTTTTGTTGTTTTGGCGGTTGCCAAGTAGCAAATTTTGTATTTTGTAGATATTTTGCTGTAACTGCATTAAAATTATTTGCTTTGTTTTCTTTAAAGAACACTTAAAAATTTCTGCACAATTATTTCAATATTTTATAGTTAAGATTTATATAAAAAATTATTATTTTTTTTTTAAAAGCATTTTTTTTATATTTTAAAAATCACAAACTCTTCGCTGATTTATTGCTTAGTAATTGTTGTTGTATGCTATTTGAATAAAATTAAATTTTTTAATTTATTAATATTTTTGATTATTATTTACTATTAAATATTATTTTTCATTTAAAACCGAACGAAATACCGTGAACATGAAATCATCATCAAGCAACAAAAAAAATATAAAAAAAAAGTAATTTGTTGCACACACACACAACACACTCAAAGGAAAATATGCACACATTGACAAAACATACAACTAACAAAAAAAGTGTTGTGTTTGATTTACGTTTGTTTTGTTAGTCTGTTTATTATTATTAGGTGTATTTACTCCTTCTTTAACTCATAATACAAAATGATTTTTACTTTTTTTTTTTCAACGACTCAAAACAAAAAAACAAAAACAACTGCAAAAAGTGGAAGCACATACAAAAAATGAAAAGAAATAAAGAGAAAAAAAAACTGGTCGCGCCAGAACAGGAATGAATTTATTTACGAAATTCTTCACGTAGCGAAACGATGAAGTAAAACTGACTGACTGACTGGGCCAAATATGTTACCATAAATACTTCTACAACACTGAATTCTACTTTCAACTCCGACGACTTTACTTTACTACTTTACTGCGTACTGTGGAGATTGCGTAGAAGGCAAGCAAGCAGCAGCAGCACACAGCACTGCACAGCACAGTACAGCACAAATGAAAGAAATTAAAACACAAACAAAACAAACACAGAAAAACGAAGCACATAGAGGAATACGAATGCAGCACACCGGCACAAATTAAAATTTGTGGTGGCAAAGTAACAAACTTTTGCTTTAATTTTTACTTATTTCCTTTTTTTTTGTTTTGTTGTATTTGCAAATAAAAATGTTATTTAAGAATGAACGTAGAAACAAAATAAATTTTGATATATACGAGTATACTATATAAAATTATATTAAAAATATATAATTTGTATGAGTACCGTCTGCTTGCGAATACATAAATAAAATTACATCAAAAATTATTTAGAAATTAATGGAAAGTTACTACTTTTATATGGAAGAGACTTGAAAGAAAAGAGAAAAATAAGTAAGAGGATGGGCACAATGGTTTTCAATAAAGACAGCAATAATTATATTCCTATATTAAAATTATATTACTATAAATTATTAAAATATTTTAAAATAATTATTGAACGGGCTATTTAATTATAGTTTAATCATTTAATTAAAAACTATAATTTTTTATTTTTATTTAAAATAATTATATTTTATATAAGTGATATGCCAATATTTAGACTATCTTCAATAGTCATCATCATATTTTGTATAAAATATGTTATGTTATATTAATAATATTATATTAACATAATATATTGAAATATGTTAGTTTAATATATTGATAAATTTTAATATGTTATATAAATATTATTATATTAGCATAACATATTAATATATGTTGTATTAAAAGTATTATATTAATATTATTTTAACTTTTTTCTTTTATTTAAATAAATGACATATTTCAGACTGGTCGACATGGTCATTACACACCACGAACTATTCTACGTAAAGTAAATAACTCTGACTTGCCGATGGAATCATACCACCTTAAACGTCGTGCCAAAGGAGACGATCTATTAAATACATCTATTAGTATTATAAAGGCAAACAATCCTACATATGAGGATTATTGCGCAATTCTTGCAGTAACTTCCCTATACTAACCTGAATAAACAAGGGGCAGAGATAAATTTAAATAACTATTGATTGAATGACCCAAGCCTAATTCGGTACAAAAACATTCCTATGCTGGTACTGACTTCAAAGATAAACGGATATTAAACTGGCTATTTCACAAAATTTACAGATATCAGCGTTCATCACTCTCTGCTTGATAGGTAACTGTTGTTGTAGTCCATAGAAATCTGTCTATGAAGTTAATTTTGTGAGTGTTGAATGATACTACTTTGTCGCCGAATTTGACTAATGGTTCTGAGACGTAGGCCCGTTCTTGTTAAAAACTAATATTTTAGTTAAGAAGTACAAAGATTAAATAGTTTTTCACATATGTCGGGTAATAAAATTAGACAGATCGAACCTGGATTCATGTCAGTCCATAGTCCAGTATCCTGTTAGAACAAATTTTAAATTAGATACTGCCAATTTATTTTGACGTACCAAGTCGGAGGTTTGACATTTGGAGTATAAGGACCATGTATTTCTTGTAAATCACCTTTCGTCTGTGGCTGGTAGGAACACAACTTGAAGCAGGAGTTTAATTTTTAGAGTTCTTTTAACAATAATGCAAATCTTTTAAATCAGTTATTTTTCGATCTATCGCTTGTCTAAGCTCATTATTTCTAAATGATTTTAGTTCTAACTAAGATCTGTTCTAGAGCAAACTTTAAGCTTCAATAAAAAATGGTTTTGAAATCTAACATATATTGTGCAGTTAGTTAACCCGGTAAACGTATATGCGATTCTTACAAGCTTTAGGGGTGGAAACAGGGCTATAAAAATCAGTGGGATGGCAGTACTTGTAGCGACATTATGAGCATGTGCGATGGAATAATAGCACAGATCGACCGAAATAAGGGGAATGCTAGTACTCGTAACAATGATAGAGGTGTGTGTGAGGGTGTAACGGTGCACGGCGACAGAAATAAGATGATACTATATTCAAGTCAAAAAATAGCTTCCCATTGTCTTTTTCTTCTTCCAATCGCAATAACACTGTAAAGAATATTTAATCACTTTTTTACTAAATTGTATTTTAACGTCAGTTATGCTGGTAGTGACTGATTAAGTTAATAAAAACTATTACATTCCTAGATTAGGTTCTATGAAAAATAAAGAATAACATAAAATCATGCAGTAAAAAATGCCTCAACAAAATAATAGTATTAAAATTTACCAATTAAAAAATAACTATAATCAATTATTTCAATAATTCTACAGCTGGTTTATGATTTCGTTCTAATATAACACAGCAAGTGGATTTGTTAATGAACTTTCACAGCAAATTAACAAAAATAACTCCAAGTTATGTACGGCTTTGGGTCAGTTGGCTAATGAACACTGAGCTTCAAATTTGTCAGGGCACGAGTTCAACCCTTGGTACTTGCAGTCTTAAAAAAATATTTACGAATAATTAAATACAAGAATTATTTCCAAGACTACTGATGATGGGTATTTGGCAATTCTCGAAACAACTGTATGGTCAACCAAAAATCCAATTAAATAATATACAAAAAAAATTTTTGTTCTTGTAATTTACTATTGTTCAAAACTTCTCTAATTATTTCACTGAATAGGAACACTTATACATTTTTCACAGTTCAATCGCAGCATTATATTAGTACTAATAGAACTAAGTGGATTCCAATTCTTTCGGAATCGCTTTGCTCATTTAAGCTAGTGAAAAGATTATTGACTAATCTCATTAGGTAAGGTCTGACTCGTTAGTAAAACGAGTGTTAATATATTATATTTTTCAAATAAAAAATGACTCTGAGGCTAAAATAAGTAAATACTGAATTTGGAAAAATTTATGAATGACATATGTGCAGTACACGAACAAAATGTTAGGTGTTAGGGGTAGGAAAAGAAAAATTGTTAACACCTGGATTAATTTATTGTACTTAGAATGCAATAAATTCATAAAGAATTTTATTTATTTTTATAATGAGATTAATTGTTTGTTGAGTTTCAGTTTTATTTCAATTCGATTGCATATTTCAAAATATAAAGAATTAATTTTATTTGATAAATTTTTGCAGATGTATTGCTATATACAATATAGCCGAAGTACACATATTGTAAGGGCGTATGTTGCACGTATAAAATAAACAAAAGGATCACGCAACGCAACGCAACGAAGATCTTCAACACTGGAGTCGTCTCCAATAAGAAAAAGTGAAAGAAAATAAATAAAATCTAACCGAAAACAAACTACACCAACACACAACCGAAATGTATAAATAAAGAAATTTTATCCGATGTAGTGGAGACTTTAATCCAAAATCAAGAGTAGCACAACAGCAGCAGCAGCCACTGCGGCGGATATCAAATAAGCAAACAAATTATTAAATGAGCAAACTTTTTTTGGATTAATAATTAAAAATTTCCGTTTTACACAATAACACAATATTTATTGAAGAATTTTGTTTATTTTTAAACGATTATTTAAAAATTTCACAAATTGAATGTTTAAGTATTTTAAAACAAAAACCAATCATAAATAAGGTTCAATATTATATTGTTTACATTTAAATAATTATTGCACAATAATAACAAAAAAATATTTATTGAAATTTTCAATGAACAAATAAAAACCGCAGTATAATTGAACTTTTGACTTTTTCATTTTATTTTTTTTAATTGACTTCTTTTATAATTTTTCATTCTCTTTTGTTAACTTCTTTGCTGGAAATTTTTTCTATTCAAAAAACTTTATTATTTTACGAACACTGCTTTTAAAATAAAAGTATTAATTATTACTAATACAATTTGTAATTTAAACAAAAGATTTTCACCAACAATTAAAAGTTTATTTTTAATTAATAATTTTATATCTCATTTACGCACAACGAGAAAAAAATCCACCGACCGACCAACTACGTATAGAGAAAAATGATGAACTGATCAACATCATCCAACAAGTGGTGTTGTTGCCGCGACTCACCTAAAAATTACACAATCCCTGAATAATATTTTTATGTTTTAGGGAATATGTTATAACACATATGTTAATTGAGTAAGTTATTAACTCCTAAAATTAAAGTAAAATAATTTACAATAATTATTTGCATTTATTTACTTAAGAAAACAATTATTAACATTATTTAGAAAATATTTATTCTCACAAATATTTATTGTGTAATTACACAAAAGCACAACAGAATAAATTCATAAAATTGATAACTTTTTAAAAAAAAATAAACTAATATAAACTGAATTTTTTTTTAATTACTTAATTAAATAGTTTACACAAATGTACGAAGATCAATTTAAAATATCCATAATATTATTTATATTTGAACCGATCGTATACTCGAAAAACCATTGTTCGCGTACGAATGAACAAACCAAACGGCAACAGTTCTCATACAATACTGAACGTTGTGGTTTCATTTGTAATGTACAGTGTTGCATTATACTAGCTATAAGCACATGACACATCTGTTGGTATTACTTTTGTGGGTTAATTTTTGTAGTTTTATTAAATCTTAATTCTATTTTACAATGTATATATTTTTGAATTTATATTATGAAATAAATTATTTTTTTATATATAAATAAAAACAAGTTTATATTGTTTGATTAACAAATCTCGATTTTAACACCTTAAACAAATCAAATTATATCGTTTTTGATTGGCAAATCTAAATTTGCTCTTAAATTATTATTTATTGCTCGAATTTTGTGGTCCAATCGAACATTATTGTGGAAAATCCTAACACTGTTGAACAGTTCCACTGATATTGTCAAGTTAATTCGGATTCTTTTATTCATTTTTAGTTTCTTTTATTATATTATTTTAATATAATTTTCAACTTTTAAATAGCAAATGGACGCAATATTTAAAATATTTAAAATGCCAAATGCGTTTCAAGTAACATAAAACAGCTGTTACGATCAAAACAATTTTATAAATCTAGCAATATATCTAGGCTGTTATAAATTAATCACGAGTGTTGAGTTTACCTACTAGTTTCTTGTAAAAAGTTTAATATTATATTTCAATTGCAATAACAATTAATAGCATATAATTTTATAAATAATAATTGAAGTGTTTAATCATTATTTCATTGATAATATAAATTATTTAAATAATCAAATATACATATATATTAAAAATATTGCAAGTATGTGTCATTATTATCAAACATCTTGTAGTATTGTATATATAGGTGATTTTTAATATTGTTCAGTAAGTTTTTCATCTATCTTATGATTTCAATTTTTTACAAATCAGCATAAACAAATATATACATTCACAATTAGAAAAAAATTATATATGATATAAAAATATTGACATATAAGGTTTTAAATTTATAAAATTTTTTATACACAATTAGTAAATTTTAAGTAATGTTAATGTTTTGATTCAAAATTTATACATCTGAGCGGAATCTTTAAGGTCTGTATCAAGTTATTTTCATCAAATATATATTATTTATGTCAATATCTATGTTTAATATAATAAAATGTAATGTGATGTTTTATTACATGTAATAAAATGTAAAAGTAATGTAAATTCTGAAACACCATTTTTGATAGACTAAATAAAATTTAAACGGCTTCGTATCTTCTAAATATATTTTCACAAATGATAGACCTTCAACTATAAAACTTATTTAAGTATGAATGTCGTGCTTATAATGCAACTAAAACTATTTATGTTAATCAAATTAAGTTTCGATAGTTTCCATTGGTATAAGTTAATTTTTGCATATAAAATAGCTTCTTTATTTACATTCTATACATAAAATATATGATAAATATTTCAAATTTCTGCTAATTTGGTAAATTTATTTTTAAGTGTTGCATTTGATGTTTTTCGCCTTAAATCAGTTGATTTATTTATAATGAGTTTAATTATATGAAAGAAACATGGTATTAATCGCATAACGAGCCACCGAAACAGTAGTAGTAAAATTTGTAAAATTTCTTTCTTTTTTTATCGACTCTGCAGCACTGTTTCCAGCTGTTATTTTTCACACAATTTCGTTCCGTTTCCGCCGTTCCTTTCTAATTCACATTAGCCATAGTAGATAATTCACACATTGTTTATTAGTAAAAAACGTAGTAGTTGTTTAATATTTTAATTGCTAATTGTAAACATAAACTATTATTTAAAAAAGATGAGTTCTGGTTTTGTGACAGAGACAGAAATTATTGAAGCCCGCAAGCGTCGACAAGACGAATGGGAAAAAGTTCGTACTGCTGAACAACCACTTGGTAAACATTTTTAGATAGTTATCATTTCTTTAAGAAGTTATAAAAATAATAAATATAAATATTTAGAACGACCTGAAGAACCTTATGACGGCCGATCTTTGTACGAACGTTTAAAAGAGCAAAAAATTAAAAAAGACATGGAGTTTGAAGAAGCACATAAACTAAGTAAGTGTTAGATATTTTGTTTGTATTTTTGCAATATTTACCCTTTAATTACATAGAAAACCTAATACGCGGCTTAGATGATGATGAAGTGCAATTCTTAGAATTGGTTGACCAAACTAAGATGAAAGCTGAAATAAAACAGTACAAAGAAGATGAACGTGAGCTTAAAGATTTTCGCAATCGGGTAGCTTCTTTACAGCAGGAATCTCTTGACAAAGTAACTTCATACATTTTATTACATATGTTAAAATAGTTTGTAAAATTTTTTTGTATACAGAAAATCCAAAATGAGATAAAAACATCTAAAGCTAAGCCAACCACTTCTACTACACGCCCAACACAAAAATCTTTATTAGGTGTTGGTATTAAACGCAAAAATGATGAACCAGAAAGTGAATCTGGTGCTGATCAAAATAAGATGTCTAAAGTTATTACAACTGAAACTAAACCATTGCAGCAGAGAACTTTGTTGAATATTAATACAAACGAATTCGATAAAGGCAATTTTAAATGTATTGGAATTTTACCTGGTATTGGACGTTATAATGAATCAAGTGACTCTGAAATAAGCAGCGATAGTAATGATGAACCTGACGCTACTGAGAGTAAATATGACTTAGTAGGACGAAAACGTCAAAAAAAGAAGCAATGTCAGGAAGAATAAATTTTCATTACTTTTTTTTCTGTAATTTAGTTCATAATTAATATTAATATACATAAAAGCTAGAGGCAGAATTGTAGTTTTTCCATATTATTGTTTTTTTGAATTATAAAATATACTTATATGCCAATTATAACAATAGCTACAATTGTGGTAAAATAATTATTTTTTGCTGGATCATTTTATATATTTTTTATTTAAATTTTAATAAAATGGAATGTACACGTTATCTTAAGATCAATGTTATGTTCCAAATAAGACACCCGCATATAATATAGTTTTACTTATATTAGTTATAAATGGAATTACTTCTTTTAAAGACTTCGATACTAAATAAGATCTGATACATATCCCCATTTTTAATTATAATAGTATGATGCAAATAATGGCGATGTTGTGGCTCGACAGACCGACTGAGATTCGTGTATATTGTTAACATATACCTTTCACCTATTAAGCATCTATGAATAAATACACTATTTCTTGATGTGTCAAAAACAATAACAAAGATTGTTAGAAGCAGTTTTAATTATGGAAAAGAATTGTTTTAAAAAACCTGACAAAATTCTATAGTGTTATGCCTAGAGAAAGACTCCTAAGCTATTCTGTATAAATTAAATCTAGTAATAGGTAACTTTACTTAAGCGCACATTAATTTCAAGCACACCGTCTAAATATCCATTTTTTTACTTTACTTTCTTTCAATTCCACTACCAATTCCACTTCTTCTTTTAATGGATTTGGCTTGTAATATGTTCTTGGGATTGCATTCTACGCTGAATATATGAAATCTATTGATAAATCTAAGAATATTCTTCGATTTAAGCCTTCAGGTCTGTTGTTGTAGTTTGTAGAGATCAGTTGATGTACTGTCTTTTGGGACTGTTGTTGCAGCCATCAGGTTCTAAAAAATAAAAAGAGGACTAGACGTATACAAAACGGTGATAAGATTGTGTATTATAACGATTATGTAGGACAAGGAATGGAGGAATAAGCGGGACTAATTGAATCTATCTAGGTTGGGTTCAGATGTAGAAAATTCAACAGCTTGATGGAACGAAGCCTTAAATCAATATGGCTGATATTGATGTATGTGCTGCGGTAAGCGGACAGATGATCGACTTTATAGAGGGTAAAACTGAAGATCACCTTATTTATGTCTGACATATAACATATGTTAAGCATGAAGCTATATATACAGACTAGATCTCATGCAGCTCAATGAAAATGAAAAAGATGTCCTAGCCCTGTTTTTGATAATTGTTTGTCACAATTAAATAATATTAGCGAATATGTAGGTCTGCTTTTTGAAAAATCTGCATATAAGAACAATACTAATTTCCAACTCTAAAAGATGGTGGCAGTTGTTGTAGTCTGCAGGGATCTATAAAGCGGATAATATGAAATGAATTACAAGCTGAATACATGGATTTGGATATGGATCGGTGGTATTGGCAGTGTGAGACGAGAGGTGGAAAGAGACTACACAACTGAAAGATGGTAGTTAGGAATAGTTTGTTCAGCTATGGATTAATGTGATTTTAGATATATGTAAATACCTGTCAGCATTTTTTTGACTAGACTGAGGTGGTCATAGACCCACTACTTTAATTGTTTTTAAGTACTGACGAAGTCTGTTAAGTATAAATCTTGTAGAAAGGATCGACTTTTAAAAAGTCTGGCACAAAAATTTATTCTTTAATTCGTTTTTTTATGTGTACCTAATTGCTTATATCATAAATCAACAAAATGGTTTTAGTTTAATAGCTCTCTATAACAGCGTTTTTCGAGAGACCGTTCATAGAGTATATTTCCAATATATTCTCTGTGATTAAAGCACATTTTTCACAGGTAAAAATTTTCCCTTTAACACTGTCTTCATTGTGTAGCTTTAACTTATTTATATATTTATCAGTTAAGTTTTGCTTTATAAATAATAACTTAACTAAAGATCATGGCTACTAAGACTCTTAAAAGAGATCACACAATAGGTTTAGAAGTCGATTGATGCTTTTCAGATACTAAAATAAAAGAAGAAGAATTGTTATGCGTCCCTTTTATTATATGGGAAAAATTGTATATAACTAAAGAAAAGGTACTTCGGATTTTACTATATCTATATTTATAAGAGGTCTGATGATAGCGAATTTTTTCGGGTCCATAATTTTTAATGGGAGAATTTTTATATGAAAGTAAAGGAACGCTATAAATTTTCACATTAAATTGATGACATGATCTGAAACATGTTTTAATTCGTTCGCTATAGCTAAAATGATCAACAAAAGATATATACGGGTTGGTTATATTTTTTAATTTCTTCAAACTAAACACAATTGAATATAACAATAATATAATAGAAATCATCTTAGCTTGTAGGTTTTTAGCTAAGTTGTCATAAAAATTCAATTATTTCTTTTGCATTATTGCAAATATTCCAATTGTTCCCTACTCTCTGGAGTGATTATATCTAATTCTTTTATATAATACTATAATATCGTTGAAACCACCGTCGTAATAACTTTGAAACCATATAGAAAAGGGTAGTATTGTACATAGTTTTAATATATTTGATTATATTTTTTGAAAACTTATAATATTGTACATATAAAATGTATATTTATAAAACGAACACTAAACAAACAAAACAGTTTGGGAACTACGTATTGTTCTTCTTATTACGGTTACGGTTCTTAACATTTGAAACTTCATAAAAGTTTGTGCCAATTTTTTTACGCTTCTGACTTCGTTCAATGGCGCGTCTTTCCTTAGCGGTTAAGCGTTTTTTCTTCGATGGTCCTCCATCATCATCATCATCATCATCGTTTTCGTTAGGTTCAATTTTAAATTTACCAGAAGCAGTTAATGCCACAGTCGGTAGCGTACGTGCAGCATTTGATTTTTTATGTATAACACGTTCCAAATTTTCATCATATTCATCTTCTGAATAAAATTCGCTAGCACCATCACTAGATTCCTCTTCATCAGATTTCAGCACTCGTTTCTTTTTACGTTCAAGGCGTTCTTGTTTTTGTTGTTCCAGCAATTCCATATCAATAGCATCCAATTCACGTATATCTTCTTGTTCAAACTCCAAGCCAACTTTAATTTTACGAAAATCTTGCAATTGCTTAAATTCTCGTGCTTTCTTAACCGATTCACTAACAAAAGTTTCTGCATCTGACTTGGCATCATCATTCTCTATTGTGGCATTATCACTTCCTATTGTAGCATCATTTGTTGCTGTTGTTGACGTAGTAGTTGTTGTTGTTGATGTAGTTGTTGTTGTGTCTGTAGCAGCATTTGTAGGTTCTTTTGTTAATGGATTTTCATAACCTTCTGGCGCTACATAAAAAGGTAATTTACCACGTTGCCAGTCATTTAGTACCATACGTGATATAACTGTGATATCAGGTTCTCCACCTTTTAAAAGTTTACCACTTTTTTTAGCCAACTGCTCCAGGAAATCCAAAGAAGTTGTCCAACTTTTAATTTTATATGTTCTTCGTATATATTCCTTACGTACACGTTGCAACACTGTCTCCACATAGTCTTCTGGATTTGTTACTAGCTCAACTCGCACAACACCTTTTAGTACTTTTTCAGTATCAGTTTCAGCTGAAGGATATACCACACCTGGGCAATCAATTAAGAATACACGCTTCATTAATGTAATATACTGCCAAACTTTAGTTTCGCCAGCAATAGGCGCCACATTACAGACTTTTTTCGAACGCAAAGTATTAATAACAGAAGATTTACCAACGTTTGGATAACCAATAAAACCAACGCTTATTTGTTTTTTGTCTACATGCAGTTTACCCAATTGACGGAATAAATTTATCAGCGCACCTGAAATAATAAATATTAAACATTTATATTTTATTTCTATTATTTATTTATTTACTTACCTTTTCCAAAAGGATGTTGCATTGAGGCATGAAACGCAATAGTGGGATATTCTGCACTTAGTATAGCTACCCAACGTTGTGTCACCCACACAGGCACCAAATCAACTTTGTTCAATATGAGGAAAACATGTTTGTGTGGCTTTTCTTTGCGTATGAATTCCTCTATATATTTACAGCGTGTACCAAGCGGATCACGTGCATCAAGCACTTGCAGTAGCACATCTGAAGCATCCACTACCTTATGCAGTTCATTCCAAATACGTTTACTTTGACCAGCAGCAAATACCCAATCTCTAACAGCAGCCTTTTCACCAGTATCCTCACGTACTAAATCTACATCTTTTGTTTCGTCATATTTTTCAGCTTGTGCATCTGCATTACGCGTTAAATCTTCCAGATCTCGTGCCTTCACATTGACGCGTTTCCTTTGCTTTTTCGGTCCAAATACACTATCAAAACTTTCTGTATCCAGCAAATGCACTCGTTGATATTTAGCAGTTTCATTTAAAAGTGTTATAGGCAATTGCGACGGTTTCAACACAACTTGATAGGGATCTTTCAATGCTTTACCAATTTCATCTTGAAACTTTTGTAATGCATTTTGTGTTATAACACGCGAATTACTAAACCATTTTGGTGTAGGTTCTACACGTGCCATAGTGCCAGGGGCTAATCGTCCCTAAAAAAATTCAAACAGACAAATAAAAATTATGTTTCATTGTGGATATTCCCTTGGATTACCTGAAATGGAGCCGGTGTTATGATTTTGCCTCTACGATCACGTTTTGCTTTAAAATTTCGGTACATTTGCAAACGTTTTATTGTTGCTTGTGACCGAGGATTCGCAACTCCTTTCAGATCGGATTTTAACCGCTCCGGATTCATGGAATGATTGGAGCGGTTAAAAGTTTGTTTACGGGGTGGGCCCGATGTACTGCGTACTTTGGGCATTTTTATATATTGTTTTTATATTTTTAACCAAAAAATATATTTATTTTACACAGAAATAGGAAATTTCGAAAAGGTTTAAAACGGCACGTGTTTAAACCACGGTATATGAACTTGTTTTGACAATAAAAGTCAAAACATTGCTGTGTCGATTTTTTGAACAGTGTTGCCAACGCGAAAAAAATTTGCTTTTGTAGAGTTTTTTGCACATTGGTAAATTTAACAAACGAATGCTTTATGTACGTGATGTATTATGCTTTCCGTATTTAATTATAAAATTAAAATAAACAGGATGTGTAACTAAATTATTGTAAATTGAAAATTGAAGAAAGTCTTAAAAAGGATTATTGTATAGCCTACGGAGAAGCATTTATGCAAGTTATAAGCCTTATATGTGTTATATATTTTGGTCATTACTGGAAATGGATTGCAGTTCTTACCCTTTACAGCCTTATGGCTAAAATTTGTCTATTTAACACCATTCTTTTGATCCACCGGAAAAATAAGAAAAATATATATATTTTCATACTATATTTATTAAATTAAATATATTTATTTAAACCTATAACGATAGTATTTTGATGCCACTACAATAAATAAAATAAATAAATAACCAAATTATTCATAGACTATAAGGAAAAGTGTACTTAAGAACATTTTTGATGCCACTACAACAAATAAAATAAATAAATAATCAAATTGTTAATAGACTATAAGGAAAAGTGTACTTAAGAACATATGCTTTTATCAAGAGCGGTAATTAACTAAAGATATAATAATAGCCATAATGTTTCTTTCAGAGTTGCAAAAAAAACAAAAGTCATTATTTTTGTTGTGTTGAGTACAAAATAAAATATAAAAATTGTAAACACTAAAAATTAATTAATTTAAATGAAAGAAAATAAATGAATACTAGAAGGATAAATGTTAGAATTTTTTATCTTATATATTTAAATTAATTTAAATAATTTATTTAATAATTTAATATAAATAATTTATTTATTTACATATTTGCAATTATTAGTAAATAATATGCTCATATGATTTTAACGGATGACTGGAATTTTGCAAAATATTTCCAGTTAACATTCACAATAGAGGGATTTTTAAATATGTCTGTACTGAAACTTAAGATGTAAAAATTTTGGCAAGTAAAACCTACCTTTAAGGATTTTAAGAGCATTGTTGTTACTTCACGTGCTTTCTTCCTCTGAAAGAAAAACTTATGGTTATCAACTCATTTAAGGTGAAAAATGTCGTATGCAACCCTTAGAAATAAATTTCCCACAAGGGAAATTACCAAAATTTCAAATATACGTCATATGTAAAACAGCTGAACTGTAACAGCTGCGCTGCAAACAACAGCTGAGCTATAAACAGTGGCACTGAGAAAGTAAGTATATATTAAAATCATTGTATTTATTAATTATATATGAAATTTGTATATAAAATGTATATAAATTATTTAATATATCAATTATATGTAAAATTTATTTATCTGATATATTAAGTAAAGTTTATAAAAGTTTTATCAGCTGTATAAATTATTATAAATGAGAAAGTGCCTAAATGAGATAGTGTGTGAAACAGTACTATTAGTAATAAAATAATCACAACTTTATATTATGTTTACATTACTAACAACCGAATCTCATTAGGATATTTTAATATGGATTTTATATACAAAATTCCACTAATTGTTAATAAACTTAGTATTAGGAACACTGCCCACTAACCATAAATTTAAAACAAATTAACCTGATTGTATATAACATTTTTGTTAAAAATTATAATTTTATTATTCTTTTCCATAAATCATGTATTCTCTCAATTAAAATTCAAAAAATTTCATTTGCATCTAAATGACATTCACAATAATTTGAATGTCAGAAAAAAATTATTATGAATACATATCGATTGTGAATTTGGCATTCCTTCAGTCATTTAAAGTCGAATGGAAAAAAGCAAGAAAATTCCACAACACTATTGCGCTAACATTAGAATATTAAGAAAATTTTTGTGAAAGTATTTATAATTGCTTAATCCTGAGAAGATAAATTGGATGTGTTGAGATATAAAAGTGTCTAAAATAAAATTTTATTATAAAATTGAGGCTATAATTCAGTGGAAATATAATTTCACAACGGAAGAGTAAATGTTGGTATTCTTAGATTTGGAATGTTGTATTATAAATGCTGGTAGCCTTGACCAGCGCTTATAATATGCAAATTTAACGGATCTAAAAACAAAAAACATTTAAGCAACTGTAAATTTTTATAAAATTCACACTTTATAAACTAATATAACAAATAAAAAAAAAATGGATGAACATACACTAAATGATTTGCTTGAATGTTCGGTTTGCTTGGAACGCTTGGATGATGCAAAGGTGCTTCCGTGCCAACACACCTTTTGCAGGAAGTGTCTCTTGGTTAGTTCCAACGTTATTTCACAATTAACAATTATTTTATATTATTTTGTTTTCTAGGTAATTATGGCTAATAAAAATGAACTGCGTTGTCCAGAATGCCGTATATTAGTGGATTTAAGAGTAGATGATTTGCCACCAAATGTGCTTTTGATGAGAATTTTAGAAGGTGCGTATAAATAATAAATGTTTTCCTTTTTTTTTGGTTATAAAGATTTATGTATGTGCGCTGCAAAAATTTAATCGTACAATAATAATAATTTCAAGAAAAAGCACTACACCCACATGCGCAAACATGTACACATGCAAAAGTGAGCTGTTTAATTGCACCTACATATGTTTTCATTTAAAATTAGTTATAACTTCTATATATTATTTTTAAGTTAAATTATTTGCATAACATTAACTAAAATATGCTTATTTGTAGGTATGAAAAATTCTGCAACAAAAATCCAACAGTCTGAAATGAGCTTATCTAACGGAGCTGGAGATAATGTTGCAAGTAAAGTGGATGAATCCATGAAAATTAATGTTGATATGCAGATTAGTTTGGGAACAGAACCGGTAATGAATTCTCAGCCACAACAGAATCAACACGCACATATGCAGCCACCAAAAGAAACCCAACGTTTATCACAAAACCATCGCTTTCGCCAACTGACTGAAATGATAAGCTCATTGACTGCTCCAACATTTCCACATGCTATTGCTTTGTATGACTTTGATTCGAAAGAACCAAACGATTTAAAATTCAAAAAAGGCGATATTATATTATTAAAGCGAGAAGTTGATAAAAATTGGTATGCTGGTCAACGTAATGACTGTGAAGGAACCTTTCCGAAAATATATGTAAAGGTACATAATACAGCAAATATAGTCAAAATATCTTTTTTATTAAATAATTCTTAAAAATAATATTTCTAGGTTCTTGTTCCATTACCACGTGCTGAATGTATTGCTTTATATGATTTTAAAATGGGTCCAAATGAAGAGGAAGGTTGTCTTAGTTTTAAGAAAAATACTGTGATACACGTTTTGCGACGTGTCGATGCAAATTGGGCAGAGGGACGTATTGGCTCTACTATAGGAATATTCCCAATTGCATTTGTTAATTTAAATTCTACAGCTAAGCAATTATTAGGACAATTAATTAAAAATGTAGAAGTTACACAAAGAAACAATGTAGCTATAACTTCAGCACAGCAACCACAAGTGCAACAAGCTGCACAAAACCTTGTCTGTACAGTTCCAAATTTACCTAATGGTAATAATGCAGCTCAAATTAATCCATGTGACTCAACATCATCGTCCAGTTCTTCTTCGCATAATAATAGCCCTAACTCTACTACATGCAGTTCATTGTCTAGCACAAATTCTATGCCCGGTAGTCCAAATCATTCGCTACCAAATACACCAGAACATTCAATGAACACCGTAAAATATAGAAACCCGAAAGAGAAGCGACATTCATTGAACGCTTTGCTAATTAATTCTGGTTTCGGTGCTACTACAAGCAGTTCAACAAATAATTTACAAATGAATCGCCACTCAGCTGAGATATTAAGTGCACCGAGTGAAATGAGTGAAGCAGCTGCTTCTGCAGTTTCTGCTTCAGTTGGTAATGGTTTGCATAGTTTGCGTATACAACGTTCATTTATTAATTTCGACCAAGACTTTTCTGTAAATGTCAACAAACCCGTTAAACAATCGATGTCAGCTCGTGAACAACAACAAACAGCTTCCGTTCCTGAAATTCTAGCACGCACAACTTTACTTAAAACAAGTTCACAACAATTTTTTCCAGCATCTTTGCCATGGGGACATCTGGCCTTGTATCCATATACACCACGTATGAGTGACGAATTAGAATTAAAGAAAGGTACATTATTCTCAATTATCATTAACATAATATATATAATTATTTATATATTTACCTACTATTTTCATATAGGTTGCATTTATATTGTAACTGAACGTTGTCCTGATGGTTGGGTTAAAGGTAAGAACTGGCTAGATCAGTCTGGAGTTTTTCCAGGCAACTATGTCACACCACTACGTAATCGTGATCAACAGCAATTAATGCATCAATATAAGTGTATGCCTTTGCATAATCACAGTGCTGAGGCCAGTAATAATATGGACATAGCACTAATGCAACATAATTCCTTATTAGTTAATGGTTTACCACAACAAGCTCCAGATTTGCCTCAACGTTCCTTATATTACATGGATGCAGAAACTGCAACAACATCTGCATCATCCTCATCAGCTGCATGGAATAAACCATTAACGCACAACACTTTTAACCCTTTCAATCATATGATTAGTTCACATCCGCATGCCGTAGATACTGGAGAAATAGAAGCGGCAAGGCAAAATGATCCTTGTAGTGCTAATGTCAATACAAGTGGTACAACCGCATCGATGTCAGCATTTAATTTAATGAAACGTTTTGCTAAAATGAATACACGCTCAAAATCTCCCAATACTGCGGCTAATCAAGAAGTGAATTCAACAAATAACCATCAACATCAGCAACAGCAAACTTCGCACCCAATTTATGCCACAAATGAACAACCGCCAAACTATGGTATGTCACTGCACAATCAAATTAATCCCAATGTACCAACACAAGTTCAGCATGTGCACGTTCGGTAAGTTTATTTTTTATAATTTAAAATGTTAATACAGATTTATAATATATTTTTAATTTAGTTCTGGGTCGTGCCCAAGTCAACTGCTACAAAATATTCCAGTTAATCTAACAGTGAATGAAAATTCGAAACATAATATGCAACAACAGCAGCATTATAATCAGCAGTTACTTGGACAAACCAGTTACGGCTCACAGCGCATTAAGGGCTGCAAAGAACGCACTCCATTGCCATGTGCTTTAGGTGATCGCTTTACTAAATATCCAACTCAAAATGGAAAGCACACTATTGGATCCATACAACAAATTCAAAATCAATTGCAACAAAAATATGCTCAAAAATGTGAAGCTGCAAATGCTATCAATCATCGTAAATCACAAAGCTTAGACGCAAATACTTTACCTATGCCAATGCAGGCTTTAAACATGTGTCTTCAAGCAACTGCAGCTCCATCTAAATCTAATAATATAATAGCACCATTGCTCGCTGCCTGCACTGCAAATCAGAACGTTCAAGATGCACCGGATAGGTGAGTGAAGTATTAAAAATTTTAAAATCATAAATATTATTTCTGAAAGCATTAAAAAGGATTTTGAAAATGTTTTCATTACTTTCTCTTATTGATATACACCCCCACAATGTGGCTCTAGCTAAGAGCTGGGCGAATTTTTTAAGCAAATATGTCTTTAGTTCTCTTACAGCAGACTCTTGCGCTGATGGGAATATCAACGAAATCGTGTATCGATAGTCGTACATATGTTTACGTTCTAATAAAGTATTTAACAGACTTAAGCTTGAAATCTCTAGATATGGAAGAAGCCTCCCTCGTGATGCGAGAACTGTCCGTGCCTAAAATATGTGTGCTGAAAAGTTAATAGTCTTGTGTAAATATGTCTATTCCCCAAGCTACAGTACTACTCTTGAAGTACACACCAATTTGAGCTTGATTGACTTACGGCTCCGTCAAGTTGAAGTGGCATTGCTCCTTCACTTTGACCCGTACTAGCTTCAATTAGCACCCCATATACATCCTTTCATCTTATACTATCTGTTCCCATGTATATGCTTTCTACACTTACTCTTATGCTTTCTAACCTTTGGGTCCCTTAAAGTTACGACAACAATCTTTAAATGAGATATATATATCGAAAGATTTTTTAAACTTAGAATCTCAGAGAACAACTTTCTCTAAAGAAGTACTTTAGTTTTGCTGAACGTGTTTGTTTAATAAATTCAGTTTGAAAGAAAAGATCTATATTAGGGTTTCTCAATTGCGGTCTGCGAATTATATTGGTCTTAAGATATCGTATTTTCGTATTTTACGTTATTATCTTTTAGGAAAATATTGGTATCGGTCCTTGAATAACACGTTAAAAATTTTTCCGGTCTGCAATATGTTTTGGGTCGACAGATTTCGGTCTATACGACATATGATATTTTAATTTATTTCCTAATACATATTTTAGAAAATGCTTACTAATATTTTCGTTTATATTAATAGATATCGTTGCGTTGTACCTTATCCGCCAAACAGCGATTTTGAGTTGGAATTACATGTTGGGGATATCATATATGTTCACCGTAAGCAAAAAACTGGTTGGTATAAAGGTTTAAATGCGCGCTCAAATAAAGTAGGTTTGTTCCCAGCTTCATTTGTGGAACCAGATATATAAAAAGGATTAAGATACTTTAATTAACAATTAATAAATTTCTTTTAAATTTTCATCTCTAATACAAAATCGCATCGAAATTTTGAAGTTTGTTAAATTTTTTAACATTAACATTAAGAATATCACAAAAAATTATATCGCTGGTCGATTTATTTTTTCTTAGAAATCTTCAAAAATTGTATCCACTTTGTTTCTATGAGATTTTGTTATAATTAATAAAAAAAATGCAGTAAAAAGTGTTGTACTAAGACTGAAAGGAAAATTTAACATATTGCATATAATCTATAATATGTATTTAAAATTTAGAAGATTTACACTTACCAGTAATTAATATTTTCTACAAATCTCATCACAAATTTAAAAACTTATAATTATAAATGGAACAAATTTTATTATTTTTAGAAAATTTTTTTCTAATTTTAATATATATATATATAATTATTTTCTTATACATTTAATTATAAAATCATTGCTTAATATAAATGTATATACATTTAATCTATTTTTTGGTTTATTATAGAACTTATATATTAAAAATAATTTTTTAAATTTTTAAATATGAATAATAATAATAATTATTTATTTTTTTTTATTTAACAAATAAAAATTAAATTATAAATAATAATTTAAAGCTAATTAAAAATTAGCACTTTATAATTATATTTCATTTAAATCAATGAAATAAAATTTCATTTGTTTCAATGATAAAAAAATCTTAAATTTTTATTTAAAGTTCTACAAATCAAATATAATAACTCATGTCTCCAGCTAGCTAATTCAAATAATATATAATATTGCTTAAAACTCTTTAACTTAAGCACAAACTGAAATTGAGTATTAAAGAGCATTTTTCTACTAATATGTAAAACTATATTAAAACTATTATATTATATAAAAATAAAAATCAAATATTAATATACTAATAGAATTATAAGAAAGTTAAGACAAACGAATATTATACTAATGACTGGATTTTGAATGTGAATATATGCTTAAGTTCGATTTAAAAAAAACTTATTTTAAAATAATTATTTAATTAAGTAGTTTTGTAGTTGGCACAGAATTTCCTTTATAAGTTTAAGATATTTCTTTTTTATACTGCCTTATATTTTGTATATATTTAAGTATTTTCTATACTGTATTTAACATTTATAATTCGATTATTGAAAAACGTTCAAATTTTTTAAAAAGAGATTGTTTACATTATAAATTAAAAATATTTTAAACTCGAATTTACTTAACCGTATGCATTTATTAAAAACAACATATCAAAATAGTTAACTGTAATCGCATTAAATAATATAATATTCATATTAATTTTCTTTTTGTTTGTATCAATTAATATTTATTTTAGAGACATAAGATATTTCTATGTCCTATGAAATTTTAAACGAATGAATCAATTATTTTACATTGTTTGATTTTTTATTTTTTTTATATTTTTTTTTTTGTATTTTTTTTTATAACTTTTGTTTTTATTATTTTTATTTACATGTTTTATTAAATTTTTTTGTATATTTTTTATTATTTTTTTTTTGTATATTTTTTATTATTTTTTTTTTGTATATTTTTTTATTTTTTTTTTGATATTTTATTTTTTTTTTTTGTATTTTTTTATTTTTTTTTTTTTGTATATTTTTTTATTTTTTTTTTTGTATATTTTTTATTTTTTTTTTATATTTTTTTATGTTATTTTTTGTATATTTTTTTATTTTTGTATATTTTTTATTTTTTTTGGTTATTTTTTAATTTTTTTTTTATTGTATATTTTTTTATTTTTTTTTGTATATTTTTTTATTTTTTTTGTAATATTTTTTATTTTTTTTTGTATATTTTTTTTATTTTTTTTTTTGTATATTTTTTTATTTTTTTTTGTATATTTTTTTATTTTTTTTTGTATATTTTTTTATTTTTTTTTTGTATATTTTTTTATTTTTTTTTTTATTATATTTTTTTTGTTAACATTTTTATATTTGCTTTATTACATATGTTTTTAATAAATATTTGAAAACTGATAATCTCGAATTTACTTAGGAGTTAAAAATCGGTTAAAATAATAGAAAATATATATTAATTTTTACCTATGCAATTCATTTTTATCATCATTTAATAAATATGTGTTTTCCATAAATTGTTCTTTGATTTAATTATTTTCTTAGAACTTTTTAAGCAATACTTTACTATTATTTTTTTTTTTATATTTTTTGAATATTATTATTTTTTAAATATATATTTTTGACTTTTTGTTTTTTATCTTTTTAATTTTTTAATATATTTCTGATATACATATTTTTATTATTTAATCTATTTTTTTATATTCTAATATAAATTTTTTAAATACATGTATATATGTATATTTATCTATATATATTTTTTATATTGTTATTTAAAGTTTTTAAATACATGTATATATATACATTTATCTATATATATATTTTTTTTAATATACATTGTTTTTTTAATTCATGTATTTTTTATAATTTTTTCATATTTTTTTAAAGTTTCTTGTTTAATTTTATATTCATATATATTATGTGTTTTATTTTTATAGTATTTCGTTTTGTTTTTGTGAATTCTAATTATTTTTTATATTGTTTATATCTTATATATGCACATTTTTATTATTTTTAATTCTTAATTGAACTTCTTTACATTTATTATTTGTATATTTTTAATATTGAAATATGGTGATTTTCATTTATTTTATTTTCTCTATATGTATTTATTTTTTCGGTCATGCTTTATTAGATTTTTGTTTTTAAATTACATTTATTGATATTTTTTTTTTGTTGTAAAAATTTTTTTTTTGTGTTATATACAATTTAATATAAAATATTTTTTAATATTTAATTCCTTCCTCATTATTTTTTTTGTTTATCTATTTATTACTTTTTTATTATATTTTATTTTTGTTACAATGATTTTATAGATTCTATTAGAAATTATTAGACCAAAATTAAAACAAATAATTCTATTATTTAATTAATTTTATTGAAGTACCTATTTTATATTTAATATCTATTGTAATTTTTTTATTTGAATGCCTCCACTTAACATAAGCTCAGCTTACATTCATATATGTGACATTTCTTTTAATATAGTTTGTATACATTATTAATTTTGAGTAATATTAAAAGTTTATTTAATTTGTTTTGTAACTATAAAGGAGTTTCTTACATGGCCTATTTTTACAAATCAGATTTAATTATAAGTCCTATTTACATATACTAGTAATTATAGCATAATTATACAATTTTCTTAATAAAATTATAATATAATACATATATAAATAAATTCTTTTATAATTGAAATTAAAAAAAATGTTTTTATTCAATAGTTTTTGGCTTTTTAATCCAAAAATGTCTACTGTTCGAAAATAGAAACTTCCAGATCCAGGAATTTAAATCAGCAGTAAAAACTTTATACCCTTTGAAAATGTTTCGGAATAGGAAATAAACTGAAAGGATGGGTATACATAACTTAAGAGCGATATTATCTGTATCTTTCGATCAAAGCTGTAAGTAAAAGGCATCAGGATGATCTATTTCTTTGAACTCTTGTTACAAAATGAACCAATTCATCTTCTTTGTGTTGCTGTTATTCTTGTTGCAACAAAACACGTTTCCATTAAAATCTCACCCATCAAGAATACACCCCCTAATCCTGTATTCTGTACCAAATGTTTTCTAATCAAGAGCAAGCACACTTCAAGTTTAAACGACAGTGTTCAATGGGTTGGATTAGGAAAGGTTATGTGGAGATGGGAAGGAGAAAGGTTGAAAGGTTGTGTTGTTCTTTTAGTATTTTACTTTAAAAATGCATTTATTATAAAACTTTAATCATAATGCGCTAATAGTTTTCAACATATGATTCTTAGAAGAATGGCTTAGTTATAAATACAAAAGAACGCAAAAAGTTTAAAAATGGAAGAGGTATTATTTTCTATAAATTTGGGAATTATTACATTAGGATAAAAAGCGGTATTGTTGACGAAGTTATGAGTGCCAAATGAGCAGCATTTTTATCAAAATATTTCTTCTGCATGGCGCAGTAATACTTCTTTTTAATAAATAGCAAACCAAAATCTAGTGAGAATCGCATTAAAATGATATAGCAGGTCTCTGGAATAATATCTATCTGGAATAACTTTAACTTATCTTAAAAGCGTTTACTTTACTTCTATGGTATCTTCATATTTTTGCTATTGTACTTTTTAACTAATTTCCATCTGAACATAGATTAACTGGTTGCAAGATAAACGAAGAGAAGTACGTCGAAAACTGAAGAGAGCTACGCATATATTCTTTTATTTGTTGTTGTACTAAGCACACTATCAATTTTGAAAAACTACAGAATATAAATATTTAAAAATGCAAACACATATGAATACTTAATTAATTCTGCTAATTTATTAGAACACAATTTTTATTTTTTAAAGTTCAGCGAAAATATATGGAGTTATTCGGACTTTTCAAATTTGGAACCATAGATTGGAACATATTGCAGAACTGTTTTCCAATCTGTATAGTACAACAGTCCTAAACCGGCAGCTCCTCCAAAGGTAGCAGCAGATCTGATGCTATAAATAAATTAGAAAATATTATTGTAAATAATTTAATCCTTAAAATATTGAGAAAATATTTAACCTTAGAGGTGTTATGCAATGTGATACTGAGTCGTATGGTGAACTCAATAAATAATATAAAAATTAGTATTACATGTATATACTTACAAGGCGGTTGCTATTTGAGCATGTTTTGGGCCAAACGGTAGAGTCATCCTTGATATTTTATTCGTTTCCAAAAAGTCCGCAACTCACTTTTAGAATAAAATCTGTAAAACTAAATAAATTATCATATGTCAAAATAAATTCACAATAAAACTACAAATTTCGTTCCCTATTTTAGTTATTGTGAATGGTTGCCATAATGAACAAGCATAAATGTCACAGCTACGTAAATGTTTAATTTGTACTAATATTTATATATATAGTAAAAAATAATTTTAACTTGAAATTTTAAAATAACGATGTATAAAGAAATGACAACATGTTAATTTTTAAATATTTCTTTTTTATATCTAGTATAATTTTCAGAACAAGTTCACGTTTGATTGACGAGTAGGAGAAATTTATATATATGTATTGGTAAATCTGAATTTAATTTTGTTGTCCACAATCGAACATTTTTAGAGCAATCTAAAATTTTTTTTTATTGTTTTAGTAGATATATACTACACAAATTCATTTATGGAATCAAATCACAGTTTATATGTTAAATCATATAAAACAGCTGTTAACTTCGGGGTGATGTTGCTACTCTGGCAAACTATCTAGAGTGTTATAAATTAATCTCGAGTGTTACACATTTCTCGGGATTTACCAACCAAAAATGAAAATTACACAAAAATACATTAAAAGAGTATCTCGATAGAAAAAATTAATCCAGATTTACCAATCGAAAACACTATTTATTTTATTTAATATCTTTTAAATAATTATTTTATTATTTAAAAAAAATTATTATGTTATGATATTAATTATGTATTATCATTTTTATTGTTAATTATTGTTATTGTTAATTTAACCAGATGTAATATAAATTATATTCTATATAATATTATATTGTATATATACCAATAAATTTTTTAGTTGTGTGTGAACCTTATATAAAGCCACCTTTTGTGATTCCAACTGTTTACTAGGATATTTTAAATATACATCATAGGATGGTGTTTCGAAATCTTTGAAGACTTGGTGCGCGTTTTTGGTAGACTTGTCGAAAGCTACGCATCCATATAGCAAGGATGACCTAATAATTAGAGATTTCTATTCAATTTTACTGACGTAAATTTTTTGCTTTAGAAGAGGAATTTAATTTGTTTAGAGTTATTACACATTATCTCTTTCCTTTTGATATTTTGAAGGAGATAAAATAAATTTAGAATAAAATTTAAATTTGTGTGTTTTATTTACAAAGTCTGCAGAAAGTCTGTAGATGTTGAAAAATAGATTGCATTGTGTGGTTATCTACATATTTGTTCAAAATGAATTAATAATAAAATTAACAATTAAAGAAATGCTTGATCTGGATATCCCTCCTATTTTTATTTAATATTCAACCAATTGAAATTCGGCATAATGTTGGACTGTTTAACAGAGCAAATCCTTTATTGACTAATTTTTTGATAGTGATTGGGACTATCGGTTTATATGGATTCAGAAATGATGGATTTACGCCCTGAAACCTTTTGTCTGTACAAATGACCAAAGGATGTGCACTGTTCTTCTTAAAAACCCGGAAAGGTCACGTCCCTTTGCTGAAACAACTTATCAAGATTGGCGACCAAATGCCACAACCATCGAAGTTTCTCCGAAAAGATAAGTCAAATAGAAGTATTGACCGCTGGTAAAACCTTAAGGTGATTATACTAACATTAATATATGCCATACCAAAATGATTAATCATTTAAAATAAATGTTATCTGAACCGTCACATAACACACATATGGGATATAAAATTCTTTAACTACAATTTGATTCTAAACATTAAATGTTGGTTTCAATGCTCACATCCTTTATTAGCTAACAAATTGTAGAAACCTTTTTCGGAAGAAAGATTATATGATTAAGGATGATCTTAATTTTTGCAATGATGAGGAACCACATGTTTGGAATGAACTTATCCTTGTATTATTTTTTAAATTGTTTTTATGTTACATTTTGTTCGTATTTTATTTATCTCACACTATGCACAGCACTCTCAAATAATCACAAATAAATATTCCACAAATTATTATTTTAAACTTGAGTGCGTCAAGTTCGAAATTTATTATTGTAATAAAAATCCATAAAAGTTTGACAAAATTTGTTTGTTTTTTACTTGAGTGGAATAAATCTGGAGCTGTGGGTAGCACCAATACCGGGTCTACCGTGCTTAACGGGTTTGTATGATAGCGCGAATTCACCCAAATAGTGACCAATCATTTCAGGTTTGATTTCAACCTAAAAATAATATTATAATTATAATCTACATAAGCGAAAAAAAAACAAATTAAATTTACCTGTCCAAAATCTTTGCCATTGTAAACACCAATGATGGATCCGGTCATCTCTGGTACGATGATCATATTTCTCAAATGTGTTTTGACAATTTCTGGCTTTTCATTTGGTGGTGCTTCTTTCTTGGCTTTACGCAATTTCTTGATAAGTGCCATTGGTTTGCGTTTAAGACCACGGGAGAAACGCCTGCGTGCGCGACTGTGCATCAGTTCAACCAATTGATTGCTGTAATATAATATATAATAAACAATCAAATAAATAATTTACTATTTGATAAATAGTTTTGTACATACGTTGGCATATCTAATAATTGATCCAAGTCAACACCGCGATAGGTGAACTTTTTGAAGGTACGCTTCTTCTTAAGAGTTTCTTCAACCTATAATAACAATAGAGATAAATTGTTTGTATTAGTTTGCACATCTCATTTTGTCATTATTCTGCCGTGTTAGCGCAAAACTTTTTATAGGAAACTTTCGGCTTCCTACAACACATAATAAATTCTTCGTCACTTTTCTGTATAAATTTTGCACTATTTTTGGCCGATGTTCTATATTTTTAAAGATTTATTTATTGAAATTACCTCAGCCATCTTGACGTTTCTATGTTACAAATCGGAAAGAAAAAAATAAAGACATGGCGCTGCCATCATATAAATTTTTTGACATTTCGACTGCAACATATAAAGTACTGTACGTATGGAAAGTTCACAAATTATTTTTCTCTTCATATGTATGGTACTAATATATTATAAAATTTAATATTTTTATTTATCAATTTATCTAATTTATTTATTCGAATTACATATTGTACAAAGCTATAGCTCACTCAAAGCAGCCGCTGAGCTTTTATGAGAATATTATTGACATCGTAAAGGCTTTAAAGTGTGTAATTAGCACGAGTTATAGTATGTTCCACTAATTTTGTTAGATCGGTTTATATACATACTTAAGGTCGCTATCTTTCGTGCTTTTATTCTTAGTTAAGAATAAATCCAAGAAACTTTGACCAAAAATCGCCAAAATTTTAAATATTTGTCATATATATTATATGTAAAATAAATATAAATGATTTAAATTATCAATTATATCTGTTTAATTGTTTTGTGTGATATATTATTAAGTAAAGTTCATTTATTTTAAATGGATACAATACAAAAAGTCAATGAAAAAAATATGTACGCACTAGTATTTAATAAGGTTCTTTGTTTTCATAAATTATATGTGTAAAGATATTTAAAAAATTGATTTGTGATTTAATTAAATTTAGAAGAAAGTAATTATATTTGTTGTTATTTAACAATTATTAATTTTTTCCGATGCGTTACACATTGTTTTCTGTACGCAATATTGATTTATTATGTATTAAATTGACCGCGTCGTTAGTGAAGTGATCATATTAAAGGAGCACTAACTGTCAAACAAGTAAGTATGGTAAGTAACTAAGGTACGCTCTTGATAGAATTTTCTAAAAGATTGGAGTTATTTTCTTTACCACTAAATATATCACTATATCTTAATACATTCCGTAACTTAATCTAAGTATCCTTTAGGCTTAGATTAGACATATTGATTTGAAACATTTTCAAAATAAATGTGAATATAAGATATTATGCCATAAATTATCAAGCATTATTAAAAGTGAAATTAGTATTGACAATAAGCATAAAAAAATTGAATGCAAAGTTAAAAATTTCAAAAATTCATAATAAAATAAATAAACATAATTCATTGTTAATATTTTACATAATTTATTGGTCCATAAATCGGTTTTAAACAGGTTTAATAACTAATTGTTTTAATGGCTAAATATATTTAATAATAATTCTGTTTTTTAACGGGCCTGACCAATTAACCCGTTAGTCATCATAAGGGTACTATTAAGATAATTAGGATATCATATAGGAACCTAATGATGACTATAGAATATAGTTGAAATATCAGTTTAAATAAATTTCTTTAAAAAACAATTTTTTAAAGTGTGTCTATTCAATTGCTGACCTATTAGCCCGTTAATAAACAGGTTTGTAAATAAATAGTGAGATAATTGACATTATTTAAACTCAAAAAACTTATTTTTGATGAAGCCACTAAAAGTCAAATTAGATAGACAGTCATGGTTTATGTCAAACATGTAGTTGTATTGTTTCAATGTGTGTATGTGTTTGACACGTGATGTCAAAACAAATGTCCAGAAATTCATTTTGGCGTCTAGCTCACAATATATTTTTTAAAACCTAATTTTATTGCCATTTTATACAAAACGTTAAGGACTAATTATGGCTAATGTTTTTGATAATGGTGGAGCAGAAGGTCCTGGATTTGTTGGTATACGTTTTTGTCAAGAATGGTAACAAGAATGGTATAATCAATTAATTTAGCATATAATAATTTCACCTTAGCAATAATATGTTATATCCGAAGGAGGATAAGGATAATAAGATTCTTTTGTATGCTTGTCGAAACTGCGATTATAAACAAGAAGCTGATTCTAACTGCATATATGTAAACAAAATTATGCACGAAATTGAGTAAGTTTTTCTTTTATACGTTGCGCCATTATATTACAGCTTAAGATTTTTAAAGTGAGCTGACACATATTGTTCCGGATGTTATATCTGATCCTACATTGCCGCGAACTGAAGAGCATGCTTGTCCGAAGTGTTCGCATCGAGAAGCTGTTTTCTTTCAAGCGCAAACAAGGCGTGCTGAAGAGGAAATGAGATTATATTATGTTTGCACTAATCAAAATTGTACACACAGGTGGACTGAATAAATGTAAATAGCTTAGTGTACACATAGTGTACAAATAAATTATAATGTAAACTGGAACACAGATCTATAATATTAAAAATAAACTTAAAACAGTGTATAAAGATTTGGGTGTATTCGTTCAATCTTCCAATATCCAGATATCTTCGTCGTAAGTTTGATTTTTTTGTATATTTTTGTTTTAATTAACCATAAATCGTGATTAAAATATCTCGGAATGACCACAATACCATTACCACTTTAGTGGTAATTAGCGCTTGTTATTATATACAGTATTCAATGTTTATGTGATTTTGCATTTAAGTACTCTGATTTTCGTTTGTTATTGTTTCGTTTCTTTGGATTTCATTAATTGTGTCCATATAAATAACTCTTTTCTGTATTTTTGGTTTCTTGTCATGACAGCTCTATCATTGAAATACACGAGAAGAGTTTCAGTGACTTAATTTATTTTTTGATCTAGTAATAACTCTAAAATTATAGTGTACCATTAGGTTGTATATTATTTACAAGTTTTGATACGGAATGGATCAGATGTGCTATCATAAATAATGTGTTTTAGCTTTTAGTTTTGTTAGAGATAAAATAATTACAGATAGATAAATTTTTTGTTATAGCTTAAATTTACCAAAGTATTTTGTAGCATAATAAAGCGATTTTATTAAATTCTTGTTCGAAGTCATTGAAAAGGTTATGTATGTCTATGTTTACTTTATCATAGTACTTCAGTCATTGTCCCCATCATTGAATACAGTGTATTCTAAAGATATCACTAGATATAATATTAATATTTTTTAATACAAAAGATAGAATTCTGCTTATGAAATAATTTAGAAAAAATTATGTGTCTAAATTTTGTATGTAAAAATCTATTTAAGTAGAAACATTTTCTGTAGGATCTTTGATATAATATTATTTTTTTTTTGTCATCGATATATATTATATATATATTGTATATATATTGTATATACTTTTTTATATATATTTTTATATATGCGTAGATATATGCTTATATAGTATTATATATAATTTTAAATATGCATATATATGCAGTTTTTTCAAGTCCACAAGTAAATATTAGAGAATTATGTAGTAAGAACGAACCATACGCTAATAAATTTATCTTTTAAAATAATAATATTTAAAATATTTTGAACTTTCCACTGTTTTGAATATATAACAATGCTTATAAATTATAATTAATTTGGCAATATATGCTATTAGCTTCAAATCAGTAGTTTACACATGCTAAGACATCTATAAGAGGTGTTATTATAACTTTAATGGTAATAGAAAATAGCATTATAATATGGTAACTATGCTGTCCAAGATTAAAAGTAGGACGTTTATTACACAATATACCTATTTCTTTCTATTTTTCACTGCTGTAGTCATTGCTGCTACTACTGATTGGAAAAATTGTCTTCGAAGACATTATTTTCGAGACAGTCCTTTATAGTGCATCCGCATGATTAAGAAAATTTAAAAACAATTGTCTAAAACATGAATGTAAATAAAGTCTCTTCAATCGAATATATAAATCTGAATTGATTGGATCTGATTCGTCTGTAGGCATGCGTCCATGTTTTTAAGACGTCTTCGATGTCAAATCGATCCGTTTTCAACTACAATATTGAGATATTTTTTGTTTATTTATTAATGTTTAGTTTACGATTAATAAATAAACTAAAGGGTAACGTTTAATTTCAAGACCTTTAGGCTTTTTATTGTAAAGAATTTATACTATTGTGCCACGTCTTAAACGTATTGTCAATATAAAAGTCAAGTAAAACATTAGTATTTGATTGATATCATTTTATATATGGTTAGTTTAAGTTGGTTTCAAGTGGCAGCATTAAGCTTACTTGAGTCAAAATAATGGCTGGTTGAGATATTACGGATGAGATACTACTAACATTTGGTTGGTTCCTCTTAAGTTGAAGCAAGTGACTGGTATAAATTTTGCTCTCACTAAATTGATCAAGATTTGACAAAAATCTTCATCTACCCAGGCTGTGCAATCGTTACAGTCATTTCTGAGAACAGTGTGTCTGGTTTGACAAGTTCGTTTATATATAGTATTGACTGATATTTTACTCATGACCTAAGAAGAGAAGCTTAAAATACTGATAGAGTAGATTTTTAGGCATATATAGCTTTTATTTTTATGTTTTTATCTCGTTGAAATATATTCTAAACGTTAAGCTTAAGCTTAAAATTATAACTCAAGATAGTTAAAATATTTAATTTATATATTATAAACTAATAATAATAAGTACCGTTCTTGCCAATTAATAGCTCAATATTTTTGACCAACCCACTTTCTTTTTGTTATCTATTAATATTTATTATAGATCCGCTATTTATTAATTTAATCAATTTAAACTATTTTATCTTAAGTGAAGATTATAAATATATTAAAAAAATATGGAAGAACAAAGCAATAAAAAAAAATTCGCAACTGTCCAATTATCAACGTGATAAAAAATATATAAAAATCCAAAAAAATGTAGATAGTCTCCTCATTTGAGTACTATAAAAGCATTCCTTTTTCACAATGAAGACGTCAGTAACGTTTTTAAAATGTTTCGTTTTGTTGCTTTATTTGCGCTGGTGAGCTGTGCTTACGCAGGTGTTCTACCCGATGGTCGTATCGTTGGTGGTGTTGATACTACCATTGAAAAATATCCCTATCAAGTCTCCATCCAATCATCTAAAGGTAGCCATTTCTGTGGTGGTTCCATTGTTAAGGAGGACATTATAGTTACAGCTGCACACTGCATGGTTTCACAAACAGCTGCCAAAACTCAGGTTCGTGTCGGTTCCACAAGATATGATGAAGGTGGTGAAGTTATTGATGTAGAAGATATCAAAGTTCATCCAGGTTACAATTCCAAAACTATGATTAATGATGTCGCCATTATGAAATTGAAACGTGGTGTCAAAGAATCATCTACCGTCCGTTATGTCAAATTAGCTACAGATACACCAAAGACCGGAACACGAGCTGTTGTAACAGGCTGGGGTGTTACATGCTATTTAACTTGCGTTAGTACACCAAAAATTTTGAAAGAAGTTGAAGTTGATATTGTTGATAAAAAGGATTGCGAAAGCAAGGAGTACAAGTACGGTTCTGAAATTAAAGACACTATGGTATGTGCATATGAGGTTAAAAAAGATGCCTGCCAAGGTGATTCCGGTGGTCCATTAGTTGCTGACGATGAATTGGTTGGTATTGTCTCATGGGGCTATGGTTGTGCACGCGAGGGCTATCCTGGTGTCTACGCTGATGTACCTTCTCTACATGCTTGGATAGAGGATGCTATTAAATCTATCTAAATATTCAAGTAATTTTCGAAAACAATTTGTGCATATTTTGAAATATACCAAATGCGATATTAATTTGATTTTTATTGTTTTGTAGTAAGTAACTAATATTGTCATCATAGTTTGCTTTATTTGGTAAAGTCTGTAAGATGTAGTATTTTATGCCTGCTGAAATGAAAACCAATATCTTTCTTTTAGTTTTAATGAACAAAATATGTATGTTAGCATGTAAATGACATAGACATCATTTTATGTTGTATAGTAAATTCTAGAAGTTCTTAGAGTCCTTGACGCAGTATTTCTCTCCAGACACCTCTGCTGCGTGCGCACTTTCTCCAGTCTGATAAATTAAGTCCGCTTAGTGCTCTCTCAACTTGATCACTCCACCATAGATACGGTCTACTTCTACGTCATTTTCTTCCAACTACCGTTTCAAATATCTTTTTCTCATACATTCTTACGACATGACCAAGCTAGCCAAGCTGCTGGAAGTGGCACGTTATGAATGATATCAATGACGTGTTAAAGCTCATATAGCTCGTGGTTCATTCAGATGCGGTATTCGTGGCCAACTCGTAGAGGGCCAAAGATCTTAAGAAGAAGTTTTCTCAAATGCATTTAATTTACAATCAATAACTTTCTTTTTATTTCAATGAACAAAGCTTTTGTTCTACAGATATAAAGGGACAAATATTTCAAATCCAAATAAACTCAGTATTCATAAAAGCTATATATACCTACAATACCCAATTATCATCATTCGGATAATCAAATTAGCAGCTAAAATTAAAGAGTTGTAGTAGCAAAACTAAAATTATTTTGTTATACATATATAGTTATTTCAAGTCACAAATCGTTCCCAACTTTTATAGATATCATAAGTCTAAAACCCATCGTTATTATAATTTACCTTTAGTTAGTTAGTAGGTTCCAAATGTTTTTTAATTTAAGAGTCTGACCTTTAAGTTTACTCTGACCGTTATACCGTTGGGTGGTGAAAGTATTAGAATTCAAAATTATTTTCTATGATTGGTTATTCATTGTCGTTAACATCTTATGGATTGCAAAAGTCTCGTAACTTAATTCTTTACTACAAAAAAATTCGCGAATGGACTTGTAAAAGTTTTCAAATTCTTTCTAAACTATTTAATTTAAATATATTTTAATTATATACTTACGAGGGCAGCCTTTTTAAGTCTTACGCTTAACAATGAAGTCACAGTGGTTAGTCAGTAAAAATGGTTTTATCGTTTTTTAAAGTATTCTCCATGATGACCAATACATTTTTCCAGAGTTTTGCCACTTTGAAGTTGGTATCCGCAAAACCAAGATTTTGAATGTGTCAACGGCGTAGAAAAATGTTTGCTACGCATTTTTTTTAATGTTTCAGAACAAGAAAAAGTTATGAAGTGCCAAGTCGGGACTGTAAGGCGGTTGGCCCATCCATTCGATGTATTGAGTGTTCAAAATTTTTTTTGCTAGAGGTAGTAGAGTTCACATTATCGTTATTCATGGAAGAGAATGATCTTCGTTTAACGGCTGGTTTTCCTCAACTCTTCGACGATTTCCGGCAAAGAAATAGTTTTGTACCACTCAGAATTGAGTGTTCTACGTTATTCAAGTGGTACAGTTGCGACATGACCGGTTTGTAAAAAAAAACGTGCGACCATTTGTTTGAATCTGTTTCATTCGCGAACAATCATTGTCGGGTTCTGCTTATTTTGGAAAACACAAACAATGGATTGCTATTTTGTAGATCCATGATTCGTCGTAGGGTTATAAAGATGTAGATTAAGTACCTAGATTGCGCCAAACCTAATTGATAGTTGTCAGATTTAATTGATTTGCGTATAGAATAAAATTATAAAAAGCAAAAATGATTACATGTTTTATTAGTGATATTTCAATTAATTATAATATTCTACTGGCAGTTTGAATCTTCTATTAGGATATTTTTATTATAGGTTTATGTTCAGCACACAAAATGGTAAATAAAAAGAATTCAACTGTTCAATTGCTAGATCGATAAAAAATATAAAGAAATCCATTAAAACGTAGAGACTATCTACGCTCATTTAAATACTACTAAAGCACTCCCTTCTCACAATAAGAAGTCTCGCAAGAAGTCGGTAACGTTTTAAAAGGTTTTGGTGAGCTGTGCTTATGCAAGTGCTGTACCCGACGATCGTATCGTTGGTGTTGTTAATAACACCATTGAAAAATATCCTTATCAAGTTTTCATACAATTATCATCATCAGGGGATCATTTCTGTGGTGGGTCTATTATCAGTGACACTTATATAGTAACAGTTGTTTACTCACTCACAAAGAATCTCATGTATCCAAGTCCGTGTCGGCTCAAAAAGATTTAATAAAGATGGTATAGTTATTGCGGTTGCTCAAATCAAAATGCATCCAGGGTATAATTCTAAAATTATAGTAAATGACGTTGTAGTTGTAAGATTAAAAAAAACTGTCAAAGAATTATCTACTGACCGTTATATCGAACTAGCTGAGAAAACACCAAAGATCGGAACAAAAGCTGTTGTAACAAGTTGGGGTGTTGAATATTATTTGAGTTGTATAATTACATCTAAAATTTTGCCAAAAATTGAAGTTGATATTGTTGATAAAAAGGATTATAGTATAAAGTATAAGTACGGGTCTGAAATTAAAGACACTATGGTGTGTGCATATGAGGTTACAAAGGATGTCTGCCAAGGGGATTAGGGCAGCTCGTTGGTTGCTGAAGATAAATTAGTTGGCTTTGTCTCATGGCGTTTTGGTTGTGCATGCGAGGGCTATCCTGGTGTCTATGTTGATGTACCATCTCTACGTGATTCAATTATGGACGATGCTAAAATGAATGTAGTGAGTCCTTTTTAGCTGGTTTATCTATAGTAAAGATAGTGTAATCCGAGTTCAAAGTTCAACAAGTAAATTTTTGATATGGGGGCATCGTTCTTCTATCGAAATAAGGTTGACTTTTTTTATTTCTTTTAAATTCTACGTTTTACTTGTAAACAGTCGCACTTTTCAAAATATGTATTATTATGTCTTTCTGTTGTGTGTTTATTTTCATTAAATTTTTAGTCCATATTAAAAAGTAATATAGCGTTTACGTTTAAGTATGATTTTATATAAACTAAGTTAACAGGTTTATTTAGTTTAGATACCAGTGTACAAAATCAGATATATTTTGAATATCAGATCTTGCTACTTGAAAGATCTTTTTCAGTTTCTGTAGATTATATCCAAATTTGTTGACGGAATTAATTAACAGTGGTTGAAGTATTTAAACGAATCGCAACACTCTCTAGAAAATGTTTGAAGATCATGCATACGTTCAGTATGCGGTATGAGCGGCCTCTCTTTTCTGTCCATCAATCTAAAGTTCTATCTGTGTATTCTAATACATATTATGTCTAGTCTAGAACATTTGTCTTTAACCTGTTGCAGGAAATGTTGAAATATTATGTAGGTGTTAACAAAGCGTAGCGAACGGTGAGAAAAACTATTATATTAAAATATCATTTTTAGTTTGACGGCTTTAACAGGGACACATAGCTTGCCTTGGATATAGCTGCAGTAGTAGGAGTTAAATCTTATTCGTTGGTGTACAATCTACATTAGATTACTTTTATCTAGAAAGCCTTTGTTTTATTTGTGAATGAAAGTTAAGTTTCTGTTTTGATAAAAAAATACTTTTAAATAGTTTTTGTCACGAAATATCAGTATCAATGATAAATTCCATATTGAGTATTTTTGCCCGTGGTACTTCATTTCTTTGCTTTGTTGTGTATTATTTAAAACAATTAATTTATTGCCTTTTTAGATTAATTTAAAATAAAAAACCGATAGATAGCAAAACTTTGATTTTGATGAAACGAACGCAAGCCTATATAATCTATTTCATATCTTCAACGTTTACGTTCTTTCATATCACCAATCAAATTAATGGCATGCTTATAGCCAATTGAAAGATAACACCAATAAATCACAACATTGATCAGTTTAATTCAGCTATAAAAGCCAAAATACGACTTTATAACTATTTCAGTATTTCGTTACGTCTTATTTGATTGGGAAATACTATGTTTCGTTTCGTTACACTCTTTGCTTTAATAAGCTGTGCATTCGCAAGCACCTTGCCGGAAGAATTTGATGGACGTATTGTAAATGGCGAGGACGCAACAATAGAGGAATTTCCATATCAAGTGTCTCTACAAAAGACTTCGGGTGGACATTTCTGTGGCGGTTCAATTATAAATGAGGACACTGTAGTCACAGCTGCACATTGCATGACAAGTCAGGTTATTTCAAATCTTAAAATACGTTTGGGTTCAACTCTCTACAACGAAGGTGGTGAATATGTTTCGGTAAGGGCATTCGAATATCATCCAGGATATAATTCTAAAACTAAGGAAAATGATATTGCCGTCATTAAATTGGCCACACCTGTACGAGAGTCAGCAAAAATTCGTTATATTGCGCTAGCTGAAACAACACCAGCAACTGGTACTGCTGCGGTTGTGACTGGTTGGGGCGTTAAATGCTTCCTCTGGTGCATTTCTTCTCCTACGACTTTGCAAGCAGTTAAAGTTGGCATTGTTAGTGAAAAGGATTGTGCTTCGAAAGAATATAATTATGGTTCATCGATTTTGCCAACAATGGTTTGTGCTTACGATGATGATAAGGACGCTTGTCAAGGCGATTCAGGTGGTCCATTGGTTGCAGATGGTGTATTGGTTGGTGTTGTGTCATGGGGTAATGGTTGCGCTAAAAGTGGTTATCCTGGTGTTTACAGTGATGTGCCATCTTTACGTGCTTGGGTCGAAGCAACCGCAAAAACTTTGTAAAGAATAAATTAAATTTAAAGTATAAAAAGAATGCTTTTTAATTGGTAATATGAATATATTTTAAATATGGTTTTTTAGATATTTTTTTGCAATTTTGAAATAAGCGAAAAATATTTAAAATTAATATTGCAATCATATGATATTAACATATTATTTAATAGTACATAATTATAAATTTTCTAAGCGTATATGTGACACCTTGACATGAGCCAACATTGAACCAGAGTACTGTGCTTACCTATATTCATAACAATTTGCTGTATTATGGAAGTTAAATGTATTTTCTGATGGTCTGGATATGTGAGTCAGTAATTTAGGTTAGGTTATATTGGCGATCCTTGGATCTACTTAGAACTATTGGTCCATTATGCTACTGTAAAAAAACTTGGAAATTTGAAAACTACCTTAAACCTTTGGCAAAGCCTAAATAATATCTAACAGAATGTCTTGGGTCTTATTAAGATTTTGAAAAACGTAAGTTCTTTAGGTAGTCAATGTTGTTGTTGTTGTTAGAGTACGGTTGTGTAGTAACTTTGGGGAGTGGTAAACGGAACTTGGTCGTCGAAATTGATGAGTGGCTTCGTGACGTAGATCCAGTCGATCTTGGAACCAAAAAAGGATAAAGTAGATGTGCGTTATTATCGTCCTTCTCACAACTGCGATAGAAATAATTGGATGGGACATCTTCTAGCATGGTTTTTTAAACGACTGTGAGCTGTCAAGAAATCTTATCACAAGACTAATTTATTTAAAAGATTGCTAGAATAATTTATATACGGCCAATTCCTATACAGATTTCTGTATTTTGTTGAATCTTCCCACTTTGTATTAAATTATTCAATCAATTGTTGAGCTTTCTATATTAACAACGAATTGCATGATATCAGCTATATGCGTAGATCTTTCAGATATATTGAATAATTACCTGAAGCCAGATTACCAGCTCGTCTGCTTTACAGTTGCCAAAATTATCTCTATGACAGCGAACTTTAAGCCTAAGTAACATCGTCATCTCATTCAGTTGTGTGTAGCAGTCAAAAACCTTTCTGGATGTAAGCTGTCCTGAACTCCAGGACTTTAAAGCGTCTGTTAGTATGACTGTCTGTTAGTATGTATAATGTGAGTCAGTAAATTTGTGAACCGTTCGAGATATATAATATTTAGTTATAAGGTTTAAATCTTGATGTTGATATTTTGCTTTACAAGTGATCAAGTTAGATCGATTTATGGTAATATCCAGTAAAACTTGAAACAAAATATGTTGAATAACTTGGACAAATATGAGTTATACTTTAGCACGAAAAGGTTCATAATAAACTACATACTTAAATTCATTTCTTATTCATTTTATTAAATTCGCTTGATACTTACAACAAAATTATTAGTATATTTATATATAAAACTATAAGCTCAAGTTTGGTCTCTTTTTGTGGATCCTACAAAATATTTGTTAGTTTTATCTGTTTAGGCTCATAAAAAGTCCCAGGGCAATTTTGAAACTCAGCTGGTAAACTTAGAGGTTAGGTCGATTATTATTAGAAGAACGTCATATAGATCGACAAGTAGATAAACAGGTAGAGAGACAGCCAAATAGACATATACACTCAGACAGACATCGTTAGTTTTGTTGGTATTGTGATCAATAATATATGTTGTATGAGTTAAATATATTTGTGTTATACTTTGCATTATTCTCTGCATTACAAACACGAAGATCAACTTAATATACTTCATCCGCACTATGGGTATCAGGGGCAGGTTTTTTTGTATAATAACCCAATATTATTTAATAGGTTAGTAGTATACTTTTGGGATTATTTTATTTTTGCCTTTCCGTGAGTTTTTGAAGAGTATACTTTAAATTAAATCAAGCTAATATATATACCCCTGTAAAATAATTATATGTGCAAAATTTGTTTTTCGTTATTCTCTTCTTAGAATAATGGTACTAATTTTTTTTATATACAGTTGATTCTGTAGTTGAGTTTAACTTCTCTGACCATATATGGAGTTTTTTTTGTATACTATTTGTGGTACCGTTATCATAATTAATAACAATAGGTAGCAAATTTCATAGAAAATAATTATATGTGCAAAATTGTTTTGCTTCTCGAAGTGTCAACAGTAAATGGAAATAAAGTTGTGAAGTGTATTATAAAGTTTTTTTTTTAAAGTATTGAAGAGCAAAGAATAATTGGTAAGTAAAATACTTATTATTTATTAATATATATTTATTATTTTAATTAATTTAGATAAAAAATGCCGCATGGGACGGAATTTTCAAGTGAAGAGTGCGGAAAGATTATTGGAATGAGTTTTGCTGGGATGAAATGTGGCGAAATATCTGCTGCTGGTTATAGACACCTGAATACTATAATAAACTTATTAAAATATCTCGAAAAATATGGTGTTATAAGAGAGGCGGCCGCTTACCAACTATTAACAACCGAACAAAACGGCATATTCAGCTTCTTGCTACCAATGAGAGGATGAGTTGCAGACAAAGAGAAATGAATTAGATTTGTCTATCACTAGGCAATGCGTGCAACAAGTTATGAAAAAAGACTTAAAGCTAAAATATGAGTCGAAAGTTCCCAAACCGCGCCTTACACAAAGACATAAAAATGCTCGTTTAGCTTTTCATGACAAATATAAGTTTTGGGACGAGGAATTCGAAACAGTTGTTTTCAGTGATGAAAAAAAGTTTAATCTAGATGGTCCAGATGGTCAACACAAATATTGGAGAGATATTTGTCATCCACGTCAGAATTGCAACAAACGCAACCATGGTAGTGGTTCACTAATGGTGTGGGCTGTCTTTAGCTCGAAGGGAAAGTCTAATATATGCTTCGTACCATCAAAAATGAATTCGGAAATATACATAAATCTGTTGGATAGTGAACTGATAAATTTTGCTGAAAATATTCATGGAGATAATTGGACTTTCCAACAGGATAATGCTCCAATACATGTTTCTTGTGCTACAAAGAAATTATTTGAAGAGAGAAGCATCCCATTGCTAGATTGACCGGCTATGAGTTCTGACATAAATCCAATAGAGAATCTTTGGGGTATTCTTAGTGCCAATATTTATGCTTATTCGAAGCAATACGATACTCTTAAAGAGCTGAAAAAGGACATACTGGACGAATGGGCCAAAATTGACCTCCTACTATTAAAAAAATTGGTAGATTCAATGCTACATAGGATACAGTTAATAAAAATAAATAATGGAAACACATTATCTTATTGAAAAACAAAAAAAATTGAATTACATAAAATAATTAATTGTTTTTAGCAAAAAATGTGAATTGCACATATAAATATTTTCTATGAAGATTTAAAATAAAGTTAATTTTTCACTTAAAAAAAATTAATTTGAATAAAATTTTTTTATTATTTTAATTAGACTACTAAACATAAAAACAAATAATAAACTAAATTCACCCTAACAAAATTTGTTAGAGTTTAAATTAGATTTTAAGTACTGCACATATAATTATTTTACTGGGGTACATATATATAATAATAAAATGTATTATTTTTGACGAGGTAGAAAAAAGTAGTTATAATAATAATTTTTTATAGTTATATTGTCATAAATTAAAGTTGCTATAATGTCTATAAAAGCTAAAAAAAACAAACCCATTTTAGGCTTTTACATTATAAAACGTGATATTCTATCAAGGTATCAAGGTATCAAGTTGTATGCGTTTGCGGTTACTTTTTAGGATGGTAGGAAGTTAAGGGGTATAAAGTTTGTTCAAAATATAAAAAAACCATAACCGGTGAGTGTATGGGACTATATTCCGTACAGTATATAACGATATATACTTATATTATTGCTGAACGTAATGAATTCTTGCATTAAGATTCTTGCATATGACACTGGTTTGTTGTTATGTTTATTGCTCTACAGACTGACTTATGAGTACAGAGTTTACACGGGTATATTGAATTTTGGAATATTTACTTTCATGTGGCATATCTCAAAGATCCTTAAGACATTTGACATTTGTTCCAAATTAATTAATGTACTACCATTACTAACGTTTGTACGTTTGTACTTTGTAATTGAAGCTCTGAGAAGAAAAATGACTAAATTAAAGCTAAGTCAATACAGTATTACGGTATAGCTGCTGACAATTCACTACGTAGTAGGTAGCCATGCTATTAGACTGGGTCTACCTTATAATAACGTTAGTACTTTGTAATTGAAGCTCTTAAAATGAATCCGTATTTCACTTTCTTTATGAATAACCACATTTGTTTAAGAGAAAAAAAATCTTTGAGGAAAATTTTCCTACCGATGTGCAAACTGTCATCCTGCAATACTAGGGTATTGGCCAAGTTAATAGACTTGAGTTTCTGTTTATACGTTGGATCTACAGCACTATAATAAAGGTAAAAGTCTAAAGCATCTAACGCACCAACAGAAACTCTTTCAGAAGGCGATAAACTTCCATCCTATAAAAGGGATTTTGAATCTTTACCTAGCTAATGCTTACAATACACTGCAAAATGAGGTCGACTACCGCTTTCTCACTATTCACAGCGTCACAACGTGAAGCCGTTATAGTATAGATCAATGTAGTTAAATATGACTTCATATTATTGTTTGAATATTTTAGAAATAAATTTCGATTTTTATTGCCGAACTAATAGATCTGAAATGAACTGAGTACTGGTCAAACCTACCATAGTCTGTAATAAAGGATAAAAAAATATATAATATCTATAAAGTATGAACAATATGTGTACGTCATAATAGTGTTTAATGGGAACTACACATGTATTGACAATAGTAAAAATAGATGCCTTTGAAATACTCTAATAGATGGCATGACAATATCTCTCACTATGGTCGCTAACTTATTAGAACGAAATTTTTATTAAAATGGGAACAAGGAAATGGAATTCGATTGGTAATACGATGCTGTAATGCAAGCGAAAAAAGGTTTAAGCTTCGACAAATTGTAGAGATCCTATGTTTCACGGGCACTCATAAGAGCATAGAACGTCATTGTGGTTTAGTATGAGGGTTCTACTTCTTATGTTTTATAAAACCACAATATACCTCAACATGGGTTACTTGGCATATTGACTATGATTTTAAAACACCAGTTTTTTAATGAAAAACTATGTTATAAAGAAACTGTTTTAAAAATCGGTACAGTAAGATTTTTAATAACACTTACAGTGAATATTATTTTCATACTCGACGTCTGCCTTGAATAATTTATTTAGTTTTTGTTCTCGAAGTGATAAGTTTTCCACAGTAGCTCTTGCAATTTTTGGTTGAGGAAATGACGCAAAGTAGATTTCTTAAGCTGTCAATTGATAAATGCTAATTGAGAAATACAAATGCGAGCATTTAATTTCAAAGAGATAAGCTCACAGTTTTGAGTACTATTTTTCATACTACCTTTATTCTTCCGTTTTGTTATCTCCATTTTAAGCAATTAATTCACGAGTTGATAATTTCTTCTTAGGTGTAAGCACAAAAAATCGCATTATTTCCTGCCGAAGAATCCATTTACCATATCTTTGTTGATGTAATCTATTCTCTATCTCTAAAGCTTTCTAATACGGCCAATCGTTAGATTAGAACAGTCATAAATCACAACACTGATCAGTTTAATTCAGCTATAAAAGCGGTAACACGATTTTATTGGCTCAGAAGTGACTTCTTAATTGGTTCAGAAATATGTTTCGATTCGTAACTGTCTTAGCTTTGTTAAGCTGTGTCTTGGCAAATACCTTACCAGAAGGATTCGATGGACGTATTGTGAATGGTGAGGACACTACAATAGAGGCACATCCATATCAAGTGTCTATACAAAAGAGTTCGGGTGGACATTTCTGTGGTGGTTCAATTATAAATGAGGACACTGTAGTCACAGCTGCACATTGCATGACAGGACAGGATGCTTCAAATCTTAAAATACGTTTGGGTTCAACTCTCTACAACGAAGGTGGTGAATATGTTTCAGTAAGGGCATTCGAATATCATCCAGGATATAATTCTAAAACTAAGGAAAATGATATTGCCGTCATTAAATTGGCCACACCTGTACGTCAGTCAGCAAAAATTCGTTATATTGCGCTAGCTGAAAAAACACCAGCAACTGGTACTCATGCAGTTGTGACTGGTTGGGGCGTTAAATGTTTCTTCTGGTGTATTTCTTCTCCAACGACTTTGCAAGAAGTTAAAGTTGGTATTGTTGATGAGTTGCGGTGTGCTTCGGACGAATACAAATATGGTCCAAAGATTATGCCAACAATGGTTTGTGCTTTTGATGAATCTAAGGATGCATGTCAAGGCGATTCAGGCGGTCCATTGGTTGCAGATGATGTATTGGTTGGTGTTGTGTCATGGGGTAATGGTTGCGCTAAAAGTGGTTATCCTGGTGTCTACAGTGATGTCGCTTCTCTACGTAAATGGGTTGTTGCAACTTCAAATTCCTTGTAAAAGACTAAAGGACTAACAAATAAAATCAATTATATATGAAATGATAAAACAGCGTACTTTTTGATACTATTGGAGTGATTGGGGTGAAAATATCGATTATAATAGGGGACTGAAATTATGCTAGTGTTCAAGTGTTTTTTGGAAGTGATTTTAGCTGACTTAAAGTGTTTAGTCTCTAAAGTAGTTGTTAATTATTTAAAAAAATTTTTAATTTGTTATTATTATTGTAAAAAAATAGTGTTGTAAGGTAAGACCAGTGATATCTATTGAGTTATATTTAAACAAAAATTTTTGTTCTATAATACTATAATATAATAATTCTTTATAATATTATAGCATACTATAATACTACGATATTAAAGGTTCAAGTTTTTAGGCTTCTTTCAAGTTGAGAAGAACGAGAAGATTTTAGATTTCATTTTGCATTGTTACAGGATTGTTCAGAAAATTTTTTGGGTGCTAGATATAACATGCTATATATAACATATTGTAAAAGTAACAAAGTATTTATGAAATATATAAAGTCATTTTTGATTAAATATGTATATTTAATCAATTAGATTGATTATTATAGTGTGTCTATAGCTCTGAATGTTATATAGCATTTTGCTAATTTAATATTATAATGTTTCTTCGGAGAGTTATTGTAATATAGTTAGTTAGTTGAAGTGGAGGGACGAATCTTTCTCAATTGGTTAAGAAAAACGTTTTGATTTCACAAATTATTGTGGTATGAAAGTGAAATAATTATGGGATTAATCTCTTTGAGATGTAACATAGAACTAATAGCAAAAACTTAACAAAATTAGATAGCTGCTTTTGGGAAAAAAATTTCATAAAAGAACATATTACAGGCATATAATATGTAGTTCCAAGTATTAATTTCTTCAACTAAAAGTGCAGTGGAAAATTGAAGATATGCGCGACATTAGAAGGAAACAAATGTGTTGGTTATGAGATTGTAGATTATTGCTCGAAACGGTGACCGTTAGGATCCCACAGGAGATGGGTGAAGCCCACGACTCTTAAGAAATATAGGAGATTAGATCCGCCTAAGAACAACTGGACAACTTATACAAGCGGCACGAGGAGTCATTGGATTAGGACAAGAAATATATAAATTAACTATATAATTTATATTAGTGTTCCTTTTTTTATGACCGATTACATTCTGTTAAAAGAATACGCAAATAAAAAGAAACAGATATATTTCTAACATAGTCAATGAATATTCATATTCCTTTTTATATGTGATTAGATACATTCTATTGAAAGAAAACGCAAATAAAAATAAAGAAATAAATCTATGTATCACATAGTGTAATTTTTTAAAACTCTCCTAAACTCTTCATCCACATCCACAAATTCAATAAGCGGGAAGCAAGGTAGTACAGGCTACCACGTCGTTGAGTAGAGTAATGTCAAAGATTGTTAATGTCAACAGCCAACTCTGTTCTTCTAAACGGAAGCGAAATATGGGCTGCTTTGCTGAAAGTAGAACAGAAACGTAAGCCATTAACATCAGGACAACAAACGGCAGCTGTAAAAATTGCTACACCATACCGTACAGTATCTGAGGCTGCGGTGCTGTTCATCAGTGCCACATTAACTATAGATCTAACAGCAAAATAAAGGAAAATTAGGTGGCAAATTAAGTAGTAACAAACTACAACGTTAAATCGTGTAGAAGTAAGAAGTAGTAGTAACAAATCCAACAACAGTGCCAACAAAAATGGAATACAAAAACAAAAGGAAAATGGATAGCAAGATTTATTCAAGATGGAGCGATATGGTCAGATAGGAGAACTGACCAAGTAAACTATTATCTAACCCAATTCCTTTCTGGTCATAAATATTTTTAAAAATTCCTTTTCCGTACTGGCAAAGCAAATGTTATGAAGTGCATATACGGAGATAGGTTAGTTTAGGTTCGGAATGCGCGTACTGACCGTTGTCAGCATTTCCACTCGGAGGCATATATTCCCCATTGTGATGCCGTCAAAAATTTTGCCGGAAGAGGCGGGTTGCTAACTTTTGTAATCCTTGTTAAATGATTTGGTTTTCCAGATGAAGTTGAGGAGATCCGATAAGTTTGCTTTCGTTATCTCTTCCAAGTCAGTGAAAAAGCGATCCCCGAGACATTGAAGTCGCTTGGTCTGAAGTCCTGGACAGAGACAGAGGAAGTGGTTGATAGATTCTACCTCCTCTTCATCTTGGCAACTCCTGCATAATCCGCTTGCTGGAATTCGCCACCGTTGAAGCATAGGTGCAATGGCACAGCGCCCCGTTAGTACTCCAGTAAGCACACGAACTGGAGGTTTACGGAGATACAGATGAAGATAACGCTGAACACATCATATTTAACTTCAACAGATGGTACAACTAAAAAACATCACTGGAAACAATAGTCAGTGAAATAAACGTCGAAGATATCATAACAAAGATGTTGCTACCTGAAAAAAACTAAACCGCCATAGACCGATTTGTTACAATCATACTCAAATAGAAAAAATATAAACTCGAAAATGACTAATTTCGAAAAAGAAGCAAAGAAATAAGCCTAATTACAGTCTGCACGCAGGCTAACAAAGAAATAATTTTTCTCCTGAATCCTGAAGTGTGGTCGATAAAGTTACAGAGTAGAAATGTTCTAGTACACAAGGGGAATTGTGTTGAGTCCGTGCAAACCGGGCATACCATTCTTGTGACGGCATAGTGACCATGCGTAAGTCATTTTTAAACCTTTTCTTCGCACACAAACAAAAAAAAATTGGTTGTCATAGTAACTATTTTTTAACGCTTTATGGCGTTTTCGATTGGTGAACCTGGAGGCAATATAGATTTACTCTCGATCTGTCAAATTTTGTGGCCCAATCAAACATTTTTAGCAAATATTTATATATTTCATAAATACATATATCAAAACAAATTACATTTTATTTTTCAAGTCATATAAAACCGCTGTTAATTTCAGTGTGACCTTGCTACTCTGGCAAACTATTTAGAGTGTTATAAATTAATCTCGAGTGTTACACATTTTGCACGACATTTACCGATCGAAAATTACACTAAAAGGTAATCCCAAATAAAAAAGTTACCCCGGATTTACCAATCGAAAACGACATTAAACAGTGGCAACACTGTTTTCTTTTCATTAGCAATTAAAGCTACTGGAATATATTATTATTGGGCTTATAAACAATAAAGTAATTAAATATCTTATCATAATTCTATTATATGAATTTGTATTTACCCACAAATAAACAAAATATACCGAAATATGTATAAACTTTTCTTCTCTCTTGTCTGGCTGATCTCACTTCTTAAGACTTAAGTTAATATTCATATATACTCCAAATAATATAATATTCTCCTAATAATTTTCTTATCAACCCTTAATTGCAATGTTTATATAAATTAAGTTTAATTAAAGCTTATCGCAATAAATTCATGCATCGTAAATAATTTCTATTTTAACTGGAAAGATTACAAAATATCGATGGTCGCCATATACCTGACTAAATAGAGTAGACCAGTAATCAATTTATTAGCGAATATGGTGGACATAAAAATTTTGTTATTGATAAGTGCTCTTGGGCTGACGTCTGCAGCTGTATTGCCAGTCGAATTACCAAAAGACACAGAAACAGTATTAGTACCACAATTAGATGGACGGATCGTTGGTGGCAGCGAAGTATCTATAGCGCGGCATCCACATCAGGCTCAATTGCGGCATAGAACTTGTGAAGGTTGCACCTATTCGCATCTATGCGGAGGCAGTATTTACACTGATCGCATAATAGTAACTGCAGCTCATTGCGTTTATAATCGCTATGCCAACAATTATTTGATAGTCGCTGGTACAGATAAGCGTAGTGGTGCTGAAGGTGTTGTCTCCCGTGTTGATAAAATTGTGATGCATGAAAACTATAATGCGTCCATAACAGATTACGATGTGGCTTTGATATTTCTCTCAAGCGAGCTGCCAATAGATGGTATCAAAATTGCAACTATAGAACTGGCTGATAGTCAACCGAAGAATGGTGCTAAATCTATTGTAACAGGTTGGGGTACAACTACTGAATCTGGTTTATCATCGCAAAAACTATTAGAAGTGGAGGTACCAATTGTAAGTAATGAAGCATGTAATGTGGCTTACGGTGAGGGACGTATAACAGATGCTATGTTGTGCGCTGGTGTGAAAGATGTTGGCGGAAAAGATGCTTGCCAAGGTGATTCCGGTGGTCCTCTCTTAGTGAATTGGAAATTGACTGGAATTGTTTCTTGGGGGCGAGGATGTGCACGTCCCGATTATCCTGGTGTTTATGCTAACGTACCATACCTTAAAGATTGGATACAGCAAATTGCAAGTGATAATATGTAAAAGTAGTAAAAGTTAACATTTAAAATTTAGTGTTGAGGAGGTATTTATATAGAAGAAAAGAGTGTATTGTGTTAATATAATAATAAAAAATTTTAACTCATATCATGTATGTTATAGAATTCGTTCAGTTGATAGGTCACATTATATTTATTTTAATAGGAAGCACTAGTTTAAAAATAAGGGTTATGTTGTGTTTACATTGGACTTAAATGGACTGGACTGGACTGTACTCCTTTAGAATTCAAAACATTTTATCATAGTCATTTCAAAGTGTTTACACTGCCATTTCCATTTTTTTTGGCAGTTCGTACTTTATAAAACCATTTGCCTTCATATTATAAAATTTGTGTTTATTCAAAATGAAAAATTTTAAGTAAAAATAACCATAGTATACTTTAAGGCACACAATTGGTAATACAGGGTTATCTATTTTGTGGTACCAAAAATACCCAAATCATTATTTGGGTATTCGGGTGTCGTTATTTTGATCAAATTTTATTTTAATCTGATATTCTGATCTAACCATTAGCACTAGTTTTATATATAATTTTAAATCACACATTAAACAGATGTTTGGTGTCAACGTGAAAAGTGTCTCAGACCTACACTTTGGATAAGATAATTACCTAATACCTAATTACCTAATAATATTAAGCTTTTAAATATTCTCAGATCAAAAGGGAAAAATTTAATTAATATAGATATTATCGATAATTAATAGAGTTATTCTTCATACATTTTGTTAAAACTTCACATGGAAGTCACCAACACTATACTCAAGTTCAAGTAGTTTGAATTTTGCGTTTCCGATATTTTTTAAGTAGAACTTTACAAAATTTTGATAATTACAAAAATAAAATCAGATTAAATATTATTCTTAGAACTAGAACTATTCAGTACTGACTTAGAAAAGTTTATCTCTTTCGTTCAGAAAAAAAAAGACACACTGAAAATATTATTAATCTAGGTTAGTTTAGGTGAAATAGAGGGAGGAACGAGTACTTCAATTAACTAAAAAGGAGTTTTGTTGTCTCGTGATAATGGGTAGAAGCATGGTATTGTTAGAACCAGCCGGAAGCATTGATAAATGTGAGAAATTGATCGACGTTAATGCTATAAATATCACCGATATTTCTACCGCTACTACCATGCCATCCTATAATAGAGTAATCTATTAGAACAGATATTAACTTAGACACTACTGATTTGTTATTGACTACCAATTCAGAGGTTGTAAATTTTAAGTAAAATGTTCAAGTAACTCTTGACCTGACTTCTGAAGAAGTATGAGCTCACTTCCTATTTGTCTGTCACACAAAATGGTCACCTACCGTAGGTCACAACTTACGGCTGTGACTGGCAGGGGCACGGACTGGAAGAGAAGTTTCCGCAGAATACGCGCCCAATCGGGCTAGTTCATATACGCGCTATATTGGAATGCCCTAGAACCCAAACTAGAATTAGATTGAACATTCCACTTAGTGCGTTAGTACATTGCTTACATTCTTGAAGTATGTACGATCTATTTAGTATAATATATGTTAATTAACATAGTGCTTAAAAATTATAAACACCAAATAATAATCAAATAAAGTTTATTTTTGTTTTAAAACAATTTATGTTTGAATTTAGAGTTGCCGCATTTTAACAAAAAATAATTTATAATGTGGTTGTTCAAATAAGATCGTATAATCTCTAACGGAAAACATATGCGTTAATTAATCAACATTGATAGCTATGCGATTAAGCACACAATCATTAACAATTGATTACATAAAAATTATACATTATCGTCTAAACAAGCGTAATAATCTCTAACTGGTAATAACATTGACACCAATACAATATATTAAATTTTTTGCTTATCATTGGTCATTAGTCGTAAAGATACAGCAAATAATAGACGTCCATCGAATGTCGAGTAACGTATTTTGAAAAAGGTTTTAGTTAACAGAAAACCAGCAGAAACCACAGTACAATTCTTTGTAAAGGTATTATCGATTTTGATTAGAATTGAATTTCACAAGTCTTAACTTCCGGTTTACTTACAGTGTCAACATGAAAGTTTTGATCTGTCTTACTGCTTTAATAGCATTAGTGTCCAGTGCAGCCATCCATTATGTTAACATTAACGAGGAGGAGACATCACTGCCACGTTTAGTGGATGGCCGTATTGTAGGTGGAAAAACTGTACCAATCGGTGCGCATCCACATCAGATTAGTTTACGTTACAAATCCATCTTTACACCAGAAAATGCTTATAGGCATAGATGTGGCGGCAGTATTTATGCTGAGAATGTTGTTATAACAGCTGCTCATTGCATTATTAGTACAGTTCCCAGTCAATTTCAAGTTGTTGCAGGCACAAATTACCGTCAAGGCTCCGATGGCGCTATTGTACCAGTGAAAGAGATAATAATGCATGAGAATTACAATCCCGATACTTATGACAATGACATTGCTGTATTGATTTTGGGTTCACCATTACCAATCAACAATTTGACTATTAAAGCAATCGATTTGGCAGTTGAAGATTCAATAGATGGTCAAAACTGTGTTATTTCTGGTTGGGGTACCACAACGGAGGGTGGTATAGCTGCAGATTCATTGCAAGAAGTAACTGTACCAATTGTTAGTAATGAAATCTGCAATAAGGACTATGAGGGCTTGATAACGGATTCTATGTTATGTGCCGGACGTCGTGGAGTTGGTGGTAAAGATGCTTGCCAAGGTGATTCTGGTGGTCCATTACTCGTTAACGGCAAGTTAGCTGGCGTTGTCTCATGGGGTTATGGTTGTGCTAGACCCGAATATCCTGGTGTATATGCTAAGGTCTCTTATTTGCATGCTTGGTTGTTAGAAAAAATTACGCCTCATTTAAATTAAAGTAAAAACTTTAAAATTAAGAAAAAAAATTTTGCTTTTCGTTTTTTGTAATAATATATTAAAAATCTCGTTTAAAATACAAAAACTTCAAAGTACAACATTCAATACTAAGTTTAATTGGAACTATACACATAAATGATCTTTACCCCCGTTTTTCAGGTTGTTAACAATAGCGCATGGTAATACTGTGTTATAAACTACAACTTCTTATAAACTTGAAGGACTTGATAGTTTTTTAGTGATGATAACATATTTTTTATCAGTCATTAAATAATTTTCTGTTATTAGAGATATTTTTAATCACAAATGAATTAATTTGTTTTCTTGTTTAATATTTGATAATGCTTTGGATATGATTTAAAAATGGTCTTAACATATCAAATCAAAGATATATTTGGTATATATAATTGTGGCTTAGATATGAAAAGTTTTGTTGGATATATCATAGATGATTTGTTTGGTTTTTATTTTATACTTCTGCGTTTTTGTACCAACTACAAGCGCAAACCGGGAAAGCCATATCTAGATAGATATGGATCAGATGTAACTAAGAATCTAAAAAATAAATCATGTATTGTTTTGGTTCGCGAACTTTTGCACAAAAAATCTTCGGGAAATCGTTTAGAGTACTTATTGTATGATTCTTTGGTCAGCTTTTTGGCAATCGGCCAACGACGTCTCAAGCCCTAGCACACTCCCTGCCGATTTGTGTAAGTCCTCCTAATAATTCAAGCTATACTTCAAAGACAGAAATTCTGATTTCGTCATCATCCCGTTCTATAACTGCCCCTCTCGTGATCATGGTTATAGAGTCTACCAACAACCACCCCCCGGGCTTATGCATTAACGTCAACCCACCATCTCTCCCTGCGCTATGTCCTAAAAACGTCTTTTTTCCTTAATTACTGGAATAAAGTTTCGGTGGAAATCTTTTTCATTCATTCCTAAGAATGAATGTCATAAAAGAAAAACTCTGAATATATATTAAAATATATAAAAATATGGAGTTCTTCATAGATTTCTTAAATCATGAGTTTTATAACGATATAATGTGGATTTCACAAAATTAAAAACTTAAAAATATTCGGTTTCCAAAAATATAGTGATGAAAACTTATTTCACCAATCAACTAGGTGGTATTGTGGCGAAAATAAAATGATATTTGCTAAATCATAGCGATAACATTGAGGTTGGCGCAGCACCACCTCAGAAACAAGGAAAATCACCTCCCAACTGGCGCTGCCTACTTATAAAGTCCTGATCATATAGTGTGAGAGTGTTTTAAAATTCCCGTAGATTGATAGGGACCAAGCTAACTTGAGAAAAATGACGTTAAGATTGAAAAAGCTAAAAGATATAATCATGGAGATCTATAATTACCATAAGGCTCTGAAAATGATATGCTAAAAGTATATTTTTATTTGCATGACATATAATTTAAAATTATTTTTCACATAAATTCAAATAAATTTATTTAAAAAGCTCTTGTATTGGAAACCTCTATATCGCCAATCCGACCTGCTTGACGCATAATATCCTGATCAATGCCATTCACTAATAATGCCACTTCTAAACTTAAGTGTGCAATCTCATCCTTAAGTTTTGCTATAGCTTTCTTTATTTGAACCACAGAGCCTGAAAATAGAATAAATAAAAGATACTATGGTCTATTTTTTAAACAACACTTTATGTCACTTACTGCCATCGGACATAGATTGACCACGTCGTTCCATTTCAGCTTTCTTTATATCATTCTCTGCAATGACATCATTTAATTGAGTTAACAAATTAGCCGAATCACTTTCAACTTTAGTTTGAGCATATTGTAGTTTAGAGAGTTCTATGGAAACTTCCTTATATTCACTTATAAGAGTTTGTAGTTCGTTATTTAAATGCTTTTCACGACTTTCAACCTTATCAATACTAAATGTGAAATCGCCATGTAACTTTTTCAATTGATTTTGTGTTTCCTCCGCGATCTATAAGCAAAAGTACAAGCGTTTAAACTGTTCATATATAATTAATAAAAATTTCTTTTAGACCTCATCGATATTTGTTTTGAATGTTTCAATTTGACTTAAATGCGAACGCCAATCACGTGCATCACTCTTAACAAACACCTTCAGCTGTGGTAAGACCCGTTCAAACTCTAAACGCCATTCTTCCTTATCGGTCAAATGTTCTGTTACATGTGTTTGTGCCTCAGTTAAGATATTATTAGAGTCCCTGCTTCGTGCAATATTGTTAATCCAATTGAAATTCTTAAAATGATTTTTATCCACTTCCATATCACTATCATCACTTCCACCGGCATTTTGTTCATCTTCTAATTTTTCGAGAATTATTTCTGCATTATCTTCTAGATATTCCGTAGCGTGCTCTTCTTCTTGTGCTATTTGCAGATGTTCACAAGATATCTATGAATTTAAAAGAATTAATCTCTTAAAATATTATTATTATAAAATTTATTAAGTTACAAACCTTAGCTACTTTTAATACTTGTGTTGCTAGATTGTCTAGTACTAGCAAACATATTGGCCCGGCCCCTCGTATAAGTTTATTGGGTGGAAATTCAACTGATATATCCTAAGAAAATTTGATTATTATTGAAAGTTTATAAATATATTTAAATTGTGCATACAATTTCCTCCAGTATTTGTACAATTTTTGCAATCACAGTATTTGGATCATCGTATTCCTGTGGCCTTTCCATATCCTTACCTAATTTTTTACATAACCACCAACATATAAGTGTAAACATATAAAATTGTTCTCCAGGATTAAAGGATTTCACAAAATAATATCGCGAAATCGGTTTCATTTTAAACTCCTTGAGTAGTTGGCTTTCGTAATTTAGCAATTTGAGCTTCTCCAATAAATCGTCGGATTTATAAGTGGCATTTGCAGAGTCATTTTTATCTTGTGCACTAGCTAAGTCTTCTTCCATTTTAAGGAATGTTCTTTTGTAAAGTAAACTGTTTTATTTTTTAATTATTTTTACTATATTATATTTGGTATTATTTTCAATTATAATCACGCAAATTTTCAAAACAAGTTTTTTGTTTATAAAAAATTGTTTCCATGCCTAGGTTGCCATGGGTAACAAAGTAGTAAAACACAAGGGTTGCTTTCACCTGATATTCTCAGGATTATTTGGTTTTGTGGAAGTTGTTTTGAAAAGCGTAAAACCATTCCTGTTTCTTCCTCCCCCGCTTTTTTATGAATTACTTTATTTTTTTATCAATAAGAACTCTTAACAATATATATTTTATATTAAGAAAAAGAAAACAACTTAGTAGATAGTTTATATTTATTTATATATAGTATATTTATATATAGTATATTTATATATAGTATAAGTAATACATTTATTTAAAAAGTATTATAACTTGAATAAATTGTGTTTTTTATTATTATTTAGTTTGGGGTATTTGCACTGCGATATAGTGATCTATTTTATCCCCTCCATGGTTTCAAAGTCTTTCCGTTTCCAATTTATCAACTCGATAAATTGTAGTCTTTAACCTACTTTACCGAGACGTATTCCTTGGTCGAAAAATAATGCTTACGTAGGTATTTTTATCGTTTATATGAGTATATCAGTGCTGGAAAAGCTTCCAGAATGTGATTCAATGTCTCATTCTCTAATATTAAGATACAGATGAACTATGTGATTCTATATAGTAATAATTTGTGGAAAAAATTTTATAACCTACAGACTGTTATATATATTACTAATGAACGGTGCACCTCATTATCAACATCTTACTAAAGTTTGCAACTTTTTCAAAGGTAGATTAATTATGCAAATTAAGTAAGTTGCCCCAAAAATATTGGTAACAACACTAACAATAAAATAGGTATTTCATCGGATTTATAGGAAAAAATAATTTAAATTTAAGTATCCACTTTCTTATTTAAAAATGAAAAGTCATTCCTTCTTAGAAAACATTTAAATTGGTGTGGCATTAAAAATTAATAACAACACATTTTTAATATAGTTGTGGACATACACTTAAGAAAATTTAGTGGATGTTTCGTTAGGGATCAGATAGTACTGAAAAATGTCAGATATTTAAAAGTTATGGAGGCATGTCTAACTTTTTATTAAGGTAAGGAAACACCAAAAGAATGTACGCTATTAGCACCTGATCATAAAGTATACATAAAGTGTAAACTTCTTCGGCTAATATGTAAAAAGACCAATAAACGCTACGAAGACGCCAGCATAGTGTACACTTCTTTAGTTAAATTGTGCAAAATGAATGCATGATACGATCACTCGATTGTAGTTTACACTTAGAGTGTACCTATATGTACACGAATACTATATTGCATAGTGTTCTGTTTTTTTTTGTAATATGTGAAAAGCGTCTAAAGCCACAGTGTGAGACTTGAATCCACTAAAACCATCTATTAGGAATGAATGGAAAAGATTTCCATAGTAATGTGGAAACATCATTTCAGTGATCAGAGGAGAGAGGTAAGAGCAAGAAGCTTAACGCCGAGTGGACTAGGTTTATCTAGGCCAGCTTATTCTAGTGCTCTGTATAATTGTTAAAACATTTTCATAGTGTTCTGTTTATTCTCTTTAACTGAAGAGAAGCAAAACATTAAAGAACATTTCAGGAAATCGTGAATGGTGTTTTACATCAATGTTCCTCTATCTTTTCTTAGCTAGCTAAGCTTTCAATACTAATCTAAAAGTTTTTTGTATTTTATATTAGTGTTATTATCAGTCTATTAGTAATAGAAACAAAATTATATATTGTATTATCATTACAGATAACGCAACATTGTAACTTGTTATGTACTTAACAAAATTGACTATATGTACTCGATTTTAATACAATTATTGATGATAGTTCGAGATATCAATGAATGTTGAAATTTATTATCTAGATAATTTTAATGACGTTCATTCACTGAAATTTTTATTTCAATTGTCTATTTTTACTTAATTTTTTTTCTAAAACTAAAGTTCATATTTATAAACAAATTATGATTCATGATTGCTAGGCACTTTAAAAATCTCTCAATTATCAATTTATGAATTCTAACGAAATTTTGTAGTGGTCCATAAATCAATTAAAGATAAGTTTTTATATATATGTACATATATATAAAGAAATAATTGAAATCAAAATATGTTTAAAACTGTTTACATAAATATATTTTTATATTATAGTAATATAGATATAAATCTATATATATATGATTATAATAATAAAACAGCGGTTCTGAATTTTTTCTATTAGAAATTAAAAAAATTATTTTGAAAACTCCTACACTTCATAATTTTAAATGATAATAAATTAAATTGAAATGAAAAAATAATTAGAAATAATTAACTGACTGAAAAGGTTCTAGGTGGTTTTAAACCCTGACTTTTCATCTATATACACAGTTTACACAGTTAGCCAATAGGCCTAAGTGGATCCCCTAGTATAATCTAACCTAACCTGACTGAAAAGTTTTGCACTATAAAAAGTAGTTTTTCTTTCTTTAAAATGTTAATAAATAATATTACATAAAAAACAAAAAATTTGTTCCCAGTAATAATATTTACTGTAATACAAAATTGCGAATACAAGCATATACAATATACATATATATATTACAACAAGAAAAAAAAACAACAATAATTAAAGTTGCAGATGTGAAAATGTAGAAGTTGCCGTCATTGAGAGAAAGAAGGGTCCTTCGTAACATTTACTAGAGTAATGAATGATTTAATTACTAGAGTAAAGACAGCTGACAGCACCAAAAATTTAGTAAAAATTAAAAATAATGGTACCCGTTTACAGCACTAGAAAAAACAAAACAAAAATTAGAGAATATTAAAAATTTTTATTAAAAAATATTAGGAAATATATCTGAATAAACACTTTCGATATAAAACAGTTTAAAAATAATAGTGGCGTTAAAACTTTTGGTAAGATACGAATGTCTTGTTCCCAACTTCGCTATATAAAAGTCTTTTAATATTGAGTAATGATATAACTTTTTGATAACTTTTCCCTAGCACTTTGCTAGGTGTTCCGTACACTTCCGTTTGATGTAGTTTACGCAGTCCAATTTTCTATAGATCTGCTTATTAATATGAGATTAATGAGACAACTTCTGGCCATTTATTTGTACGATATTGTTGGCGTGTCTTCTGTAATCCCGCACAATTTATCGATATCATTGAAGGAATTACAACATCTTTAACTTAACACATATATTGTTCTTTCTGTCTATAAATTTAATCGTGGTTACAATAACCTCTTACACAGAGTTTAGAAATATAATCATCCAATCAGTATTAGTAGGTTTCTTCTTTCCCTCGTTTATAATTTTAGCTTAGATATCTTTATGGTTATGATGTTAAAAAGCATTTTTGAATTGCTGATATTTCTGAATACCCAATGTCATCCATTACTACTGATCAAAAGATTGTCGATCACATCATGTATTGTTACTTTCAGTGTAAGTAAAAAAATAATATTGAAAACATCAACAAATTTAGCGATCGATGATATAAGAGATCATATGATCTCTTGCATTACATTATTATTGTATTTCAACTTAAGTGGTATTAAGTAGATATTTTATAACAAATTGTTTATAACAGATATAAATTAAGTTGAAATCAATCAATAAAGTTTGGCAACCACTGTCAATAAAAATGGGTTAGATTTAAATTACTTGAAAGACATAAACATTTATATATTTTTATCAATTTATATAGATAACAGTCAAGAAATATCAATCAAACCAAAAATTTCTTATGACCTAATAGAGCAGTCTTCGTACATTTCTAGAGTGTTGACGCTCTTTGTCAGTATATAAAGTAATCCGTAAAGAAAAGTGCAAGTTCTGAACGTAAAATGCCGAAATTAAATTTTTGCATTTTAATTTTCATTATTTTTATATTTAACATATTTAAATATGCGGTACCGTACCCGAATAATTCAAATGACAATACGCGCATAGTCGGCGGAACAAAAATTGGTATACAAGAAGCGCCGTACTTAGTTTCACTGCGTAGTAAGAAGAACTCCAAAACTCCATTTGAACATCGTTGCACTGCGGCAATATATAATCCTAGAATTGTACTGACTACAGCTACTTGTGTCATCGGACAAGCTATAAATCAGTTGCAGGTAGTGGCTGGAACAAATTATCGCACTCAACAAGACGGTTATGTTTACCCAATAGACAAATATTTGATTCACCCAGATTTCAATATTTGGTTAATGGATAACGATTTGGCTATTGTTCATTTATCAATTGACTTAGAGAAAAATAAGCCAAGAATTATTGCTGCCATACCTCTAGCGAATATATTACCTATGAATGGTTCTGCCAAAATTGCTGGATGGGCTTCTACAAACGGAGATGTGAGAGATATGTCTGAAGAATTACAAGCAGCAACTGTAGAAATTTTATCTGTGGATGCCTGTATGGAAGCTTATGGTGATCAACGTGTTAGTGAGGCAATGATATGTGTTGGTAGCGATCATAGTAATGGTTATGCTGATGCATGTTTCGGAGATGCTGGTAGTCCTTTGAGTATAGATGGTAATAAATTACTTGGTTTGGTAGCTTGGGGAAGTGGTTGCGCAAGTAAAAATAGTCCTGGAGTTTATACAAACATAGTACATTTCAAGGATTGGATTGAAAGCGAGTCATTAAAATTATAAGATCAATAAATAAACTTTTGTATTAGTAGCTAATATTCACAATTAATTTAAAAAAATAATAAAATTATTAAAAATTTTAATTACAAGGGATATTTTGAATGAAAATTAATCTTTTAAATAAAATGAAAAGATTAAAATAGATAAAATATAATCAATACTGATTTGTTAAAGTAAAGCCCGTCAGGTACACTTAAATCCAATCTATTGAGCTCAAGTATTTCAAAATTTATTTATTTAATTTATTGTGTTTGACGATCAGCGATCCACTGATCCAGTTCCAGTTTATCAGTCCGCTGATCCACTGATCCAGTTTATTACTACGTTGATCAACTAATCCAATTTATCATTTCGCTGATTCACTGATCTAGTTTATCACCCCGCTGATCTACTTATCCAGTTTATCAGTCTGCTGAATAGTAACTGATATAATTGAGATACATCTTTAAAAATCTATTCCTTGTGGTAACTCAAACTACGCAATCATAGAGAAAACGTGTAATTGTTCTTCTTTTTTCTTCTGAGTTTTCATAACTCTAGAATCAGTGTTAAATGGATTTTGCATTTTCCATTATAATAAATAAACTGCAATTAAGCTTCAAATATTGAAGCAGTTCGTATTCATAAATTCTTAGTAGTTAATTTTATTACATAAAGGCCAGGTCGATAGGGATATCAAACATGCCGCAAGTGCCTTTCATTTATTAAGAAAAATAGTAGGTTGATGCTTTTCTTGAAATTTACGGGGGTTCAAAAATCGGTACTCCAAGAGTCACATTCATTGAGGCACCAAGCCAGTTAGTGGCCTTAACTGTCTTCTGATCTTATCTTATGTTCTAACAATAATAATAATATGTTTTAGTATATCTCCTTTGGTACAATTTCTTCGATACGCCACTGCAAATGAGTGGGTCAATTTATGGGACGATAATATATTTTGTTCCATACAGTTTTAACATCAGTTCAAAGTTGAATTTTTTCCATTTAGTAGTTTTGAATTTTTATCTTCTAATGGTAAAATAATTTTAGATTAATTTGAAATACTATGTATGCAATAATAGGAGGTTATGATAATTATGTTCTAAGAAATCGAATAGATTTCGAGTATATGTATGCTTGAATTTATTGCGAAACTAATATACAACGCACATTTAAAACACAGTTGAAGGTTACAGTAACTGCCTACTCTCACTGTGGTCCAATTTATTAGAATATATTACCCAGTGACTGTAGACTGTAGGTTAATTCTGCGCAGTACTACTGCAATGCATTTACTGAACTTAATATTTGATATTTCCCGGCCGACCTAATTATTGTTTGTGTCATATATTTCTCTAGTTACTATAGGTTTTTATACTAGTTATAAACAAATGAAAATATTGATTAGCAAGCAAATGGATTGGAATAGAATGATTTTCGAATAGAGTGAATGCTTGCATCAAAAAGCGTGTTTTATGAGCATATTTTGATATTAAATAAATTAATACAAATTGACTTCTTTTCAACCTACTCACTAACAGAGTTAATAGAAACAAATTATAATTAATTACAACACACACACAACATAAATTTCGAAAGCGGAACCTATTAATTTTAATATAAACTATATGATTATGAATTTCATTGATAAAATTTTAAAAATTATTCGAATAAACCTTTGAAATTTTCATAATCGAAAAACATTAACAAATTTTTATTGTTTACTTATTAATATGAACTATAAAAGGCTTATCTAACGATAATGACCGTAAGCGCGATAACCGTGAAGTCAAAACTTAATTCCATGAATTCTAAATTAGTTGAATTAAAAGCGTTAAACTCACACGATACCAGAAAAGAAAGCAGAAGGCCATCCAATTTTCACAACAAACTTAATAAGTATGTGTAAAGTTCAATTAATTCTCAGCATCGTCATTATAATAGCTGCAGTAGTGGTAGCAGCACCAGAAGGTCGCATTATTGGGGGCGAAGTTGTCGATCCTTGGAAACATCCATATATAGTGTCCATAAGATACAAGGAAAGCGTGAACAGTACAAGTTTGCATAGATGCGCTGGCGTTGTATACAGTCAACAAGTGGTCATCACTAGTGCTCAGTGTATAGTACCATATGCTCATTTTGAACGTATCTATGTTAAAGCGGCTGGTAATACACGAACTGGTGTAGATGGTCAATTATATCCTGTGAAAAAATGGATCTCTCATGAGAAATATTCAGTATGGACAGCTGATTATGATATCGGCGTATTGATATTGGAAGAACCATTTAATTTTAAAAATTTAGTTATTCATCCTATCGCAATTAGAAATAGTTTACCTAGCGCTGGTAAAATGGCCACCATTGCAGGTTGGGGTTATCGTGAAGAATTTGGACCATCATCTTACAATTTAGAAGAGACTCAAGTACCAATTGTTAGCTCAGCTGATTGTAATAATATTTATAAGGTTAGTGGCGATGAAGTTACCGAACGTATGATCTGTGCTGGTTATGTTGCGACAGGTGGTAAGGATGCTTGTCAAGGTGATACAGGAGGACCATTAGTGGTAGATGATGAATTAGTTGGTTTAGTCTCTTGGGGGCGTGGTTGTGCACGACCTGGCTATCCGACAGTATATTCGTTGGTTAAGAGTTATGTGACGTGGATTGATAACACAATTGCAGCAGAAATAAATAAAATAAATTGAAAACAATACTATAAAGATATTTAAAAATGTATTATTGTAACTTCGGAAAAGTGTTATACTGCCAATAAAATATAAAAATGAATGATGTAAATAGTTTTTAGTGGTTAATGTTATATAAAATATTTTGAATGTTATAAAGAAATTGATCTATATAATATGACAAGATCTATAGATCTTATCTGTATATTGATTGTATAGACACAATCATTGATCACGTTGATAATGGCGTTTTAGAATCAAAATATAATCTTCATGTCTAATGTACAATTTGTTAACAGTCACTGGCTACAGTAGTTAGTTAAGTCCAAAATCTAGTTGATGCATTTTCGTAGAGCTGTCTTAATTAACCAACAATTGATGCTCAATTGAACTACAGTACGAGTGGCCGATCACTGTAGTCAGCAAGTGTTGCTTATTGGTGCGTTTAGCATCAAATTAACCGTGTTATTAAAATGGTTAACTCATGAAAAAGACAGGTATTATTGCCTTAAAACTAATGTATTAAGATGTTCTCAGATTAGATATTGTATTATATAGATTAGATAAAGATTGGCTTTTAAGTTAGTTTTGAATTTTTTACAACCTTTATAATATGACACTTATAGTAATGGACTTAAGTTGCAAGGAGATCACCGGAAAGACCTTCAGAGGCTATAAGTAAATGTTACATATTAAACAAAAAACTCTCAAAAATGAAACCATCATCACTCATTTTTATTCGCATTAATTCAACATGACATTTCATATATTGAGTATGCCTTTCCAATTTAACTATCTACCATATATTCAGTTAACATGACAAACTACTGCGTTTCTTTAAAAGGTGATGCCTAATTTTGCTCGCAGTTAACTATAGACGTTGACATAGAAATTATAGTAAGTAACTACAATATAAGAGAGGATATATTATTTTTATATATAAGCTGGACCTCTTTTCTGATGAATTGGATAATCTTTGTTTTATTACAAAGAGCCTAGTGAAAATAACAGAGGCAATATGTTGGAATCAAATTAGTAGACATTTTAAAAACAAGTACTTTTAATAAACGTATTAAGAAGAGACACTAAGTTGAAGTTCTTTAAAAACATATAAATGGATATTAAATATGAGGGGTTTAAAGACTTTATTGGCTTTGCTCTATAAATAGCCTTGTTATATGATTTATTGCTTTGTAAGTCTAATTAAATGTCTTTGATAACACTACTATATCTATCTACAGTATCATATACAGTATATCTGTATTCAGTAATCAATTAAAGTTAATAATTTATGAATTATTTAAATGAAAAAGCATTGCATTTGATTTTATTATGTCTTATCTGCTTATCTACTGAAGTACTTATTAAAACCTAGTAGCTACAAATCACTGTAATATTATTTTTATTGCTTAACACCTTCAGTAGTCTTGACTTCGCCTCGTTAAACTCAACATCAAATCGAACATGATCTATCAAATTCAAACATTTTTCTTCATTTGTCTAATAGTTGTCTTCACTACAAGTCAAGGATACGTATTAGCTGAAAATAAACCTACAGGACTACAGCAACGCATATTAGATGGTCTAACAACTACTATATTTAAGCATGCCTATCTGGTATCGATTCGAAAAAGATTCAGTGAAATATCTGCCTATGAGCACTACTGCAGTGGTAGCATATACTCAGCTAACATAATTTTAACTACAGCCAGCTGTGTGCGTAACACCAATCCCTCCAATATAAAAGTTATAACAGGCACCAGCTATAGTTCAGGTGCAGCGCAGGATGGCGCAATGCATACAGTTCGAGAAGTTGCTTTACATACAAATGATTCTATAGATATAGCACTACTGCATTTAGGCACTAATATAACTTTAAATGGTTTTAATACAAAAGCTATATCTTTGGCCAAAGAATTACCAAAAACTGGTAAAATGGGTGTAGTAGCTGGTTGGGGTAAAAATACTGAAATTGGTACTATCAGTGAAAATTTGCGCGAAATTAATGTACCAACTATGGATCAGGCTGCATGCAAGGCTTATTATTTTTGGCATTCTATTACTGATACGGAAGTATGTGCTGGGTATGTTAATGGTGGTGTAGACGCCTGTCAAGGTGATGCCGGCAGTCCATTATTAGTTGATGGAAAAGTGATTGGTATCGTTTCGTGGGGTTATGGGTGTGGGCGAAAATATAATCCTGGCGTTTACACAAATGTAGTGCGTCTTGTTGATTGGATTGAGCAGAATGCAGCAGTGACAAATGAAATTCTTATGTAAATAATTAACAAATTAAAATTGTTTTTTATAAACTGCACATTCCTTATTCTTTGTTTAGTTGGTCGTACGTATTACTATTATTAACAATTAGCTATTTGTTAGTAGAAGTGATATTGAACTTATTTGTTGATAAGATTAAACATTTGCTTGTAGATATACCACCATATAGGCAATATGTGTACGGATATTTATCATATCATTAATACTATTAAAATACTACAATAAGATTACAATAACATTCTAAGCACAGTGGGCTAAATTACTTTAAGACTTATAAAGATTAGAGGCACGCAAGATTGAAATAAAGAAGAGGGAAGGACTACACTTTTTCTGTAGTATGTGGAAAGCATCGAAAGCTATAGTGTGAGACTACCTACTAAAAGCATCTCTTAGGAATGATTGTGGAAAATTGCAGCGGATGCAACTCCATTCCAGTAATGAGGGGCAGCGAGGAAAGTAGATAGGCATAGTATTTGGTAAGGTAAATTTATTAAAGCCAGAAAAAACATGGTCGTACTGATTTAGAAAAAGATGGGCTTATATATGAAGGAGGTGGAGTTGGAGCAATTTTCAGGGTTTTTAGCTAGGTGTACACTCTGCGCTCAGAAACATAGTGGCCCCGGTTGTAAAGAGGAATGCGTGGCGGGATCTATTAATGCGTGGATCTATTAATTTTTTGTTTATTAGTTAGTTTTTTATATATTTTTTAATATATATTCGATTATTTAGATTTTTAATATATTTTTCTATAGTGCAGAGAAATAATTTTTTACAACCCTCTACTAAATACGTATATGGATATAATAAATTGTTTAAATAAAAAAAAAACAGCTTTTTATCTTTATTGTCAAATATCGTATTTATATCTTAAGTGATATTGTTATTGCAAAACATTACTTATTTTATCGCAACAATTTAGTATGTCCAGAACAGTAGAATAACTAAGTTACAAAATTGTCTTCTAAAAATCAAAAAGTTAAAATTTATAGAATATTTGTTAGTAAATTACAAACAAAATTTTTGTAAAATATCATGAATAGTGCTTGTTATTACATTACACTATTAGTGCTAGCTGCAAGCACTTTAACGGCGTCACTAAATAATATCAACACAAATGCGAACTTGGAAGACAATACTTCACGCATCGTTGGAGGTAAGGACGCTCACATCGCTGTTTATAATTATCAAGTAAGTCTTCGTTACAAGAGTCTCTTTGAACCAGAACAATCTTACGAGCACATATGTAGTGGTGCCATATATTCGGATATAATTGTAATAACAGCAGCACATTGTGTTATTGGTACAGTGCCAAGTCAATTCAAGGTAGTTGCTGGTAGTAATTATCGTAGCGACAATAGCGGTACTATTGTGCCAGTGAAAGAAATCATTATGAATGAGAATTATAAACCTAATACAGCTGAAAACGATATTGCTATATTAGTTCTTGGTTTACCTTTAAGGCCGAATAACTTTACAATTGGAACTATTGATTTGGTGAAGAGCAGTCCGATTACAGGTGCAACTGCAACAATAACTGGTTGGAGAAGAACTAAATCGTCATTGACAGAAGTTTTACAGGTTACGCGTGTACCTATTGTTAGTCACGATCAATGTAAAGAGGATCATAAGGGACAAATAACTGATTCTATGTTTTGTATAAATGCAGCCGGCAACAATGATTGTGAAGGGGATTCTGGTGGTCCCGTTGTTGTAAATGATAAGCTAGCTGGTATTCTTTCTAGACAATTAGATTGTACTCAACCAAACTTGCCAGGTATTAGTGCCGATGTAGCACATTTACGTAATTGGTTACTAGAAAAAATTGCTGCATATCAGTAATTGTGTTGCAATCAGAAAGTAATAAATGTATAATCTATATTTTTTTTGTGATAATATATATGATATATTTTTTTGTTAACAAATATTTCAAAAATTTATATTTAATAATAAATGAAATAAAATAAAGTTTTGCGAATCGATTTTAATATGTCCTAAATCGCAAAATAGCAATTTAGTTTCAGCAGATTACCAAATATGGGTGTAGCCAAGAAGACATATACGATAGCAGTCCTAAAAATGTGCCCAAAGGAATATTTCATAATATTTCACAATGAAAAGAAGGTCTATGTGGTAACGGGCTACCCCCTAATAGAAATATATCGGTGGCGAAAATATAGTATCTAATTGTCATCAAATCGGAAACCAGATTTCCGATTTTAGATGATATATTGATGGATATTAAATACATCGTTATCATAACTGGTTTTGTTTGTTTTTATAAAGGGAATTTTTTTAAGATCTGTTCCTTTTGGTCCATACGAACCAATTTGATGACCTTTGGATGATAAAAATATACTTACTTACTTGGTCATTTTATACATATGTCATAGCTATGTCTAGTAGCCTCCGCCACGATCATAGAATTACTTTTGTTTGCTGGTAGTAGTGAGTGGACGTCTTCTACCTGAGGGTGACGAATCAAACACTATACTAGCTTGACGCATAACCACATATATCCATGAGGAAAGTTTCGCTGCACAGATTAGTTCACTACGCACTGATAATTATAGTTATCCAGAGAGGGCCATATGTAGGCTGTGTGTCAACTTGAAGATAATAGTTACAAGGATTATGCTAGCATTTAACAAGTTAAATGTGATTAGACACTTTACCTATTAAAAATTGAATCGCGGAACAGCAAGTTCTATATAATCTAATCTGCCACACGTATACTTAATAGGTATAGTCCGTTGATTTCTTTATGGTCATAACAAAGAATTAATTATTACACTTCTCTGAAAAGAAATATGAGTTAAGTTAAATTTAGAAGTATTTAATTTATAACCTCTTACATATCTAAACTTGCATATCGTTTAGATAACATTATTTATGATCACAATAAGTGTACAAATCCATTTAATAAAAAGTTTTACTAATCACTTTGAAAAACAGTCAGTTCGGTGTTCGTTATGTTGTGGATTACAGTATTTGTGAGCGGTATTCTATTCACCAGCGTTTTAGGTGACATTTCATCCATTGGCAATTTAGCAATGCCCGATGGTCGCATTGTCGGTGGTGAACCGACAGAGATAAGTAAATACCCTCACCAAATATCTATGCGATATAAAGGCAGGCACCGTTGTGGTGGAAGCATTTATACATCTAATGTTATAGTAAGTGCAGCACACTGTGTTGTTGGAATAGAAGCAACCGATTTAACTATTGTGGCTGGAACAACATTATTAAGTGAAACTCCATTGGCTGAAATACCTGTCTACAAATTTATTGTACATGAAAAATATTCAACTTTGAACAACGATAACGATGTTGCTATTTTAGTGTTAACTGATAACTTTGACTATGGTCCAAACATACAACCGATTGGTTTGGCGAAAAATTTGCCACCAACTGGTACAGAAATTACCGTATCTGGCTGGGGTACTTTAGAAGAAGGTGGCACCATACCTGATCAATTGCAAGTAGTTAATGTTAATTTAGTTGATCAAGCTGTTTGTAAAAAATCCTACTACATACTATTAACTTCTCGTATGTTGTGTGCTGGAGTCAATGATGGAGGCAAAGATGCTTGTCAAGGTGACTCCGGTGGTCCATTAATATGTGATAATGAATTACTTGGTATAGTATCGTGGGGAACTGGTTGCGCACGTAAAAATTTCCCAGGTGTTTATGCTAGTGTACCTGCCTTATATGAATGGATAGAAGTCACCGCTGCAAAAAATGGACGTAATTTTTCATTTTTGTAACAATTTTGATATTAATATAAATATATAAAGAAAAAAGTCATACAATGTTTAATTTTGATATAAAAGAATTGCTTATAAGTTCAAGAATTTTTTTAGATATATAATTGTATTAGAGTGTTTATATTGGAATAATACTAAATACTTCAAGAGACTTTTAATAACCAATATTTTAAATTAATATTATTGATAAATTTTTATTGATAATATATAATTAGTAATAGTGATATTATCACCATTTAAAGTGATAAATATTTTACTTTCAATATAAGATAACAAGGTCTAATAAAATATAGCAACACCGGAATTAAGCAGTTATGGGATAAATCTTTCTGTATATATACATATGAAGATTGAAATCATTCAAATGCATTATATTAAAATATATTTTTACTTCAATAAAGAATGATAATTTTAGTAATCATTAATTTTAGTTCATAGTACACATTTGTATGCTCTAAGAATTAAAAGCTATCTGTCCTTTAATAGTATTTTAAATACAGTTATTGATAAGTACTAATAACCCAATCATTGCCGTAGGTATCTTTAACTCAGGTATTCAATTATATCAACACAGGCACTTTCACTTATTCTATACTTTAATAAAAATATATTTCTTATAAGACCTAGAATCTAGTATTCCCGGAATTATGTAGTTAGGTTTATGATTACTAAACATAGTAATTACAAAGTCAAATCCATATATATAAACATTGCATATAAACATATAGTTTGTTTTACTTTTATTATTGTGTGTTATATCGTTAATTGATTAATTAGGTTGGAGTGCTGTTGACTTATAATTACTTAAATCACGTAATACTTTTCAGCTTTAAGTACCTTTACATGTTTTTTACAATGTATTCAAACAAGATTAATCTATCTGGTTTAATTAAAAATAAAAATAATAAAAAATTAAAATTTAATAAAGTATCTTAACATTAACGAACAGTCATTCGGAGGACGTTTTAGAAAAAGGACTCAGATTTTCCACTACAATTTCTACCATCCTTAAGAATAGCTTACTGAAGAGGTTATAGCAGATCTAATAAATTGCTTGAAAATATATATTCATATACTGAATATGGCTAATAAGTTTATAGCATATATAAGGGAATATTGTGAGAATTGTACAATAGCTGGATTGGGTTATATAGCAAATAGAAAGTAAGTATTTTGGTTATGATATTAAAATTCTAATCCTTGATTGTGGTATAAGTCTACACTTTACCGAACGGATTTTTTGGTTAACTTGTTTGATTCTTTCGTCATGGGGAGCCTATTATTTGATAAATGATTTTAAATTAGAATTTGAGAATAAACCAGTTAGTATAGTCTATGAATCACTTTCCCCGATGCGACATTTTCATTTTCCTTCTTTATGCGTTTGCGAAGCTCAAAATATTGGAGCATATGGTGACGACTTGGAGGCATATGTTAACTCGTAAGTCTTAACATTGTTAAAGAATTAAATATTTAATTAATTTATTTAATTTAAAGTTTGGGAACTGGCTTTGATGGTGAATACAATGATAATGTCGAAAAGTTTCTATCAATTTTTCTGTATCCGGAAGATTATTATCATTCTGTTATGAATACATGTGAAGAATTAGAAGAATGCGAAGAATGCAGTCAATGTCCAGAAAGTGGTTATAGAGACGTTATGGAGAAAGTATATAACAATATTAGTAATTAAATAAGAATAATCTAATTTTAATTTTTTAGCTGGCTGTGAATTGTAGCGCTTACTTCGTTAAATGCAAAATTGCAGATAGAGTTTTTGATTGCTGCCAATATTTTCTTCAAATTTTTACTCCATTTGGAAATTGTTTCTTGATGAACTCTTTGCAGAATAATCATCGGTAAGTTTAGAGGGTATAAAATAAGAATCTCTTAATTAATTTGGTATTCCTTGGAGTCATTATTTATTAAAGCTAAAGAATCTGTTGTAATACAAGAGTGTGGTTGTGATATTGAATAATTACGGAAGTCAAATTTAATGTTCTATAAATTATATAGATCAAGCTGATCCCAGTACATAAACCCACAGTTCATAAGCTTAACCCATAAACCATTACCGTAGAGTAATGCGAAATTTATTTTTTATGAATATTATTTATTACCAGATCACTTACAGATCACAAGTTTGTCCTAATCTGACAACATCTGAAATCTAAATTGATATGAATCACTTACTGTTGGCTTGGCACTGCATTTAACTCATTCTAGGTATTATGAAAGGTACAGTAGAACACAAGGCACTTTATCATAACTTGACTTTAATAGAAAAATGAAAAAGGCAATAAATAAATCTTGCAATATATTATATTGCTCAATTTAATATACTACCTTTGATTTTATAAGAAATCTGTTAGACTATGTTTACACTTAGGTTAGATTTGGTTGTACCAGTGATCCAAAAGGATCCACTTAGACCTATAGGCCCATTGTGTTACAGTATAAGGAAAAACAGCTTTTAAACCACCTTGAACCTTGGGCTAAGCTTTTAGTGCAATTTAAGGATACGTCTTGACCAAGATTCTAAAAAAAGAACGAGTGGCAAGGCGGTGTTGCGCATATACTGGATATGAACAAAGAGGGACCTCCTGACAACCATATATCTATAGAGGGAAACTAACATTGAATTTTTTGTCGGAATTGGGAATGCGAGGAATGTAGGCAAAGTTGTTTACCGTAAGACTGGAAAGTTTAAGAGTTGATCCGTGCCTACAGTCACTAATCTTTCATTGTGAGGTAGCTTTGAGTCTAGAGGAGATGATGCAGCCAATTGTTTACTAACAATATCAAATGACATTAAGTGAAGCATTAGGTTTAACACAATGGAAGGTATGGTACACAGAGCACCACTAATACAGAGTTCAGCTTTGCGCTGATCGCTAGTGAGTACAGTACAGTACGAAGATTTTTCGAGAGTTGTTCACCATATAGTGATGTCATTCAAAAGTTTTGGCTACTAACAGCCATATTTACCCGTTAAGTAATATGTGCTTGTGATCCCCATCGTTTACCAATTGCGTTTTGGCATTTTTGGCATATGTCAGCTATAGAAAGGCAAAGGCTGACAAGTGATCACTTTCAGGAACTATTTGTAGATATATGGATATGTATATATATATGTACCATACATTATAAATGAATTAACTTAATTATAAAAAATAATAGTATTATATATAAATTATATTGCGTGTTAAAATTACACTGGAAAATTGATAATAATATAATCATCAAAGAAAATCTTTTTTAGAATTTCATAAATGAAGACTTATTAATTTATTAACAATAAGTTTAAATAATAAGTTTGCACTTAATATTAAAACTATTAAATACAGACCTTATTATAGCAAATTGTTGATAACATAAAATATTATTTACATCTTTAACAGAGGATATGTTTAGGATGTTATTACAGAATAGACAATGAAGTATTCGGAATCTATAATAAATAGAAAAAATAAAACTAAGTAATTATTATCTTAGTACCAGATATAAATTTGAATTCGTACAGCATAACAACCACTAAATTATAAAGTTTATTTCTTTAGAGGCAGTAAAAATTGGCTTCACACCGCTATAGATCCAGTGGATGATACTGCAGAAATGAAAATATTCACTCAACGACCAATGAAGGTACTGACATAACAGTTTTTTATTCATTTTCTAATTTTGAACGCAAATAAATATCTCCCTATTCCCAGGTAATGATAGTAAACGAAGAGGATATACCACATCGTGCTGTTCAAAGTGTATCAGTGTCGCTTAAAGAACCTGGTATGAAAAAGGATTTTTATATTTATGTAGAGAATATGGTTAACGACCCAGAAGTACGTGATGTATCCATTAAATACCGGAAGTGTCGTTTTCCTGATGAAACTTTACCTAATACATTATATCGAGTTTATAGTTTTAGTGCTTGTCTATCAGACTGTTTGAGATTTCGTCAGCTATACTCTTGTAATTGTACTTTGCCACATTTATTACCAGGAGGTATATATTTATAGATATGTGTATTCTTTAATTTTATATATTTTTTATATTATAAGACAATAAAAATATACCGGAATGTACTCTAAAAGGCGTACGCTGTTTACATGAGAAATCACTGATAAATCCTGATATTGGATCTGTACTAAATTGGACAAGTGAAGATGAAAGCACTAAATGTGAATGTTTACCTTCATGCACGGAGGACGATTTTCAAGCTGTTTATGAGAAATATTATAAGTAAATAAGAGCTTTCAAATATTTCAAACAATTATTATAATTATATTTTAAATTAATTTATTATAATAACAGTTTTTCATTAATGGTTTCAGGTTAATTTGGGTCTGTTGAGCTTAAATAAGAAAGTAGTTTTTTTTTAAACATTTGTATATTTGGCAAAAAATAAGGATAAAGTACAAAAATTGAGATTTTAAAGGGTTAATAACAAATTTTACTTTAAGAGATATGAATTTGGTATCTTCAGTAAGCTTACTGCCTACAAGTTCCCCTCAGTTAAAAGACCTACAAGTTGCCCTACTATCTTTCTCGAAAAGGGATTATTTATAAAATCAACGTATAGAACAAAAAAACTGCTTCAAGAAATATTTCAAAAAGTTTTCTTTTTTTACTAGAGACAAGAAACTTATATCTCTTAAATAAAAAAATTTTATAATAATCCTTTATTGAACTAAAGACCTATATCAACCTAATATCATAGATAAATCAAGTAAGAGAATTTAGTGCCACATTGAATTTATTTATACTTTTTTGTTATTAATTAAAATTAAATATTTTTCGCTTGATGAAAATCGAGTTAGTGTCTAAAGCACTTTCACTCAATAGTGTCTGCGACCACTTGGATGATCTACTGTAACAAGATCTCCGTTGAATTCTGATAAGTTATTCTGGTAAATTCACAGAAGTAAAGTTTAAAGCCCAGCATATTTTCCTGTTGAAATATATATTGCATTAGATTTGAGCGAGTGCAATTCTGAATTAGTCTGCATATCTACAGAACCAAATAATTTTAGCTCTCTGACTTTGATATGCTTTGGCACACTCTCGACTCTCAAGTATTTGTGTATTATATTAAAATGATATAAATTTTTTTTGTATTGCTTATTATATGTTAATTAAATAAAGTTATAATGCTAAACTTAGAATAGTCTTTCATCGTTGTTGCTCGTGCAAAATCTCGTGTACTTCTGCTCTTAAGAGTGGAGCAGTTCGTTATTGCAAGTTCAGCAATTAATGCTGTTGAGTATATAGTGTGGCCTGAGAATTAGTGAATTATACTTTTTTTCAAGTGAACCACATACAAAATGAGTGACGGATGTATTTGTTTATATTATGTATGCTATAGTTCATCTTCATTTCTTATGTACCATGGATCTTTTAGTATACAATATTCTTTTTTAGCACAATATTCTGATAAGTTTAAAATTTTCTAATAATTTTACTAGTAAACAGATATATATTGTAAATATCGATATTATATTTATATTATTTTAGTACACATAATGCTGATGGTTCAATTAGCGTGACTATAAAAGTACCAAATTTGCCAACTCAGAGATATCGTCGACAATCGTTGCGTACTAAACTTGATGTAGTAGTGAATATTGGTGGTGTGCTTGGATTGTTCATGGGAGTAAGCATACTCAGTGCTTTGGAATTGCTGTATTACTTTACACTTCGAATATTCAATAACATTAGAAAGAAAAAAAATCTAGAAAATCACAAGTAAAAATTTAAGTGAAAAAAACATTTATTTTATTATTCACCAGCAAGTTAAAGTTATCTTAATACACATCTTATTATATTATTATTATCTAAATTAATTATAATGTATTAAATAAAACTTAAGTAATTCTAAATAAATTTTACAATAATAAATCAATCCTCAATATATTCTTCCTTAACAAAATCTTTGTTGATGTCTTCGTTGTACTTCATTACTTTCTTACATATTAAACTCATAACTTCTTCATTAACTTTTTCTACTTCATGCCAAGGTAAATGATGTAGCATTCGATCGAAGTTCGCCCACATATCATAATATTTTAATCCTGCATTGTCGGTAGTATTTTGTGGTAAATCGTACTCCTAAGTAATATATTTTAAATAAATTAGAATCAATATACTATTTTATTTGTTTATAGTTTACTTATTTTTATAAATTAATCTACAATTAATTTCATCTATATTTATAATTTTAAAAGATTATTATCGTAAATTTATATAATTTTTGTATTTATTTTGATTTATATAGTTCTTTTCTATATAAATTTGCCAACGTTTAGACGTTTTTTGATCTCTTCATCATGGTGGGATAATTGAACAACAGTTTTTTATTTTAAAAGTTTACAATAATAGTCTTATTAAATCAGTATATATTTTTAGATATACATATAAATAATTGAATTTCTTACTGAGGTATCTTCTTCACTATTGGCCACAGAATATTTTCCCGTCTGAGAGTCATTTAATGTTGTACAAGATCTGAAAGATAAATAACGTTTAGTTTCTATTACAATACACAAGAAAAGCATACATACTCTTCGTATACAGGATTAGGTAGAAAGTTTAAATATGAATCGAATTCCCATGCCAGTAAATCATTTTCCTCATTCTCACCGGTTGCAGAAAATTTTGATTGTAGGTAATAGGTTCCACATAAACGAGTCCACACATGTTTACACTCTTCAACTTAAAGTTAAAATTCGCATCATTAATTTATATTGCTACTAAGAGATTTGAAATACGAGGGCTGCCTTTTAAGTCCTACGCCTAACAATGAACATATAGTGCATAATCACTTAAAAGGGTTTACTTGTTTTTTTTAAGTATTTTTCATGATTATCAATACATTTTTGCATTCGATTAAGCCGATTTCGAGATAGTTTTGCTATTCTGAATAAGTATTAAAACCAACGACTCAACGCTTGGGCGTAGAAAAATGCTCGAGGAAGTGATTGGGTGCGGATGACCCATCAATTCGACGTTTTGAGTGCTCAAACACTCTTTTGTCTGAACTGATGTATGGGAGCTTGCATTGTCGTGGTGGAGGATGATCTTCCTTCGATGGTTGGTTTTTCTCAATTTTCCGTAGACTTTCGGCAAACAAATACTTGTATAGCACTTAGAATTGACCGTTCTTCCTTGTTTAGGTGGTACAGTTGCGAGATGACTGGTTTGTTTGAAAAACATGAGACTACTTGTTTAGATTTGCTCCATCTGCGGATAACATTTGTTGGGTTCGAATTACTTTGGAAGACTCACACAGTGGATTGCTGTTTTGTTTCGGGCTCATAGGCGTAGATCTTTGAATCGTCATCTATGACGATATCGTAGACATATTTTAAGCTACCTCAGCGCACGAAAATTTTCATTATTTAATTTCATTTTTTCGTACAGGTACAATTTAGAATTGATGTCAATAACACAATAAGCATTCGTAATAACATTTATGTTATGCTAGAAAATGTCAAACTAACGAACAGAAAATTCAAAATTCATGTGGCAATACTTAGTGTTGTTTCGGCGCAAGACTTAAAAGACAACCTACATAATAAAATAACTACTTTACTTACCTGATTTTCTACAAGCAGCACTAACTTCCAGCCACGCCATGGTTATGTTGAACTCACTTATATTAGCATCTTTTATATCAAACCAAATTGTTTTGCGCGATCTCATTTGATCAGCAAGTAACTTTATCTCATTACTTGTAAAACTGCCAAACTCACTATTCGTAACGGTATTTTTTTTTAAATCTATGAAGAAATTGATGTAAAACGATTAGTTTAAAACGATAATATACAATATATAATAAAATGAAAAATATTCTAGAATATTCTTTGGCGACACTAATAATATATAGATATATATATATCTATATATCTCTAATATGTATATCTTCATATTTATATCTTTATAATAAATACATCTTTTTAAATATATATCTACATCTATAGATGTAAATATATATATATATTTACATCTATAGATGTAGATATATCTACATCTTTTTAAATATATATCTTTATATATTTTATATATATGTCTCTATATAGTAAGATATATAGATATATAGGTATATATATATATATATATGAACTATTGGCTTTGCTTGGTAAATTTTGAACGATAAGTTCATAAGCTTAACCAAGTTTATGGTCAATTTTTGAAACCTATATGGTCTTGATATATAATTTAAAATACTGTTTTCTAGGGCCTCTGATAAAGACTAAAAAAAATGTATACAGCAAAGTATATAGTAATATGGATTCATACATTATCTTTTTTTTCGTATATAACAAAAAAATTTGGATAATTATATGTTAGAATGTACCAATATATTTTTTTTTTTAAACAATTCATTTCATAAATAGCTCAAATGTATCTACCCTTTACAGGTAGTAAGGAAAACTATTTAAATATTCTAATGAAAAATTTCAGCTTAATTTAAGTAAATCTAGTTCCATAGTTCTATTGATTTTTCATCTTCATTTTGATTGCACATTTTCTTGAAAAAGAAAAAAATCTATAATTATTCAACTAAATTTTTGTGACTGTCAAATTTCTATCCTTAAACCGGGTTTGACCTTAAAAATAATGAGCACGTTTCAAGTAATTCTTTTGTTATTTGTATCCAACCAAAAATAGGGTAGCTGTATCTACAGGTACACAAATAAAGAGATTTTCAGTGACAGATTACAAATATGTATTAAACATAAAATCATTTAATAGCTTAAATAGCCCGTGAAGTTTATAATTGAACATATTTCAGCATAATATATAATAAACGTTAATATAAAAACAAGTCAACGAGTAGTTTGGATTTTACCGAAACTGAAATACTCTTTCCACAAAATTATTGTATTTCAAATTCTGTAAGAAATGATTTTTAGATAATTATCATTAATTTACATTAACATTAAAATAAAATTAATATTTTTTCATTAAATGAATTTCTTCTTTTAAGAACAGAAATTTGAACTGTTTAATTTGATAAGATAAGATTACAGGTATACCAACTTCGAACCGATCTATTACAATATTATTAAAAGTATACAAGAATTTGCGTAGAACTCTCTGATAAATACAGAAGCTTTGATTATCTTATATCACAGGTTAGCTACTTATCAATAGTGATATTAAGAACTTTAAGATTTCTTTCAATAAATTATAATTTAAAGAAATTAATTTAAAATCACACCCCTTCACTTCAGTCATGCATGCAGTTGGTGCTCTACATAGTTTCAATTTATATCTTTATACAAATAACAACTAAAGTATGAAGTGACAATTTCACATATAATTTTTGTAGAATATTTTTGCAAAAATGTTAAAAAAAGCTTTTATTGTAAAAATATAAAACTAAACAATCAAGTTGTCGAGCAGTTAAATCCTAACTAAAATCGGTTTAAATAAAATTCAATATATAAATTAAATGTTATATATGTTGATTACATATTAAAAATCAATAAAATGCTCTTACAAGTGAAGAATTTTAAATTTTTATGGTAGCCAAGGGATATATGGTAGAAATACTCCTAAAATTCTTTCCAGGAAGGCTATGCACTATGTCATTTGTTTATTTCGAGCAGTAGAGCAGGCGTTGGTGTTCTCTTAATACAACCTCTCTTAATGTTGCTGTAGATCACAAAGATCTATAACGCAGATATCATGAAAGCAATTAAAAGACGAATACATAGGTTAGGAAGTGGAAGGTGTTAGTAGTGTAAGAGGAAAGGGAATTATTTAAGTGTAAGAATGGAAAGGGTGATGGGAGAATTTAAATTGAAATTAATCATAATCAACGCAGAGTAAAGTTACAGTTGGGGCACACATTGAGAATCGACGTATTTATGTGTCATTCTGATCTTAATTATCCAATACAGTTTTTGCTGCAAGGGTGAGGTCTCGTTGTTTCTGGGAGATATATTTGGCGAGGGCCTGTTGAGAACTTTGTGGCAGTGCGAACATATACTCGAAGAGGATACTGCATTTGTGTGAATGACCATTAGTCCTTAATATGTGATTGCTTTCTACGATCAAATTAGTTTTCCATCTATATGAGGAAAACTGACTTCATATTTCTAAGAGTTTAGTCTATGTGCAGCCAGACGACTTCTCTAGACGAAAATATTTCGTAAAACTGTTTAGAACAAAATTTCATTTCAAACAAACAAATGCTAATTTACATTTAGATAAATAGCTATCACTAGATCTATATTCCCATCAATCCCTATTTGATATTCGGCATTTGAACATATTAAAAAACTTGTAAATCCTATATATGAGTTGTTATAGTTGGTGGAGATTTATTTGGCATATAACATAAAAGGAATTATAAAAACGATTATATATGTTAGGATATTATTGTTAGGGACTATTACTTGAAGCTAACCTGGATCAAGCTGAAAAAACGTAACTAGTTGAATAGAACGGAACCAAGGATTAATTGGGCTCAAGTTGATGTGTGCATTTGGAGATAAAAATAGATGAACCGTTTAGACCGGCAATAAAGAAATTCCTGGACATAGACTCGGCCACTTATGTGGTTTGATAAATTCACTTGTTAAATGATTATTTAAAATGGTAGTTAAAGATAATATAATGTGTTGTTTTCTAGCAGCGACATGCTGTACGTCTCTGAGCAACTTGTGCATTGTCGACGACCAAGTGTAATTCACCATTCCCAAAAGGAACTATACCAGCAGATTTTTGCTAGTTACAACAACATAATCTTTAAAATTAATTTAATTGCAAGCATATTAAAGGATTGGCTAATATATTATAATATATTACTTTGATAATGCACTGAATCTTGGACTAATAGCTTTTTAACACCGCTTTACTTGTTAATATTCGGAAGATTTTATACTAACTTTGAGCGTGTTTTTTGAGTATGTAGATTAAGGAAAAATAAATTTTTGCGATGAAGACTGTAGCAATGAATATCACACCAAACTTCCTGTTTTGATAAGGTCTGTAGTTTTCCATTATAGCTGAGTTGGCAGTTCATGTTTTATTTTGGGTATCGCGTATTTGCGTTACTACATAACAGACTTAGTGGGGTCCCGTATTGAGTGCTGTTAGGTTTATACTAAAAACAAAAAACTCCAAGGAAAAAATTTTTGTTGACCTGCCGTTTTGAATTTCCAATAGCGTTTTTAATTATTTTAATGTAAACAAAAAAATGTTTAAATATATTACCTGGTGTACTCGTGTGTGTCTCTCTTAATTGCACTAAGCTTTCATATTTTCGGATTTTTGTTTCACGCGTTAACATTTTCTGAATTTTTCTTCTTCTGTTATCACTTCGTATTTTTGCTCTATTGTTTTCTCTCCAAATTTTTTGCTGTAATTTATGACGTTCCTTTTTTTCTTCTGCACTTAAATCTAAACGTGGTCTACCTTGTTTTTTTTTCATTGTTTCCTTAATATAAATAATCTTAAATAAAAACAAACACCACTCCGAAGCTTGTTTGTGTTTCTTCTAAACAAATTGTACTGTACTGTCAAACGCCAGTTTGACACAACAATCTGACAACATAAGTGCACCACCTACTTATGAAAAAGTAAGCAAAAAAAGTAATCGTTTTAAGTATTCGTTACTTATATATTCAATATAAAAATTTAAATAATTAATAAATTGTCTTATATTGCTATGATTTTAATTTTTTAATATGTGTTTGGTGTTTATATTGATATTGAATTAAAAGTAAATATTTGTCTTAACAATAATTAGCATAATTATTATTGTAATATAATTTAACCATTGTGTATATTATATTAAGTGCATCTAAATTTGCGATGAAAATATTAGTATCGTTTATAACATATTTCGATACAAACAGTCAACAACAACAATTGTAAAGATAGAAAATTAATATATGATAGTAAAATTATTTATATATACACTATGATACTCTATATAGCTATTTGAAGTTCTACTAATAACAAAAATTTGTGCATGTACTTAAACGCGTAGGTATAAAATATGGTTAATATAATTTTATAATAATCACGTTAAATAATCTAACAGTTAAAAATTACTACATTTTTTAAATAAAAAGCAAACTGGCGATATTATGACAGCACAAAATGCAATGCTTAAAAGCGCAATTTTTTAGCTAATATCGTTGCAATTTTAAATATTTGTGCAAACTTTATTGATCAGCTGTGTCGCTATAAATAAATTATAAAATAAAATACCAAAATTGAACGGAGAGTTTAAACTAAAAAGTATTTACAAAGATATTTTTGTAAATGATTCGCTTGTGTTGGAATGCAACTCTGTATTGGCAACAGATAAATATATACGATATAAATTTATTTAGTAAAATTGTTGTGTAAATTTATCATGTTTGTGTAAATTATTTTTTATAAAAAATTTTACACTTCATTTACCAAGTTGATAAATTTATACGTTTATAAGGGTATAAGGCATTTATCAGTTTAGGTGAGTACTCGTACTATGTTAATCTGAGTAATTCTACTATGTCCTACTTAACATACTCCTACTGTGTTAAATATGAAGCTAATACAAAAAATGAGATTTAGTCCAAGAGTTAGTTTAAAAATACCTGAGAAACAAAATTTTTTTATTAAAAAACTTTAAATTTCAAAAATTTTAAACTTCTATTTCAGGAATTTCGAAGATTGATGGGTTTTAACATATGTGTCCCCGACACCTTACTAACAAAAAGTGATGTGATAACGTTTATAGTTACTGTGTATATGGTATTACTTTTTACTGTTTTCGATACAAATTTCCCTCTAATATTTTCTTCCACCAAATAAATATCCTTGATCGTTTATATAATTTTGAATTCCTATAAGTATTGTATATTAGTATTGATAGCGAATCGTTTTTTAAAATATGCATACCAGCCGTTAAATATACCATGTTTCCACTTGTCTCATTTAGGCAGTTTTGCTCATTGAGAGCGTTAATGATGATAATTTGCCGTACAAGGAGGTTTTATATAAATGAACTCGTTATAAATAAATCAACTGATTTAAGGTAAAAAAAAGTCGAAAGCAACGCTAAAAAAACTCCCACAAGGGAAATGATCAAAATTTGAAACATTTATTATATATTTTATATGTGAAATATAAACAAACAAGCTATTTCACATGCATAAATCAGGTTACGGTAATGAAAACGATCATACCTTAATTTCATTAACATAAGTAGTCTTACACTGAAACAATAGTAATTGACAATTAAAATTACAAACACGTCTCTGGTGTGAATTTAGTATTAGCTGCAGTGGAAACACGATATTACTGTAAAATCTGGATATCTAGAATAGAGTATATAACATTGTTGTAAAAAATCCTCCTCTTAGTTTTTAATCAACAGACACAAAACGTATGACTTGTATAGTAGAGAGTAGCAGCGAAATGAGTCAAAAGTTCTTCGAATAAAAACAAATACCCTTTGGTATGTTTCTAATACGACACATTAACGTAATCTTCACATAGTCACATTAGTAAAAGAACTTGAGAGATAAGAGACACATCACACATATTTCGCTTTCAGTTCACCTAGACTTCCTTGACACTGATTTGTTTCGGCTAAACAGATTTAGATACAATAATATAATCATTTTAAAATAAAAAGAAAAAGAAAATTGAAGTAAGTACTAAATGACAATATATTTGTTAATTTGAAGAAACAATTTTTATAACTTGCTCTTTATAACAGCACAAAATTAAACAAGATACGATTACGTTCCATCAGGCATGGACATGAACTGATAGATGGCAATGCATAATTTACAGTAAGTGGAGATGGGTTAATACAAATTATTGTCCAGGTTGGGGGATTTTATTTTATGCCATAATCAACAGTAGTAGCGTGACTAATAAATTATTCATATGGTGTTTAATTTATTAATCAGTTATGTTAAGCAGATATAATTACATTAATAAAATATTAACTATATCAAAGTTGATAATGTTTATCAAACAATTTGATTATTATTATTCAAAATTTCCATTCCCTAACTTATCAAATGTCATGAAATGGTTTTGAAAAAATTTGCATATCATTTAATAAATAAAATTTAAAGGATTTTATTTCTTATAGATTATGAACACACATTTAAAGAAAAGTAGGATATAAGTAAAGAAAATATCATAAAATTTTCTGTAAATTGTATTTAATTTATAAAAATGTTAAATATGTAATATTTATTTAAAATTATAAATAAATTTTTCAATAAATAATAATAATATTTTATCCAACTGAATATAACGAAATAACAGGTTTAAATAAATAATAATATATTATAATAAATTAATAACTGATTAAACTGAATTGATTAATATATTTTACAAAGTTATAAATATAAATTATTAAAACATTTAACCATAAATTTAACTATCTGGTTTCTTTTTATTTAATGGATGAAAAACTTATCAATTTGCATGAAATGATTTATGTTCTCACACTTAATGTCTTGATTTATACGCTACGATAAAATTTACGATATATATAAGTTCATATCATTTAAAGCAATAAAGATTATAATAGAAAAAAAAAGAAATTGTACTTTTATATATACGATTATTGTGGTTCATTACCATTATATATAGCATAATAACTACTTTTATGAATGAATATAATTGTATCGTATTTTATGTTTATGGTAATAATAAGAATTTACAATATTTTGTCTGTGATTTTATATCGTAAAAAATTATATTGCATAGATAAGAACTATTAGTATTTTTTTTTCTAATATAAGAAATTACCATAAATAACAACTTTTGTTATATTATTCATATTATAAATTTAGTATTAATTTTAATATTATACTTTAATATTATACATTATATACATAAGATAATTAATTAAAATAATCTAATCTTAAGTCTTATTATACTTAAATTAAATCAAAAACATTGCCAGACATCTATCAAGAATTTTAGATATTTACTGTCGATTACTTTTAGACTTTTAAAAGAAACGTGTTAAGCTGATTCATTGTGAAAATATAATTTAGTAAAAATCATAGAAAATAGATTAGGACAAGTACATATGATACTCATTGATATTACTTAATTCATTGTAAAATTGAAGTACTTTGAAAAACATTATTAATTGGCTACACGCTTGTGACTCAGCCTTTATTATTAAATTAATTAGTACAAGTTTTATGAAATCCATTCAGAACTATAAAGTATGTATTAATATATATGGTATATCTGATTGGAAGAGTGTTGTCAATTAGCGAAGAAAACAATAACAATTTTATCGCAAAACTGTGTTGTATATCGGTAAACTATATCGGTTGGCATATCAGTCATTTTATCGGTAGCTGTAATTACTGGGAAATATATAACGCATTTCTTTTTGAGTTAAACTTTCTCTGAAGGCTACCGACATTTTATAATGGATATAAAGTGTAATATCGGACTAATTGCTTTATAACGATAATTTCGTCATTTAATTAGACGTAAATTTATGTTTTCGAGTTTATTATATTTTTTAGATTTCTACTAGATTTTGGTGTTAACATTTAAAATAAAAGGTTTTAAGATATTTTAATTAAGGCAAAAAGATTGGTTTTTATTAGAATTCCCTAGAAGGCTACAAAATATTGAAAATCATCTTGCTTTTCATTTTCTAAAAGGGAAGGTGTCAATGAGACGATTGCCTATATATATTTTTTATTATTATTTTTATTACCATTTTATTATAGTCAATAATTATATTATAACTTAATTATAATATACACTATAAATTTTTTTTTTTATTATAAAAGAATTTTTATTAATAATATAATGTAAACATTAAAATTTTTTGCTTCGATTAAAACAAGATAAAGATTTCGAGACAATCACAGAGCTAAAAAATGAGTGGCTGTTTATTGAAGAATATATGTATATTATTGTCTAATATATATGTATATTATGATAAAATTTCCTTAGTACAACATATTAAAGTTATCTTCAATCCGATAAGGACAGTAATGGCATTATGTTACCTATACCATAGATTAAGATATTGATCTTGAACACTGATCCTAAGGATTTTTTGTAATACTTTTATTTTCTTCTTTAAAAAGAAAGAAATCTCAATGAACGGGAAAGTATATTAAAGTAGTAAAGGAATATATAGTGTATAATAAGGTGTTAATTATTCAATCGTTTATATGTAACATATAATTGATCTAAAATTAGAATAAAGTAAATAATTTTATTGGAATAAAATGAAATACTCCTTAAAATTAGAAATCTAGAAATCTTACGGAAAATATAAATGAATTTAAAATGAATATTGGAATCTAAACAATTGTGTTCTAAACTAACTATTGTTGTTATTTAGGTTCAATGTAATGTTTAATGAATACCAACTATAGGATCTTCTTCTTCTTCTTAGTATCCGTTTCCCTAGTGAGCACTCTGTTAGGTGCTTCTCTGCATATATGTTATCGTTCCACATTTAGTGCGCTTCTGTCATTTCTGTCTCAATTGTCTATCTTCAAGTTAAAGCTGGTGTACCAAGGCGTCTACTGCTTGCGGATTCCATGTAAAAGCTTGTCGTGGAATATATTTATTTGGTCGTCGAACAGTATAACTGAAGGATGCCATTACTATAGAAGGTGAAACAATTTGTGGGTATATAAGTAAACGAAAAAGTGATTAATTGACCCAATTTTTGTGTTTATCACGACTGGTTATAAAACATAACATATGTAACATACACCATGTTACGAGGTCCATTTAAATAATTCCATATAGATTGAATTTGTTAACCAATTAGTGACGAATAAGAAAATATGGATAGCTATATATTTAGTATGAATTTATTATATAAATTAATGGATAGTACTGAATTAAATGACAAATGAGAATATGTGGATAGATAAACATTTAGTAGCCAGAATCTGTGAGAGTGAAGTTAGAACAACAAGAGGAAAACAAAGGACGAGAAAGAGATGGAGTGACAGTGTTCGACAAATTTGAGAAATGTGAATGTTAATAATGTTAATAAATATATTTTATATTATAATTCTCTTGCAGATGATTTATTTACAATATCTGAATATCTGAGATTTGAGCTGTTTAAACAGGTATTTCAAGAATGGAAATATGTTTTCGTTATGGTGCCTTTGACCTTATTAAACATGTCACATATATGCAAGTCAGGATTTAAAAGTTTATTATTACTTAATTGGATAAAATTAATCTTAACAGTAATTAATTAATAAACTTTTCAAAAGTATTTTACTATTCCACTATCTATTATCGGTTACTCCAGTGCAATATATACATAACTTTTGTTAGGTATAGATCTATATTTTTGATCATCTTTAAGTAGTTGTAGTTACATAAATGTGACATATTTATATATTTATAACTTACTTCCTATTCAATTTCAATTATTTATGCAAATACTTTTGAGTTACTAAATATGAAAGTTAAATTATAGAAAGAAACTGATAAGATTAGAGCATAGCATTTTGACTTATTAACATTAAATATAGGCCACCTTATAAAAGCTCGTCACCTCTTACGTACGTTAAAAGTATTTTGAATTTCAAGTAATCAACATGAATGAAATCGTGATCCGTTCGCTTGTGCTAGCCATCATTGGCATATTCGGTACAATTAACGCTGCAGCCGTACCTAATACACCGAATGGACGTATCGTGGGCGGAGAACAGACTACCATAGCTAAATATCCTTATCAAGCCTCGGTGCGTTTGGACACTTATATAATGTTACATATTTGCGGTGCTTCGATCTATGCACCCCGCGTTGTAGTCACTGCGGCACATTGTATCAAAGGACGTTTTGCTTCTTATATTTACGTTGTTGCTGGATCGTCTTCTATAGTGGATGAATCGGAACAAGGAATACGTGCTAGTAAACTGATTTATCACAGTGGCTATAATAAGAATACGCATGATAATGATGTTGGTTTAATTATATTGAGTCAACCTTTGGTCTATTCCAGTGTAGTGCAACCAATCGCGTTAGCTGAGAGTTCACCTACTGCTGGCACTTATGCAACGGTTACTGGTTGGGGTAAAAATAATGAAGAATCCGAAACCCTAACGAATATCTTGCAAGTAGTGGATATACAAATTGTAGATAGCAACGAGTGTAATTTGAAATATTTAACTAAAAATCTGGCTATTACGGAGCAAATGGTATGTGCTGGTCTTGCAGATGGTGGCAAGGATACATGCCAGGGAGATTCCGGTGGTCCATTAGTTGTGAATGGAAAATTATTGGGTGTTGTTTCGTGGGGAATTGGTTGCGCTAAATCTGATTTTCCTGGAGTTTATGCTAGTGTACCATATCATACTAAATGGATCGAGGAGCAAGCTAGCTCATATTTGTAAAAAGTGGTGGAAACAAAAATTATCTTAAAAAGTGATTCTCCTTACATGGAACCAACGAACAAATTTTATTATTATTATTATTAGTATTTTATTTTTTATTTTTTCAATTATACTTGTATATCAATTAGTGCAATAAATATAATTTTTTATGAAAATGATTTTGCATTTTGTTGTAATTTCTGAAATATGTGCATATTTTTTTTATTGTATTAGATTAAGCGTATTATGTGATGAGTATGCTATCATTTCTGTAATTCAGTTATTCAATATTAAGTAGTATGCAGGTGCCAATATATAAATCTATATACAGGTACTCTTTGTATTTTTTAAAGACATCCATCATTCTTAAAAAAACCTTAGCTACATATTTCCAAAGATTACTGGTCCAAACAATATCATTTCATCATATAACCAATATAACCAAAAATGTAGCTACCATCAGATGGAATTACCTCTTAGCAACCACCGTGTAACGTTTGGAAGTCTAAATGTTACAGTCCTTAGAGTTGAACATTTTTTGTAAACTTTATTTTTCGATCTAATCAGCTATAGCTAGAGTTTGGATTAATTTATATGATACTTAAACTCTTCATTATATGTGGTATTTACATACTTATTCCAATGATTGATGTAAGAGTATCGTTAAATGATAAAAATTTTCAGAATATATTAAAATTACTGGAATATATATTTGAGCAAATTAAGCGTGTAAGGCGTACATATTTTAGTTTGTACTTCTTAAAATGAGCAGTAGTTTCTAGAACACCCATTTCTGTTCGAAGGACAGTCTGTGATATTCGATATCTTATCATAGAAACAATCATCTATTAGTAATAATAAACAGTAATAGGGATAGTAGATAATAGGGTTTCATATACATATATATATTGACTAAAAAAAGTGGCGCTTAGTTACAATTAGTCCTCACATTTATTTAGTCCTTGATACAAAGGTGTGCTCCAGTATATGGAGCTAATGACTTGTGTTAGGTAATGTCATGTATTTTGACGATTGAATCCGATGTGAGTTCGGTTTAAAGTAATAAGTATGTCTTTGTTATTTTGCATAAACCGGCGTTTCTGACTGTCAATGGCTACAATGGAGGTGAATTGAGTGTTGTAGTTTCTACGGGTAGTTCAGAAGTGAGTGTATTCCCAGTTGTGGAATTTAAATTACTAAATCATCTAGAGCTGTGTATTTTCTTAAGAAATCCGAGCTCAACTGTTAAGATGTTAAGTTGTGATTTCGCGGTATTTTATGCGCTCCTATGTTAGGTACTGTAGGGAACTAAGCAAATCTTTTAAAATTTGGTTGTTGGTAGTAAAAACTTTCATGTTCTTGAATTTGAATTTTGTTATGTTGCTGTTGAATAGATTGAATCGAACAGATGAATTAAAGGTTATAGCAACAAAAGCCTGAATTTGCTTTTCCTAAGAAATAGTTAACATCGCCTTATTATATGGTTGTTCTAATCATACTTCAGTAAAATAATGAAAAAATATAATTTTGTTTATATATATAATTTATATATAGTATATAATATAAACACAAAATAGTCTTCAAGATATATTAAAGTACAATAAAAATGTTAACAAATTAAGAAAACCATTTCTAATAACGATAAATGCATATAATTCCTGTACTTTGAAGTATTTCTACCGTAAGATCATTTTTTTACAGTGCAGTATAGATCCAAACGTCTTTGAGAAAATGTGGGAATTTGTTGCCGAACTTTTTCCACCAATGAAAAATCTAAAAAAAAATAATTTATTTCATAAAATATATTATTAGTATAAATATATTGTTTAAATAATCGTATGCCGTTGTATGCAAAAGACATGAATTTTGTTTAGTTTTTCTATCTGCCGATGGTAAGTAATGTAGAAAAAAATATATAAATGCAACAATTGGGTTATTAGATGCATTAAAAGTTCTTACTTATTAAATTCTCACTGAAATAATATTAGGATTATTATTTCTCAATGCTTATTTAGCATAAATTTACTTGATTCCGTATTTTATTCATCGCTTTATTTGAAATGATTCATTTGTATTGCTCTGCAAACTTAATAAATTCATTATAGTTCGATTGTCAATAATAGCTTACCGATATCAGCTACAACCGATTCTTCACCTTCTTTTGCACTGCTTACAATCTTTGCCCAGGGATCAACTACCATTGAATGTCCATAAGCAATATAATCTGCAGATTCATCACGAGCTGGTGATGTAGTCACCACAAAAAGTTGATTATCATTAGCACGTGCTCTTTGCAACAATTCCCAATGTAACGGTCCAGTAGTCATATTGAATGCACCTGGGTAAATAATCATCTCACAACCTAATTAAAAAATAAAATTTTATTACAGAATTCTAATCCAAAACATTTATAGTAAACCTTCATTTCTATAAATTCTGGCCATTTCCTCAAAACGTATATCATAGCAAATGCCAATACCAATTTTATGACCATCAATTTCAATCGTTGTAAACTCATTGCCTAGCAATCAATCGCGTATAAATACTTATTAATGATTCCAAATTATTTAGATACCTGCTGTTAATGTTTCAGATTCTTTAAAAGTCATTAATCCCTTAATATCAATATCAAAAAGATGCATTTTACGATGTTTGGCTATTAAATTTCCAGAAGGATCCCATACAGTACACGTATTGTAAATGGCATTATCATCAGCCTTTTCCGGTATCGTGCCACCAACAATATAAACATTATGTTGTTTTGCTGCTTCTGATAGTTTTTGGGAAGTATATCCATCCGGTATGGACTCTGAATATTCTTCAAAATATTTTGTACCATATGGACAATTAAAGCATTCTGGTAATGTTATTAAACGTGGTTTATGTTCACAGACAGCTTCCTCGATTTTACTCACTGCATTTTGCACCGTAGCTATTTTGTTCTTCGTGCCTTTCAGCTGCAGCAAAACCATTCTCATTACTATAAACGCAAAATATTTTTAAGTTGTAAATGTTCTTTTATATTATTTTTCTTACTGTTCGACATATCTTTTAAATATTTAATTAATGTTGAATAATTAATAAACAAAAGTGCAAAATATGAAAAATCAAAACAAAGAAAAAACAGCTGTGATTAGCGAACTTAGCTTTGATGACAATTCGAAAAATGAAAAGTTTTCTCAGTATTGTAGAGAAAGCTTTGTAAAAGTGTTGGAAAACGTTTAAACGTTAAAGCTATCAGTAGAAGTACCTGCGTCTACACTGTCCGGATTTTGGCAAGATTTTTGCCAAAGTCACTTTTTTATTAAATATTTTTTGGTCAGCCAAAAATTCAATTAATTAATTTAAAAAAATAAATTTTTGTTGTTGTTTCACTTCTGTTCGAAAACCTTTTTATGTTAATATTTTACTCAATTTTGATATTACAGAAAATTTTTTTTTGTCATGGGTTGTTATTTCAATTTTTCGCGCGAAATATACCTATTGCAAACATATACCTAACATATTTAAAGATAATATTTAATGCTTAATATACATACAGAAAATATTCGAAAATAATATGTATTTGTGTTCGAATATAAAAATATTGACAAAGTTTAGTCAGTGTTGACCGATAGGTAATAAATTCGAATTCCAATATATAACTTTATTCTTCATTCATAATAGGTATTTTCGGCAACTTTTAAGTGTACCAAAAAACAGCAATTTTTTTTGATTGATAATTGAATGATTTAATGAAATAAAATGATTTGTGTCAAAAAATAGAAGATTGTATGTTTTGTTTATTATCATTAATAAGTAGAAATGTTCAGGGTAAACACCTATTAAAAATATTGTCTTTTCTATGTATTATAATAGGTCTGTTCCACGAGCTACTGCTAGTAACTTTAAGTAATACTGTGTATACACAAGTGCGTTCTACTAGCAAATTTTCGAGTAAATGAAAGCACCTGAGAGAGCGTGACATCCCTGTCAAAAAAATACTACACAAACATTACTCGTATATTTTTTTTCAAGTAAAATTTATGTTGATGTGTGAATCAGCTGTTTTGGTTTGATTTAAATTTTTGTATTGTTTATTTCCGCGGCACTGGTGTTTTCAACAGATTTTACACACAGCTGTTCCATGAAAATTTGTGTAACAAGCATAAGTTGGCACTTTATTTGTGTTATGCTTTCAGTTTGTATTTTACTTGTGTTTTACTTGAGTTTTATTATGAGTAGTTTGTGGAATATGATTAGGTCAACTCAATGTTACTCTAGCCATACATAAATTAATACTATAATACTACCTCCGCAGACATGTGACCCGGCAAAAGGAAATGCAACCTGTCAGAGAACCATATACACAGTAGTATTATATACTCTTATCGGGTATACGTTCAGTTCATCTAATAACTTTACTATTAATGCAAGCCTCAAAGGGACAAAAAATGCGTTTCATTTGGTATAAGTTTTCCGATTGAATTTTAAGCAGTACTAAACTAAGATAAAGACAAAATATGGCATTCAATTGTTCAAAGTGAAAGTCAACTGCATATATACAGGATCATAAATTACATATAAATCTACAAGTAATAAATGAAATAAATCTAACAGATTAGTATCACTGCAATTAAAAGTAATAACACTCGTCTGTACGGCAATCTGATTAAAAATTTTTGTTTTCGGGGACTCATAGATTTAAACAGTGTCAATAACAGATAAGATTAATACTTTTAAATAAATTATCAATAGTTAGTTTGTTGCAAAAATTAGCTATAAAAAGGGAGTCAAAAACTGGAGTTAAAAGAAATAGAGTAATGAATACAAAGATAAATCGGTCGACAATAAATGATTTTGGAGTTAAAAAAATAAAGATGCATCACATGATGGACTTAGATTAGCCATTAGAAAGAAAACGGTATGTAGTAAAATGAAAGAATATGGGGATGAATAACAATATAACTTTTAGAACAGTCATAGTTGCTAACAATTTTTACTCTCACTTTTTTAAAAATACTGGAACCAGCGCCTCCTTTGACTGTTACGCCCCACTCAGTGAAAACAGCTGAATCGCCATCATCTGGGCTTTAACGAGCCAATGGTTGAGCTAAATCTCAAAATTTAATAGAAGTATTCAATTTAATGACTGTGACATCATAATCCTTATTGTTTGAAGTAGATAAGTAATGAGAATGAATTTGTATGTCTATTATGCTAATAACGTTGGTATTTCCAACGATATTTTTTACACTATATTGTACTGTGTAATATTGAGTATTAGGAGGATCAAAGCAATGAGCAGCTGTAATAATAAATTATTCAATATAAATGCTGCCACCACATCTATGTTAACCTTTAAAACGAACTGACACCTGCCAGGAATTAAATTCAATGTAGTATTCTGACCACCTATAACACGCCTATCAGGCATAGGTACAAGCGGTCCAAGAACATTGCCATTAATGCAAGTCGCAAAGGCATACAAAGCGATTAACATGCTATACTTTTCCCGATGGAATTTTAAACAGCACTGAAGACAGATTAAATATATTATTTTTAAATTGCTTTCATAAATTATAATGTACTATACATATGTATAAAGATATTAGTATAATCGAAAAGATTAGTATCAATGTAATTTAATGAGTTAAAACACTCATTTTGAAGATAAGTTGATTAGAGGGTTATGTTGTTATAGTTTCGCTATTTTTTAAACAGTGCTAAATATAGATGTGAATTACTTTTTAATCAGTAGTTAAGGTGCTTAAAAACTAAAAGTAGCTTTTCTCTATCTTAATCATTCTACTTGAGGCGATGAGGCAAAGACCACCACAATTCCTTGTCAGCTATTGTATATACCTTGTATAGCTTGACTTCACGTCTCAAAATTATTAAGTACTTGTCACTATACTTTTTTTTTTCAAACTATCCTGATCAATATTTCAAACCGTTTTTATATCCAATAAAAAATAATATAAGCTCTTTCCATTTACTATTGGGGTATTAAGGCCCACAAAAAACAAAATTTGCACTTCATATCAAGTGGCAGTTAGGCATAGCCTTAACTCTTTTCCCTCCTCTCACACCAAAATGATTTCAGTTGCAGTTGATCTTTCGTACGTAAAATAGTGAGTTGAAAGTTCCACCTTTATTATATACCCTAGATTATTGGGGTACATGCGACTTTCTGTATGTAAGGAGGGAGTACCACATTATACTCATCAGAAATATTTAGTCCGCTTGCCATTGAGACCAAATGTCAGTTAATCTAAACATCCTCCCATACAATATATGTTCAACAAGTGATAGATTATTCGAAATCCTATTCTGTATTCTGTATTTAAAGTTGCCCTCGACTATAAAATCGCCTTAAAAGTGCTCTCCGTAGTATGTTTCGGTAGCACTGTTACTCTCAGGACAATAGCATTGCTTTTGATGCTTTTGAGTTAGGATCTCTGTACATAATTAGGAACCTTTTTTTTTGCAGTAGATTGAATAATCGAAAGTCACCTTGTGGAATTAGAAACCTAACCAAGCAGTAAAATAAATATGAGAGTTGAAAAATATTGTATATTTGTTTCTTAAATAGCCGTTATTTTTTTTTTTAATAAAGTAAAAATAATTTGATACAATTTATAAGATCAATATTAATTTGGCCATATTTAATAACATTTTTAACTAAATTTATTGTTACCACATTCTCAGCTAATTAATCTCTATCGTTAAAGATATTCAACCAAATTTTTTAAAAATTACAATTTAATTTATTTATTCATTATTTCATGACTTTCAGAGACTTTTAATTTTGTTTCTTATTTATTTAAATAAAATTTACAGTACGGCATTTTCTTCAATCCATGACTTTAAGTTGGCAACATTGGTGTAGACACCAGGATAATTAGGACGACCACAACCAACACCCCATGACACAATACCACTGAGAACATTGCCAGTAACTAATGGACCACCAGAATCACCTGAACAAGCATCTTTACCACCCTCTTTGACTCCAGCACAAATCATGCGATCAGATATAGCATACCTTTCCCAATAACTTTTCTTACAATCGTCGATGTTAACAATATCTACATGCACTGCCTGCAGAGCCATTGGAGAACTGCCACCTTCACGTAATGCGCCCCAACCAGTGCACACAGCTGTATCACCATCGGCTGGCCTTGAACTAGCCAATTTAATTGGTTGAACTGTATCTTCGAATGAAATAGGTTCATCCAAGATAATGACGGCAACATCATAATCCATAAGGCTTGAATCATATTGGGGATGCGTGATGAATGATTTAACACTGGCAATGTTTGTTGTACCGCCGACAGTTGTTACGCCGTATTGAATTTTATACCAACTAGCAGGATAACCACCGCAATGCGCAGCTGTGACAATAGTTCTTTCATTATAAACACTACCACCACACGAATGTGAGCTTAACAGACGAATTGACACCTGCCAGGGATGTGAATTTATAGTAGTATCTTCACCACCTACAATACGCCCATCAGGCATAGGTACAGGCGGACGAAGAACTTTGCCATTAACGCAAGCCACAAAGGCCCAAAAAGCAATTAACATTCGAAACATTTCCCGATTGAATTTCAAACAACACTGAAGAAAAATTGACGAAATATGAACTTAAATAGACCAAAGAAAAATTCACTTGCTTTCATAAATTATAATACATATAATATATTATACATATACAGATATAGGCAATAAATGAAACTTATCGAAGAGATTAATATCAGTGTAATTTAGAGTTAAAGCTTTCATTTTGAAGAAAAGTTGATTAGATGGTTATGTTTTTTATAGTTTTGCTAGTTTTTAATTGACTCAGCCGCGATAGTTTTTCTAAAAAAGTTGATATGAAACTATAGTGAAGCTATCGTATTTTGATATTTTAAAAAAAAACTATTCGCATATACCAAATATTGGTCTAAAATATCAGCAACTATAGCTTCTTTGTTTTAATTCTCAAGATTCCGATAGTTTTTTTCGTAGGAAAATTTAATGTAAAAAGGAAACTTTGATTAGTTGGGTTTAAACAGTACTAAATATAGATGAGAATTACGTTTTAATCAGTAGCTAAGCTCTGAACAAACTAAGAGTACTTTTTCCCTATCTCAACCATTCTACTTGAGGCGATGAGGCACAGGACCCCTCAAATCTTGCTCGCTCCGTCTTAAAAAAAACGGAGCATGTCGACTTCCTACACATTCGGCTCTATAGCTGATCTCCAGCGTAAAGTTTACCACTTAATTGTTCTGCAAGTTTGCAGCAACCCTACTCCCTTTACGTAATATTCTCGTATTATTCACATATTCCCCTTGAACCCTTACGTCCGTGCTTTTCTGGCTACGATAAATTTATCTTGCTGAAAACTAAGTGTTCATTACTGGATTAAGATTTCTACCAATACACCCTTGAGTTTTGCAGTTAATATGTCCTGCTGTTATCCTGTGGAATTTGATGTTTTCTACCCACAACACAAAACCGCATGCAGTAGCTTAAATATTATGCAAACTGTCCTTTCCAAATTTGGACTAGACTAGACTAGATTAGCGTAACACCATGAATGGTCAGATCGATAGCAGGAAGAAGCAAAACTGGCATTGTTTCCAACAACATTATCATTCTTTTAATCGGAATAGTACGAAGCCGTACTTTACTAGAAAAACTTCTTGAAATTAAATTGGTTTCTCCTACATAGCATTATCTAGTCTCAGAGTAGTCATTAGCCGTACGAGGCGGTATGCAGATCTTCGATCAGTCATCGAATAATCGGCGAATCTTATGAGGAATACGTAAATTAGTCAAAGAGAAGGGAGGGAGTCTATGAAAACCCCCAGCTAATAAAGAGTAAAAGTGCCCAGTTGCACTAACTCGGGAAAACTTCAACATAAGATATCGGTTTCTGTTTTCAGAGAAAAAAATAAAATGATGTAAAATAAATGGTGTATAGAATGACTTATAAATGACGTATAGAAAGTGTAAATTTTTGGAAAAATATGATATAAAAGAAGTTTATGTTAATTAATTAGTGTTAAAGCATGACAGATTTTAAACGAAAATAAATTAATAAATTAAATAAATTTTAAACGAATAAAATACTTAGGACTGAACTTAGTATTCAAGCTATAATTCTGGGCACAAATTCAATAAGCAGCAAGGAAGGCAGCACAGGTTACTGCATCGTTAAGTAGACTAATGGCTATATTGTTGGGTAGCTTTAGCGGTGCTGGTTATCAGTAACACATTACCACTAGATCCATCAGCCAAAGAAAGAAAAATAAGGTTGCAAATTAAACAGCAACAAAAACGACAACGTTAAATTATCTAGAAGTAAAGCAGTAAATCTAACAACTGTGGCAACAAAAATGGAATGCAGAAACAAAAGGAAAATGGAAAGCAATATTGATTCCAGATGTAGCGACATAGTCAGATAAGAAAACTGGTGAAGAAAATTATTATCTAACCCAATTCCTTTCTGGTTATGGATATTTTCCAAAATACCTTATCCGTATTAGCAAAGCAAATGATCCGATATGCATATACGGAGATGCAGACGAAAACAACGCTGAACATACCGTCTTCAAATGCAACAGATAGAACAACTAAAAAACATCACTTGAAACAATAGTCGGTGAAATAAAGGTCGAAGATATCACAGCAAAGATGATGCTATGTGAAGAAAATTAAATCGCCATAGACCGATTTGTTGCAATCATATTCAAATGGAAAAAATATGATCGCGAAAATTACTACTTTAAAAAAAAAAAGGCAAATAAATAATCCTAAGCAAGACTGGGACGTAAATTAACGAAGAAAAATATTTTAAATGGATAACCAACCCAGGGTCCCTGGGTTCCTAAAGTATTTCCGATGAAGTTCTAGCGTAGAAATGGTCTGATACACGAGGGAATTTGTATTCAGTCTGTGCAAACCGAGCACACCACTATTGTAAGGACATAGTAATGATGTGTTAATCCTCATTAAAGCTCCCCTCCACAGAAAAAAAAAATGGATAGAGTAAAAAGTTGAAAGTAACAAAACATATTAAAAAATGCATTTTAAAAAAATTAAAAAAAAACTGAAAAATGTTTTGTAATTTATATGTAAATGTAATAATCACGGAAATTTTTCTTTTTGAATAAATAGTACTGCTTTGAATTTCAGGAAAAAAAAAATATTAAATTTTATATATTAAATACGAAGGCTGTCTTTTAAATTTTGAGTCTAGCAATGAAAACACAGTAGTTAAACAGTGAAAATGGGTTTGTTGTGTTTTATTACATGTATCATTTTACATATTTTACACTTTCGTAGGGACTTTAAGGCAGACCCATCAATTCGACGTTTCGAGTCCTTGGATTCGCTCTGTTATTGGAATATTTTTGTCACTAATTGTGAAAATAAGAAACAGTGAATTGCTGCTTTTTTTTTACTCTTAGTTTGTTCGAGCGTAGCTCCATCACTCTTAACGATGTCGCAGACATGTTTTGAGCTACCCCAGCCGTACCTTTTCAGTATTTCTTAGCACCAATCAACACGTACCTTCTATTGAGCGATTTTAAAATTATGGGGAATAAAATGAAAACAAGTGCCCAAGAAAGCCTCTATCTCCCAGTATGTAAAATGCCTATCCATCTTAATAATTTCTTTCACTGCTTTCTGGCACCACAGTTGTTTACGAAATTCGTCGTGCGGAGAACGAAGACCACTCTCGAATTAATTGAACCCGTATTTTACAGTCGCTGGATGTGGTGTTTCATCCAATCTTAAGACTCAACTTTGACCACATAATAAAGTAAAAATAATTACAGATAATTTCAACTAATGAAAGACCAATATTACTTTGGCCATATTTACTAACATTTTTAACTAAATTTATTATTACCTAATTAATCTCTATCGTTAAAGATATTCAACCAAATATTTTTAAAATTACTATTGAATTTATTTATTCATTATTTCATGATTTCCAGAGACTTTTAATTTCGTATCTTATTTATTTAAATAAAATTTACAGTACGGCATTTTCTTCAATCCATGATTTTAAGTTGGCAACATTGGTGTAGACACCAGGATAATCAGGACGAGCACAACCAACACCCCATGACACAACACCACTGAGAACATTGCCAGTAACTAATGGACCGCCAGAATCACCTTGACAAGCATCCTTACCACCGTCTTTCACTCCAGCACAAAGCATGCGATCAGTAATGGTATTTACTCCACTATAACTATTATTACATTCTTCGTTGCCAACAATATCTACTTCCACTTTCTGCAAAGTACTTGAAAGATTGCCACTTTCGCTTGTTGTGCCCCAACCAGTGACAACAGCTGTAGTGCCAGCATCTGGACTTGAACTAGCCAATTCAATTGGTTGAACTGTGTCTCCGAATGAAATAGGTTCATCCAAAATAATGACGGCAATATCATGATCGATAACGCTTGAATCATATTGGGGATGCCTGATGAATGATTTAACACTGGCAAGGTTTGTTGTACCACCGATAGTTGTTACGCCGTATTGAATTTTATACCAAGCAGCAAGATAACCACCACAATGAGCAGCTGTGACAATAGTTCTTTCATTTATAATACTACCTCCACAAGAATGTGAGCCTAACAGACGAATTGACACCTGCCAGGGATACAAATTCACAGTAGTATCCTCACCACCTACAATACGTCCATCAGGCATAGGTACAACTGGTCGAAGAACATTGCCATTAACGCAAGCCACAAAGGCACAGAAAGCGATTAACATGCGATACATTTTTCGATTGAATTTCAAACAACACTGAAGAAAGATTGGCGAAATATGGCCTTAAATAGCTCAAAAAGAACGTAAGTTTTATTCTTGCAGGATCATAAATTATATATAAATCTATGGGTAATAAAAAAAATAAAATGAATAGATTAGTATCAGTTGAGTTAAAAGTTAAAGCACTCGTCTGCACGACAATCTGATTAAATACTTGTGTTTGGGGTTTAATAGCTTCAAACAGTGCCAAAGACAGATAAGTAGTGTATATGGTTGGTTCGTTGCAAAAATTAATCATTTATTAAAGAATCAAAAATAAATATGTATGGATATACCTATAATGGAGAGAGCGACGATGAAAGGAATATAAATGAATTTCACGTATGAATACAATGAGAAAACGTCAGTAATTCTTCTTTCCATAACAATCAGAAGAAAGATAATGGAACAACGTTAGTCAATAGAATGATAAATATATACAAAATGATTTAGTGATAGAAACTAAAAAATAGCTGAAAATATAAGTGAAACAAGTTAAATTAAAAACCAGAATAATTTCGGTTTTTGAGTATATTACTCCAGAACAGAGGATTACTTGGTTTACTTTATATACTTTCTCTATAATAGTGTCCTCTCAATAAAAAAAATGTTTAGCATGATAAGTAGCACAACAGCAGGAAGAAGAGCATATTAACTTTCTTTTATGTTCCGGCATTTAGTCATTCGTAAACTCGAAATTTCATTGCATTTTTTCCAATCTTCTTCAGACACCTCAAAAACATGGTTTTTAAATGCAACAACGGCGTCTGCTTCTTCACGACAAAAAGCGTTATTCTTGGTGTTAGGAAGCAAGAAGAAGTTATTCTTTTGTGCTGTTTTTGTGATGCCAAATCGGGACTGTACGGCGGATGACCCATGAATTCGATTTTTTGAATGTTCAAATAGTCGGTCTTGTCGGTACTTGTTTGTTTTCCGTATTTTACTGAAGACTTCCGATAATCAAATATTTAAAATATTATTATAAAAATTAAGAGTAAGAGAGATAAACAGAGAAATGATAATGCAGATATAGTACGAGTGTTTAAGGTATTATATTTTATTCTATTGTAAATAATTTGGGTTCAAATTGCTACGAACTCAAAATGTACAATCGGTAAATAAATATTTTGATTTGCCGATAATCAGTGACATTGTTAGATATTATTGTGATTTGCAAGAGGGATTTATAAATATAAAACAAAAATATTTTTATTTTTATCTTTAAATAAAATTATAAGATTAGTTCCGATGAATATATAGGTAACATTTGTTTGATTTTTAACGCTTTGTAATAGGTCAAGGTATGATTGTACTGTCGCTTTAGGGTACTCGAAAGAGAAAGAGTGTACTTTAGTTTAGAAAGAGCAGACTTCATCAAGTTTCTTTAAGTATTATACATAAAATAATTATACAACATTAATTGTGTTGGTAGAAAATTTTATTATTTGTAAGTCTTTTTATTGAGGGAAATATTTTATTAAAAATTTGGATTCCACATTCAACAATATATTGCGAAAGATAGTTAATCCATTGGAATATAAAATATAACCAATTAAATATAAAATAAACCGATAAGTTTATTCTTTGAAATATGGGTATTATACTGGTGATACTAACACTTGTAACTGTCTATATACAGTAGGTATAACTTTTTGTTGAGTTTTATGTTTCTTACACAAAAAAGCTGTTCCTTATATATGTCACATTTAAAAACATGAGTAGGAAGGACAACATAGAAACTTTATGTTAGGTTGGATTATACCAGCGATCCCTAGGGATTCCTTTAGGCCTATTGTGTTACTGTATGTTTAGGAAAACTCAGGATTTAAAACCATCTAGAACTATTAACGAAGCTCAAAATTCTGTTTAGTGTCAGGTCTTGTAATTGATCAAGATACTCGAAGAAGAGGGCATCTAAAGTGTTAACTTTTTGTTAAAAAAATAACATTCGCTTTGAAAAGTTCTTTCTTAAAAGTTTCTTAAAGCTTCAGATCTCACAAATCTTTATTAAATAATTGTGGCAAAAATTTTTTTACAAGTTTGGATGGTTTTATGATTTATTGTAATTCTCCTAGGTTAAAAACTCAAACATCCGTGGCCTTGTACTAACATCAATACAAATATAAGAATTTATATATTATTACTATTCAATAAAAACAGCTTTTAAAAAATCAAGATTTGAATTTAATTTAATTTAAAATTTAAAACAAATTTTTATTTGTAAAATTTTGTATTAATTGCTTTATTTTATAAAATTATAAGTATTTTAGAGATGTTAGGACATAATTTACAATAAAGAAAGTTCATTATTAATCCAATCCAAGAAATATGGTATTCTCGTAAAGACACCTGAATGATCTGGTAGCATACAATTACCACCCCACGACAACATACCAATTAATGTCCCATCAACAACTAAAGGAGCAGCACCGTCACCAGTACAAGCATTGCCCATTTCGTCTCCAATACCAGCACAGAGAACATAATCTTCAATTTTTAAAAAGAATGGCCATTGTGTAGAGCACTCAGGATTTGTTATGGTCGTAAGATAAGATCTTTCCAATATAGTATCATCTGTTTCTGAACCCCAGCTAATAAAAGTGCTTTCGATTCCGGCATCGGGATTATTTTCAGCTAAAGTAATTGGTTGTGCTGTACTACTTAGTGGTATATCATCACTTAGTATAATCAGACCAATGTTATAATCAAAATTGACCGGATTAAATAGTGGATATACAATGAAACATTCTGCAGCAATAATATTTTCGTCGCCACCAATTTTTGTCATACCGTATTGAATATTTAACTTAGAAGTACTTTGACCGTAGAGGCACATACCACCGGTTAATATAATACGTTCACTTAGTATGCTACCAACACAGTAATGCTCATCATCCAAACGTACAGACACAAGATATGGATATTGCTCTATATTGGTGGTGTCAGCATTTATCATTCGTCCATCTGATATATCATTGACTCGTATAACATTAGCTTGGGTGGTTAGCACAAGTCCCAATAACAAAATCAAAAGCCTAAACATTTTTATGTTGTGAATTTATAATCCCACTAAACCTACTCGTAGTTTTGCAGGGATTTTTATACAAAAATTACGAATCGTTTAATGGTTATCATACATTTTTTTTTATTTATATATTTTAAAAATAAAATATTATCAGAAATTATCTTAAATTATTATTAAATGGATGAAATTTAATTTCAATATTTTAAGCATTGTGGATAATATACCGCAATATACCCTAAACACCATAAAGTGATGAATGTTAAGTTTCTAGATTAATTATTTATTTATATAAGTTATTAGTGATTTAGAAGAAAATTCTTTCCTGAAATATTTAAATTAAAATGTGTATGACCTATGTATATTCAAATGAACTGCTTTAATACTTAAATCGGAAATGAATTACAGACTTAAGTATCTAAATAGTCTGATAAATAGTTTGATATTATGATACAAAATGAAAAGATACAACGAATAAATAGAGTCAAACTTGTTTTTGTGCGGTGGATAGGGACCGTATAGTCTCCAGTAGAAATAACTCAAAACCGAATTATAGCATAACATGTTTTTGTGCGGTCGATAAAGACGGTGAATAAGGACCGTCTCCGGTAGAAAATCACTTAAAACCTGATTATTTTGATTTAGAAAATACATGTGAGAATATTTTTAAATATTTTATTTACACATATAATTTTTATACATATAACATTTTTTATACATTATTCTTCGTCATCTAATGATACGCGAAATTTCTTGTCACAAGCTTCTTCAAAATCGCTTTCGTCACTTATAGATAATCCCTTGCATTCGTTTAAATTTGGCTTTTTTTGAATTGTTATGTAGTCGGTGATTAATTTTTGCGACAATCGTTGTTTCACAAGACGCTTATATATGTTTCGGTAGCCAGATATACAAGATTGAAGCTCTTTTTGGAATTTTAAAGCTCTTTTAGAATTACCATCAATTGCAAGAAAATGATTTTCTAATTTATTACAAATTTGAAGTCCTGCATAGATGTTACCTGCTGTTATTGTCTCGGGTTCTTCTTGCTTTAGCTTAGCAATAAATATCTGTTCCGGGGAATAACTACCATCTTCAATAATTTTTTCTAACTGTTTAGAATATTTATTAGTAGCTGTCACATTAGCAGGTGCAGCTTCGCCCGATATCTTCAGTTTGTGAAGTGCGTGTCTTTGTGAAAACCCGGCTAACCAACCATTGCTTGCCGAAAATTTTGAGCTTCCAATGTGAGACGATGAACAAGACGGTTGTAAATCCTTCAGCTGGTTATAAAACCATATTGCTTGCTCTTTAATTAATTCTCCGTCAACTGGGATTCTTTTTTGAGTTAATTGTTGAATCCACGATATGAGCACCTTTTCCATTTTTTCGATCAAAATATTTCTCGAATAAGATGATCGTTTAACGCTTTCATTTGTGGCACAATGACTAGATGCACTTATTTCACCTGCACGTTTTTGTATGCCTCTTATGGTGGATTCACCTAATCCAAATTCTTTACCTAGAGCAGTGGATCCTTCACCTTCTGCTAACCGTTTTAAGATTTTGATTTTAGTTTCCAAGGAAATAACCGTCCTCTTCGTTTTGTTTTCCCGCTTATTCATTTTCAGATATTATGTCTAAAAATAAAAATATATCAATTAAAATTTTTTTTTTTAAATTTAAATAAAAAACTTATAAAATTTACCCTCAATTTACGCTTTGAAATAAATCTTATGGTAATAGTCCAGAAATATGAAAGCACTTTAAAAATATCAGTTGATGTTGCTGAAACAGTTATATATTTTTTGATTTAAGCGGCCTTCTCACTAACACAGTTCAGATAATAATTAGTAATTGGTTGATGCAATTTCGATTGAAGTCTATTTTATTTCACGCATTCGCTGCTATCATAAATAAATGTACTTACATTCCACTTTACTTACTAAGGTAATATCATTTAATTCTAAGAATTTCTCCTTCTTTATTTCT